TCACCTTTTTCAAAAATAAAATTTTGTATTTTTTTACCTTTTTCTGGCCAATCCAACCAAAAACAATCAATAAACCGTGTTTTTATTTGGCATTATTGGTTTGACCATTACGCTAGCTAAACCTAAACGTGTTTTTAACTTTCAAACTCTTTTATCAAAAAAACTTACGAGTTATATCTTATGGATTAATTAGAATATATGTCGTCAACCTACATCGTTGCGATGTTCAATGTAGTTTCAATTTCAAAGTTTGTTAAATGTTGGATTTTCCTTAATACACCTGTTAGAAAGAAATAGATGTAATTGCTTATCTTTTCCTTAAAATTATTAAGTTTAATATTTATAACCTTTTCCAAATATCAAATATAAACAATAATGGTCAAAAGCACTAGAAATACACCGTATCGATATCGACTATGACAATTCATGGGTTTTTTTAGTCTAATCTAACGATTGTATTGTACACAGTGATTGATCTCAAACTTAGAATAGATTTCCGTTTTCGATGAAATTGCTGATATATCTTAAATTATAAACTTCAAATGCATTTGCAATGGGGTCATCTTTATATTCTAAAATATTGTTGGATATATGTAAGGCAAAATGCAAACCAAATCATTAGAACTCCAAACTTTGCCACTTTAGCTCCTTATCAATATTAAAGAAAACTTCATTTGCATTTTCCTTCATCAATCTTTCTCTAAAAGTATATACTTTCCTTGCAAATAGAGTAGTCTATTAAATATGTTTATATTTGGTCTTTTTCTCATTTCATGGGTCCTATGGGAATATTATTCCCCAATGATTTGGACTCTCACCACCATAATAAGACCCTTCTTGGCTTCTTTGATTACACAAAAGTTAGAAGTTATGATCATTACACTAAACTAATAGCAAAGTAGTGCTCCAATATTCATTAGCTAATATCATGTAAAACCAAAATCTTTAGCTTTCTCTTTGCCTTTTTTCTTTTCCTAATGTAAAATATTTTTCTGTGTTTGCTATTAATCATGAGGGTATATAATCTACAAATTAAATAGTTTAGCAAAAAGCAACCCATGATGTATATTAGTTTTTGCATGAACAAATTTCAACTCTAGACGACATTTTTGACTTCGAAGGTTAGAAAACAAGATCGAGTATGATATCACAAAGATGTCTTGATTATCTGCATTTGCAATGAATTATGATAGATTAGATATCTTCATGCAGTGGTAAAGCGTATATTTTTGTTTGCTATATTTGTTTTCGATGATCAGAAATCTCCAAAATAAAACACACGTACTTATCCACTAAACCTTTTAGAAGTGCGGCACTGTTACCAGTCAAACCGTTATTTAAGTCGTAGTGAACAATGCCGAGATGACATAGATGAGTATACTATAGCTGATTTTATGGTAGTATAGTACTGTTTTTTAGATTATAAAGTAACCATATATTTTTGTGGCTATTTAGACATCAATTTATAATCATTAAGATAGCGGTATGTGTATATTCAAAATAGCCACATATATAAGTAAGCAATTGTGGCCTATGTGACCATGATTTTAGTGTTGCTAGCTTATAGTAATAGTGGCCATGAAAGAGTTGTAGCTAAATTTGTCGCAAGTAGCCACGAATGAAACCTATGGCCAAGGATACCACTTCACCATCAGTTGATGCAAATCCTATGTGATAGCGGTGTGTGTATATACAATTTAACCACAAAAAAATGTAGAGTTATAAATAATTTTTCTTGTTGTATTTGAAATATCTAATAATAAAACTTGTATAAATATTCTGCACTGTTTAGGTTAATTAAGAGCAAATGTCCTAACACAAAATCCTAAAGAGTGAAGATCAAGCATAATAAAAAAAACAGATCCTTTTGAGCAGTTTAAAAATTTTTACTTGGTGTTGGAAGATCCATCAAAGAAGAAAAATGCAGCATATAGTTTTTTTTTTTTTTTTATAAACTAGAAAGTTTCGGGCTAAAATCCATACATCTTCTTATGCTCGGACCAATTTTTCATATTTTTATATGTCCCATTTGCCACTCAATTCTGTGACCTCTTATAATTTTGAAGGTACCTTTTCAATTGAATTATCAACTTCTAGTAATAATGCAGCATATAGTTTGTAATGAAGAACTACGTGAAAGCATACACTAATCTTCATATCTTGTTAATCCGTTTCATTTTTATTTTTTTGTGAGTTCTTTTATCAGTCAAACAACATATGCATGGTGGGGTTAACCCCGAAGTCCTTTTACCACGTGGTTTTAAACTAAATTACTTAATTATACACATGGATAAAGACATATATGTTGAGGTAGAGAATATAATAAAGCCCTTTTACCATGAAGTTTCTTTTTCGAATTTTGACCGAAAAGAGATTCAATAAGATCCGTTATATAGATGATATGTGTATATTATTGGGAAATAAAGCAAAGAGTGGCTAGTGGACGATAGTGTGCTTGCACAATAGTCGAGAGAAAAACACATTATTTTGATTTTAAGGAGTCTATTAACACCATGATCGATCAAACCAATTACTATTCATTTTGATAGTAATCATTCAAATTCAAGATTAATCACTAATTTGCTAGCTTGTTTAATTAGTAATTTACATTTCTATTTGATTGTTCTTCAACTAAATCAACTTATTTATACCGGATAAACTAAATAATGTCGTAGTATATTAATAACTTGGAAAACGATTATTAATTCTACCAATGAAATGAATCACAAGACTATAGCTATTTATGTATTTATAGTAAAACTTCAATGGAGTTCTTGTAATGAAAACAAGTGTTTTGTCCACTATATATATGTTACAAAATTATACTACGATTCGTTTAAGAATGTTTGGTGGGAGATTTTCACATGCAAACATATCTAATGTGGGCAAGCAAGAGATTGCTTGAAATAGACCAATCCTCGAGCGATCCGCGGGCAACCATTTTAATCTTGGTCCCCTTAGCCGCTTTTTCAATCAAATTCTTTTAAAGTTTCTTTATTTCAAGAAATCAATCAATATTAAGAATTTTTTGGAAACATACAAAATACTAGTTACAGTATTTAGTTCGTCGTTACCAATATGCAAAGTTCGAAACATGTATTAACAAAAGATTATTCTAAAGCTATTTTTGGGTGGCATTCGTAGTTTTGCTTCTTTTTATAGTTCTTTTAGTTAGTGGGAAAAAGAAGAATTAAAGTGGGTTGTTGGGATTTTTAAGGTAACAAATTGTTGGGAATTTTTGTATCAGACAAATCAAAAATACATTCCCTCTGTTTCTATAAGTTGTAGTATGTTTTTCTGATTTTTTGGACAATTTAAGTAGTCATTTGCAATACCAAATTAAATTTCATTTATTATTGGATTATTTAATTAAGATTTACATTCTATTGATTAATTGGTATGAGTATATTAGAAAATGAAAAATTAATGTTGAAAAAAAAAATTATGTAAAATAAATCTTAAACCTTTCTCGTCTGTACCAATTAATTTCATTTACTACGTTTAGTATCCAAACACATTTTAAATATCGAACACCTTTCACTTTTTTGTTCTTCTTCTACTTCTTCTCTCTATTTGTTTCTCTTTATGCATTGCTCGAGCATCGATCTTGTCACAAGTTAGCACTTAGGGCATACACAGTGGGAAACCTTAGTTTTGGGTGTGATCAATATATTTATTATAATTTTTTTTAAGAGAGAGAGAGATTTGGTTAGAGGAGAAAGAGAGAGGAGAGAGAGGAGAGAGATAGATGAAACATAAAATATTAAAATAATACTCACATCCAAGTGTTATCTCACACCCATGTGTTACACTATTCTATTATTTTCCTTTTTAATAATACTCACACCCCACCAAATGGTCTTAGAACGCCTTCGTAGACGAGACGAGCTACAAGAGTTTTTGGCTTAACACCTTTCACTTAAGACCAAAATTGATCAAAGTTTATACTATAAAATAAATAAATGATTTGGTGGTATAAACAAAAGGGAGAGAGATGAGACAGAAGGTTGCTTTTGCAGTATTCCGGGAATGCATTGCTGTCTCTCTCCTAGGATTGGCGTGAGTGAGTGAGAGAAAGAGAGTCCATTCCTCTCTTTTGTCCTTCTTGTAATTAATTGGTTTTCACTATTACAATAAAATGATACTAAAAATTTTCGATCAAAATATGCCTTTATTGGAGATTAAACAAATGATACTCTAAATAACCTTTTTAGGACCAACCTAAGGATATTACATAAAAAGATCAAGAAGATCTTTGTTTGTCACTCCTACGCACATCAATGCAAAAAGAGACAAACCACTCTTAACCAAGACATAAATTAAAATTACTTTTTCTTTACAAATGTTAAATTAAATTTAATTAGCATGCATTTCTTTTTTTTGTTAAAAATTAGCATGCATTTCAAAAATCAAATACATGTTTTAACGGTTTTTCTCGTATAATCATTTTATAACATATATCCTTGTTAAGTTTCCTTCACAAGTTATTAATGTGTAAATTATATTTGAAAAAAGGACAGCTTTATAATGCTCTTATTCCCTAATAATTACCAAAATTAAAAGAGATATGATGAGTACACTGAAGCTGCACTGTTACTGTAAAACCAAATGAGAGGAGAGGAAAAAGAAAAGAGAAGACAAAAAAGTTGAGTGAAATGCAAAAATCAAAAGCATACAAAAGCTGCTCATTTGTCCAAAAAGAAACCCATCATAAAGTAAAAGCATTATGAGATCAAAACCCTTCGATAAATTAAAAATAAAAACAACTTTTTTCAAAAAAAATATTCAAAAATAATTCAAGAATAGGAACAGAAAAAACACAGCATGAAATAAGTATAAAGGAACCAGCTTGGTCTAATTTCCTTATCTGTCTAAAACTCTCTTAAACCCCTCTCTCTTCTCTCTCTTTTTCTCTTACTTATCTTCTTCTTCTCTTCTCTCATTTCTTCAGTTCTCTCTTTCTCAAGAGCCTTCTTCTTCAGTCTTCAAACATAAGAAAGGAAGTTCCTTTTTGTTTCTTCTGTTTTAGTTCTCTTGTGGGTTTATCTATTTGGGGTGGTGGTTAAAGGAGGAAACTTTGGGATTGGATAATATTCAGTGAAATCAGAAAGCTTTCGAGAGAGGTTTTTCAATTTCAAAACGTGGGGGTGGGGGGTTAGGGTTAGGGTTTACAAGTTATGCGAACAGGTGGTTATACGATTCAACAGACACTCACTACAGAGGCTGCTTCTGTTTTGAAGCACTCTCTTACTTTAGCTAGGAGAAGAGGCCATGCTCAGGTTTCTTAAAAATCTTCAATATTTTCAACCAAATGTGTCAAAGTTTTGATCTTTTTGATGTTTTATTAATGGAAAAGTTTTTGTTTTTATTGTTTCAGGTCACTCCTCTCCATGTTGCAGCTACATTATTGTCATCAAGGACCAGTCTTTTGAGAAGGGCGTGCATTAAATCTCACCCTGGTTTTTCAACTAATTACCAGTTTGCCCCTTCTCGTCTTCATCATCATCACCATAACCAAAACCATCCTCTTCAGTGCAGAGCTCTCGAGCTTTGTTTCAATGTCGCACTCAACAGGCTTCCTACTGTTCCTGGTCCTATGTTCCATGGTCAGCCTTCTCTCGCAAACGCTCTCGTCGCTGCACTTAAACGAGCTCAAGCTCACCAGAGGCGAGGCTGTATCGAGCAACAACAACAACAGCAAACGCAAACGCAGCCTCAAACGCAGCAAACGCAGTTATTGGCGGTCAAAGTTGAGCTTGAACAGTTGGTTATATCCATTCTTGATGATCCGAGTGTGAGCCGGGTTATGAGAGAAGCTGGATTTAACAGCACCGCCGTGAAAAGCTGTGTCGAAGATTGCTCCGTTTCCTCCGTCTTCTACGGCGGATCCGCCGTCGGAGTCTTCTCTTCTCCAAACTCTCCCGATCAACAACAACAACACCACAACAACATCAGCCGATTTCACCACTACCAAAACCCTAAAGATTTCAACTTTATAAACCCTAACTTCCCTTTATGGCAAACCCATTTCTTGAACCAATCTCCAGACCAAAACCCACTTCTAATTTCCTCCTCCTCTCATCATCATCAACAACAACGCCTGAGAGAAATCGATTTGAAACTCGTCGTTGATGTTCTTTTGAGGAAGAAAACGAAGAAGAAGAACCCAGTGATCGTCGGAGACTCAGTTTCGTTCACTGAAGGTTTCGTTTCAGAGCTAATGGCAAAGCTAGAGAGAGGAGAAATAGATCAAACCGGTGATTTAAAGCAAACCCATTTCGTCAAGTTTCATTTTTCACCAATGGCGTCCAAGTTTATGAGGAGAGAAGACGTGGAGACAAACATAAAGGAGTTAAGGAAGAAAGTTGTCTCTCTCACGACGAGTGGCAAAAATGTAATCATCTTCACTGGTGACTTAAAGTGGACAGTCAAAGAGATAACAAACAACAACAATGGTGGAATCAATGAGATTTCTTCATCTTACAGTCCTTTAGATCATCTAGTTGAAGAGATTGGGAAATTAATCACTGAGTATAACGACGATGGTGATGATGATTGTAAAATCAGAAAGGTTTGGGTAATGGGAACAGCTTCGTTTCAGACATACATCAGATGTCAAATGAGACAACCTTCGTTAGAAACACTGTGGGCACTTCATCCTGTCTCTGTCCCTTCGTCTGCTAATCTTGGCTTAAGCCTTCATGCGACAAGGTAAACTCTTTTTCTTACTTTTTACCATTAATTACTTAAAGTAAAACAGTCTAGCTATTTTTTCACAAAAGTGAACTCTTTTTTTTGTGATGTTGGTCAAAAAGGTATTGCGTAGATAGTGACACTAGCTAGTATATCTATGTTTAAACTTACAAAAAATCGAATCTTTGTGTCTAGTTTCAAAAATAATAATGTTGTGTTTTTTGCAGAGCTTACTTGAAAATGGTCCTTTTAGAGTCTGTCTTTGTTCTCTGACTTACTCAGATCAGTGTCTCATTGAAGCCAAAAACCCTCTGTGTCCATGCCTGTCCATTCACACATATACAGTCTCATTTGATAAAAAAATATAATACATTGGACCTACATAGGAGTCCACCTATGTGTAGATAAATTATAGAGATGTGACATTTTATATTCGTTCAGAATTTTTGGATATTAGAATTTGAAGATATGGAGATAGGTAACGGATTAGAATATGCGATTTGAGATATTATATATTCAATGGTTATTGCTTGTAGACAAAACTAAAACACCGTAGAGAGAATATATCCTGCAACAGGATGATAATAAAGCTTGAAACTTTTGAATTATATATGTTTTTCTTGTTTTGTTTTGTAGCAATGTGTGGACACTTTTACCCCTTTTACCACTTTGGTTAATTAGTCTCAAGTTTTTTCTTTTATGTCTGAAAGCTAAGAGACCGTTCTATATTAGGGAAACATCTTGTCTTTTTGTCTACAGGACTCTTTTAACAACAATCCAAAATCTCTTTTTTACTTTTCTGTTTGTTTTTCAGACGTTATTTACGAGAATACCACTGATTTCTCTCCTTTTTTTTTGACCGTTTGTTTATTGCAGTGGGCATGAGGCAAGGAACATGAGTAATGTTAATGCAACAAAGTCCTTTTCTGGTTATAATAAAGCTGAGGAAGAAGAGACAATAAGCTCTGTTCTGAGTTGTTGTCCTGAGTGTGTTACTAGCTTTGAGAGAGAAGCAAAAACCCTTAAAGCTAACCAAGACAAGCTCTTGCCTTCTTGGCTCCAATCTCATGATGCAGACAGTTCTTCACAGAAGGTAGAACATTTGAAATTAAATGCACCGAAAAATGATCGATGCAGCGGTCAACCAGAGATCTAATTCTTGTGTGTTTGATTGTGTTGTAGGATGAGTTAATGGGATTGAGAAGAAAATGGAACAAGTTTTGTGAAAATCTTCACCAGGAGAGGACTAATAATCAAACAGGACAATTAGGTTTCATGGGCACAAACTACTCATATGGCTTGCCTTATGGATCATCAAACGAGTCATCGAGATCAGTACCTTCGATTGATTCCTTGGGTTTAAAGCAAAATCAGCGAGTCACTAACTCGATTGCCAAATTCAGACGTCAGAATTCTTGCACCATTGAGTTTGATTTGGGTGGAAACGAATATGAGAAGGGTGAGTCGATCAATGAAGCTGAAGGTGATAAGGGAAATGAGACTATCACTCTCGATTTGGGGCGTTCTCTGTTTCGATCAGATTCCGTAATAGAGACGAAACAGAAGATCAGTGATTTGGTCAAAGATTTGGAGGAGAGTCTTCCATGGCAAACTGTGACAATGCGTCTAATTGCTGAGAGTTTAATGGATTGCTTGTCAAAGAAGAAAGACGGTTGGATTATGATCGAGGGCAGGGACACAGCGGCGAAGAGGAGAGTAGCTCGTACTGTATCTGAATCTGTTTTCGGATCTATCGAGTCTCTGGTTTATATTGACCTTAAGAAGAAAGGCAACGAGTCAAAGACCAGCCCGGAAACGCTACTTGCTTGTGAATTGAAGAACCCTGAGAAGGTTGTCTTCTTGATTGAAGACATTGATCTGGCGGATTCCCGTTTCTTGAAACTCCTTGCTGATCGGTTTGAGGAGAACCGGAGGAGTAAAACCGGCTTTGATCATCGCCAAGCGATCTTTATTTTGACAAAGGAGGATTCAAGCAATGCGAGAAGCAGAGACTCTGTTTTGCAAATTGGTTTGGAGGTCACGGCACATAGTCCGGGGAAAAAGAGAAAACCCGAGTCGGATTTATCGATTAGGGAGGGGAAGAATTCTAAGGCGGGAGAGATCGAGAATGGGTTTTGGATCAAGAAGGAAGTGTGCTCTAGGCAATCGAGTTTCAATAGCTCTTATCTCGACCTGAACATAAAAGCTGAAGAAGAAGAAGGAGAGATCAGTCCGATTTCAAGCGATTTAACTGGAGAGGAGGAGACAGAGTTCTCTTCCAGCAACTTTCTAAACCGAATTCAAAACCGGTTTGTCCTAAACCGGTCATGCGAACCAGGTATAGAAAAAGCCATGATAACAGCAGCTTTCAGGGAGGTTTTTCCAGAGAAGGAAGAAGGAGGTGGAATTAGGTTTAGCGTGGAGGAAAAGTTAGCGGAGGAGCTATGCGGGGTTCAAAACGGTGCGTTTGAAAGTTGGTTAAAGGAGGTTTTTCAAACGGGGTTACTAACGGTTAAAAAGGGCGGGAAAAAGGATACGGGTGTAATTAGGATGGTGTTTGGGGGTATAGTTGACAACAAAGGATATGGTGGGGGTGTTGGTGGGTACATGGGTACATTTCTTCCGAACAAAGTCCAAGTTTCCAAGTTCGAGTAGATCTTCCGGTTTAATTTTCTTTTGTTTTTTTCGTTCTTTCTTTTCAATATGTAAAATTTCCATTACTAATGTGGGGGTTTGACTGGTGTAACTCGTTTTAATTTTGAATGTAATATAAATGCGTTTTAAATTTGGGGGACAAAATGTGTTGCTATTTTGATTGTCTTCCAATTTTTCAACACCACTTACTATTTAGGCATATAATTGGCCTGTTCTTTTTGTCACCGCTGCGGCAGCGGCAAGCGGCCAAAATTAAGAACCCAAAACCTTCTGCACCTTGCTTGAAAATGAAAACAGAAAGAGTCTCCCAACGCAAAATCTATGACGCAGCGGCCAAATAAGTAGTTATTGTTGCTGCTGTTTAATTGCAGCGTTCGTTTTATTCACTTTTCCTCGCCTCCGGCGTTGATTTTTAGAGTTTTCCAAATTTCAATCAATCAGATCTCAAATTCTAGCAGAGATCGAGAAAAAGAAGATGATGGAAATACATTACAGTTTGCTAAAATGGATAAATGGGCTTTATGTTTAATTATCCAGGCCCATTGTTTGACTTTTTTTTTTGGCCGCTTGCCGCTGCCGCAGCGGTAACAAAAAGAACAGGCAAAATGTAAAAAAAAAAAAATCTTGAATGTTGTTAATGGTAGATGTTATGAGGCGTAGATATCTTAAAACAAGGCCTCTACTACCAAATTAGATATGACAAATACATGGTGATTTGCAGCAGAAAATTAATTATAAGAAGAATTAATAATATATTGGGCTGAGTGTGAGAGAAAAAGCCCAATAGGCTTTAAAACCGCCTATAACTCGAATTAGAATTTACCAAACGCAATAGTCAGCGATTGCAAACGCGATAACGAACTTGAAATCAAATTTAGAAAGTTAACCAAAATTTCATCTTCGTTCTCTCCGTCTAGGCGACACTCTCTAACGAACTGGCGAATAACAAAGAGAGAATGAATTCTTCAATCGGAAACTGGAAACACACTGTTCTCTACTTAACCCTAATCGTATCTCTTCTCTACTTCATCGAATCCCTAATCTCACACAAATTACACATCAACCATAACAAAATCCACCTGAAAAGGTCTCGTAATCTTCCTCTACGATTCCGTGACGATGGCACCTTCAAAATCCTCCAGGTAAGTCTTGTTTCATCCTCTATCACCATGATTCTTGCAATTCGCTGGTGATTGTTTTGATTAATTTGATATCTAACAGGTCGCTGATATGCATTTCGGAATGGGGATTATTACTCGGTGCAGAGATGTGTTGGATTCTGAATTCGAGTATTGTTCTGATCTTAATACGACTCGGTTTCTTCGGAGAATGATTGAAGCTGAGAGACCTGATTTGATCGCTTTTACTGGTAAATTCGTGTCTCTTTTGATGGATAAAATGTCATATAACCAAGAGACCTTAGCTCAACTGGTAAAGATCTCAGGCTCTTGGGACGGAACCATATAACATGCTCTGGTCCCGGGCCTGAGGGGATGTACGGGCCTAAAAAATGTGGTTATGCTAATTTGCTAATGCTAAGTATTGTTTGATTTTGTTGTTGATGGTTAGGGGATAACATATTTGGATCAAGTACTACTGATGCAGCTGAATCTCTTCTTGAAGCTATTGGTCCAGCTATTGAATATGGAATTCCATGGGCTGCCATTTTAGGAAATCATGACCAGGAATCTACTTTGAACCGTGAAGAGTTGATGACTTTCCTTTCTCTTATGGATTTTTCTGTCTCTCAAATCAATCCACTAGTTGAAGATGACTACGATAAAATCAAAGGAGGCGCAATGAGATTAATCGATGGCTTTGGGAATTACCGTCTCAGAGTGTATGGTGCTCCTGGTTCCGTTCTGGCTAATAGCACTGTCTTTGATCTCTTCTTTTTTGACAGTGGAGATAGAGAAATAGTGCAAGGTAAACGAACTTATGGATGGATCAAGGAATCCCAACTTCGTTGGCTTCAAGATACTTCTAAACAGGTAAAGAGATTAATCAATTCTCAAAGCTCACATATTAGATTTTTCATCATAGTTACACATTAGTCAAGATTCATTACCTCTAAGGAGAGTTACTGACTAAACAGGGCCATAACCAGAGGATTGTCGGTAATCCACCAGCGTTAGCCTTCTTCCACATCCCAATCCTGGAAGTACGTGATCTGTGGTACACGCCCTTTATCGGCAAGTTTCAGGAAGGTGTGGCATGCTCCATTGTTCAGTCAGGAGTCTTACAGACCTTTGTGTCCATGGGAAATGTAAAAGCTGCGTTCATGGGACACGACCATGTCAATGATTTCTGTGGAAATCTAAAAGGGGTATGGTTTTGTTACGGTGGAGGATTCGGATACCATGCTTACGGAAGACCAAATTGGCACAGAAGAGCAAGAGTGATAGAGGCTAAGCTTGGGAAAGGAAGAGACACATGGACAGGAATTCAACTTATTAAGACTTGGAAACGTCTAGATGACCAAGATTTGAGCAAAATAGACGAACAAGTCCTATGGGAAACTTCCGACTCATTTCTGAAGTGATCCAACGGACAAAACATATAAGGTATTAATTTCGTTATTTCATGACCTTTTGATGTTTTGTGTGAGAATTTTCCAAGTCTCTGCGTTTAGGCTCATACCTTGCACATGATAGATATGAGTCTTGTTGTTGTGAAAAACGTTTTTCAGATGGTCACAGTCACAAATTCGTTATACGCTTAACGTCAGCTTTTAGTAGGACAAACCCTGTCGAAACATATGTGAAAATGAAGCACCGTATTTTCGTTTGAAATGGTCTCTTCGTTGCTGTTTCGGTGTGTTCTCTTTGACTATTTGACATTTTTTTATTTTTTGTAAAGAAATTTATTTGGGTTCGTCTTTTATTAGCTAATATGCAATCATAAGATTCTTGTTACAAATATTTCCAGCGTCAAATCGTTTCTAATTTTAATCTTTATGCTTTTTGTTTGTTTCATCATTTTGTCATTTTTTCGCCTTTTTTTTTTTAATAGTTATATTTCTGAACTTTGATTATTCATTAATTTAATATTTTTCAGGGCAAATTTTCTTCAGTCCTCACACTATTTATATTGACAAGTGTGAAATATTTTAAAGTTTCCTTAAATAATCGGAATCGTTCTAGACTATCAATAAGACCTCGTGGCGAATATCATCATAAATTAATAAAATAATATTCTGCTTGTCATTTTTCTTTTATTTTAATTGGGAAATATCTAGATTTTTATATTGACCAATGATCTTAAATAGAAATTATTTATCTTGCAGTAAGATACAACGGTGGTGGTGTATAACTGGAAAACTACATTGTTGTGGTCTCCCGAGACTTTGATCTGTCTCATTCCTATTCGCCTTCTCTATATAAAGCTCACAGTTCGAGAGAGACAAGAGACCAACGAAACGAACTTAGACAGTTAGTTTCTAAATTTGTCGGAAAATGGAGGATATTGTCGACCAAGAATTCAGCAATTACTGGGAACCTAACTCCTTCCTCCATAACGAAGACTTCGAATACGACAGGTTCTTTCTTTCGTCCTTGTTCTCTTTCTCTTGCTAACTTTCCAGCTTCAGATTTTGATATTTGTTTGTTAAAAAAAAAACAGAAGCTGGCCTTTGGAGGAAGCTATTTCTGGGTCGTATGATTCGAGTTCGCCGGATGGGGCTGCTTCGTCGCCGGCTTCTAAGAATATTGTGTCGGAGAGAAACAGAAGACAGAAACTTAACCAGAGACTCTTCGCTCTTCGATCAGTTGTTCCCAATATCACTAAGGTTTCTCTTTTTTCCCTTTCTTTGTCTTCTAATTCCAGGATTCAAGCTTATTATAGAGACTCTGTTTTTGTTTTCTGGTAGATGGATAAAGCATCAATAATCAAAGATGCTATTAGTTACATAAAAGGATTACAATATGAAGAAGGGAAACTCGAAGCCGAGATCAGAGAACTTGAATCTACACCAAAGAGTAGCCTTAGTTTCAGCAAAGATTTTGATCGTGATTTACTTGTTCCTGTCACATCCAAGAAGATGAAGCAGCTTGATTCTGGTTCTTCCACTTCTCTCATCGAACTTCTCGAAGTAAGTTTCGGTTCCTATCTTTTACCTAGATATCATAGATTTATAGGACAAGAATTTTTCATTGAAAACTGTGTATGTTTGGGTGATTGAAGTTGAAGGTAACATTCATGGGAGAGAGGACAATGGTGGTGAGTGTAACATGTAATAAGAGGACAGATACAATGGTGAAACTGTGTGAAGTCTTTGAGTCTTTGAATCTCAAAATCCTCACTTCCAATCTCACCTCTTTCTCTGGCATGATCTTCCACACTGTCTTTATTGAGGTCAGCATCTTTTTCTCTCTCCCTTTGATTTTGTAATTAATTAATCACTCACTAATTAGAAGCAATGATTGCAATTAGTCAAGAGTGGATAGTAAACTTTTCAAGGAAAAAGTAAAAGGGAACCATTCAAATAGTAGATTATATGATTGCTTTAGTAAACTTTTTTAAAAGTCTCCATCAATTAATGCTAATTATGTAATAGCATGTTATTAGTTTCTCTTGTTTCTCAAATCTTTCTTCAAATTTACCATAGTGGAAATAGTTTTTTTTTTTCTTCTTTTTTTGTAATTTTTCTTAGCTTGGGTAGTTTATTTGCTAATATGGGTAAACCGTGAGTCGGAATTTTTTTTAACTAGATTTTGGAATATAAAAGGGATTTTCTGTGGTTTAAGTCTTTTGCTCGTGTCAAATTATTTTAAGAATAAATGTCTCATTCGTGACGCTGGCAATGAGCGTTGTGTTATTACTTTATTTGTTTACCTGACAAAATAAATATAAATACTTTTTCTAAATTATAAGATTTCTTGATTTGATACTGATTTAGACGACATGGACCTTTCTGGTTGATTTAAAGCAAGATTTTATTGAGTAAACTAATGATTAAATTAGACACAATATTCGACTTAGTCTGTCCTCCAGTATAGTTTAGGAAAGTTTATACATTTTTTTTTGTTGGCCACTTAAAATGTGTTGCTTACTTTTATAATTTTGGTCACTAGTTTCCAAAATCATGCAATTTTTGTAAATTTATATTAAGTAAAAAAAATATGAAGTTTTTTTGGTGTTATGTAGTAGATTTTTTTTAAAAAATATGTTTTCTTCTCTGTTGGAAATAGTTCGTATATTCTAATGGTTAAATTAAATATTTTACGTATGGTTTACCAAAAAAAAAAAAATATATATATTTTACGTATGGCAAGCTTCTAGGCTTGTAGTTGCGCGACCAAACATTTATTGGGTTTTGGTTTTAGTTTTTATTTTATTTTTGGTCCCGCATTTATTGTAATTTGGTCCATTACAAAGAAAATAATATTATCTCTGTGGTAAGCAGAATCTGATTGCTTTGATATAAAATATTGTTCTCAACCGCTCGAATTAAATAACAATGGGAAAATAATATAATAGAAATGATAAAATATAGCTAATTCTGCCAAATACATCATATATTGTCTGGAGATTAATAAAAGATAGCTGATTCTATCAAATACCCATATAGAAAAATAAACATAAAAATAAAAGAGAAAAAAATTATCGGATCTTAGAGATAAGATTGCGATTGCTAGTTTTTTTATATTTTTGGAAGCAGATTGCAATTGCTAATCAAATAATAATAGTACTTGATTACTTTATCTTTAATGGGACCCGTCTATTGATTTCCATTTGTACTCTCACGTTAAAGCATTGTTATAAAATAGCAACATTATTTGTATTTCATTTTAGTTTCACAAGTAAGCGAAATGAAATTATAAGAAAAGTAACAATATATCAATTATTTTGGATTATTGAACAGGCGGATGAAGAAGAACAAGAGGTGTTGCGGTTAAAAGTAGAAACAGGAATAGGAGCTTATAATGAAACTCAAAGCCCCACTTTGAGCATCGACTCTCTTTACTAATAACTCTTTTTTTGTCCTTTTGAATTCTCTCTTTACAATAATATACATGTCTCATTTCATTCTCCTTCGTTTTGTTTGTCCATTACGATGACTTCTTTCACCTTTAATGTCTATAATAAACATACGCGTTGTTTTGGAATTGCATACGAGTTAAAAGTAATTATGGCCACAACAAAAGAGATAAAGAGGATTTAAGAGTTACACAACATATACATAACATAAGAGCTTCTAGTTACATGATCCGAAATCGCAACGTATCACCAGTCTTTGAGCAGTTCTCCGGCAACATCCCGGTAGCTGACTTTCTTTTTCTTCACAAGAGGAGGAACTGCTTCTGAGTCTGTGCCTGCGTTCACACAAGTATTATCAGTCTCGGCGTCAAGTTTTCTTTTCTCTGAAGACTCGCATTCACCAGAAACATTAGCCTTTCTATTTTCCCCGGTGATTTGGTTTGATGTCTCTGTCTTTTTTTTACTGAGACTCGGGAACATGTTCATTAACATAGCTTGTAGTGGATCCTCATGGATTTGTAACTTCTCTTTCATATCCATCTCGGTCTTTGCATTTCTAGAATCTTGTGAGGTCTCTTCTACTGCTGCTGTGTTGTCTCTTTGCAGTGACTCTGTGTACTTCGCTATGTCAGGTTCTCGGCTTTCTTCTCTGCAGTGACTCTCTTCCACATCTGATGACACATTGTTTTTGTCACCAAATTCATCATCATTTTCCTCAGACTCATCTCCTCCTATCTTTGAAGGCTTCTTCTTGCCTCTTCGTGATCTCTGTACTCTTTGGGTTTGTCCCACACGAGACTTTCCTCTCTTCGCAGATCTTCCTCTGCTAGAGTTTCTTTGAGCCTCACCAAACGAATCAGCCTCTTCTGCTATATCACTGAGTCTTGTTGAAACCTTTTCTTCAGCAGCATCACTCTCCTCTGTTTCATCTCCGCTGATCTTAGAAGGCTGCTTGCCTCTGCGTCTCTGTACTCGTTGCAGTGAGTTTGTAGAAGACCTTCCCCTTTTAACAGCTCGAGTATTTGACCGTCCTCTTGAACTCGTAATTGCCATTTTTGAGGAAGCTGGCTCTTCGGTTTGAGCACTACCTTCGGTAGCTACTTCCGTTGTATCATGTTCGGATTTACTGAAGCAAACAGAGATATAATCATTGGAAGCTTTTTATATTAGCATTCCCTTATATAGATGATAGACTAAATAATATAGATCATTTGTAGATACGAAATAATAAAAAAAGTGGTGACTTACTCTGATTCTTCAGTATCAGACTCTTCCATATACTTAGGCCTCAGATTGTAGACATCCTCACACAGTTTTTCCTCTCTTTGCAAGCTGTCCTCTAACCAGGGCGCGCTAACAACATGAAGCCTTTTCTTCAGTAAAAGACGTTTCTCCATCTCGCTGAAACTATTGAAGAGAGACCAAATAAACAGAGTCTTAATTCTCATTACAATGTGGTGCTAAACTCAATAGCAGAAACACAAAAATTTGGAATACCTTTTCGAAACTGAAGTAAAATCCAAAGATTCTTCTGCCACAACAAGGACTACAAGGTGCGACGCATGAGCAAGATTATTGCTAACTTTACCACCACCCATTAACACTTCAAGCGCTAGTCTCTTAGCCATAATTCCCAACAGAGCTTCCTCTTCAGTGCTCCTTCATGTAAGAAAAAGGCACATTGAGGATGATGAGTATTGCTTTAGGTAACTCACATATTTAAACAACATAAGAAAGAAACAAGAGGGGCTTTACAATGTTTGACGATACGGGTAGAAGTAAACACAGCAGCTAAAGAGGCAGGACCATCTTTTCTCTGGACATAACTTTTTCTTGTAGTAGTCAATGGATTTTGAATCTTCAGATTGCTTGGCATTGCTTAAGACCTGGAAATGAAGCGAAAGGGATTGCAACTCGATTGTATGATCTCACTGAATGGTCTCAATAAGGACTACAATACATACCTGTTTGAGACCTTCAAGGTCTAAATCCCAGTAATAAGAATCAGAAAATTCATCAATGTCATCCTGTAATTTTGTCCTTGAAGCATCAGTGAGGTGGAGGAAATACCTTCAAAAGTGGCCACACAAGCTTTATTGTTAGACACGACACGCAAAAGAAAATCATAAGAAAAAGTTGATAGGACTCACTTTGGCTGCAAAGGAAGCATCTTATTTCGCGAACAACAATCTAAGACCCATGAAAAGTGGATGACATCTCTCTGACGCTTTGCTGCCTGATATTTTATTCCTGAAATAGTATCTCATTCACTCATTGTCATGCTCTTTGTATTAAAACTCGGTTTTCAGACGCAGTCATGTGTTGAAAAGCGTTGGGTAAGAAATCAATATTTAGGAGTAAGAAAGTGACGTACCACTGCTTTCTGCTGCAATGCAATGAGTCACTGAGTTGTTTAAGTTCATTGAAAACTTCCCTCCATTCTCAACCACCATTTTGTGGAATGTCTCAAGAGAATGGGACCGAGGCACGTTAACAAAATCTGTTACATTTGTCAAGGTGATAAAGAAAAGTGTAGTATGACAAAGTTTGCAAGTTAAAGAAATTTCAGAACTTATCCATGTAAAAAGGTGTCCAATTCTAATAGAGAAAGACAGCTGCAATCGCAATCAGTAAGAAAACGGTACCCAGGTGAGAATGAAGAAGAGAGAAGAAAATTCATTTTAAAACATGTCAAGGATACAAAATATCATATTTGAGAAGATTGAGGTCTTGCCCTTGATATCCGATACATCAGTTTGAATAAACTGAGAGGGGACAAGAGAGACATTCTTTTTCTCTCCTCTCTTGGAAGATTTATTGACTTTCGGATTGTCCTGTGTGCTTTCAGATTCCTTCTGTTTCTGTGTGGTGCCGTTACTCGAATTTACCAATTCCACAAAAGCTGCAGAGTAAACATCAGTCGGACATATAAAGCGGAAGCAAATCGGTTATTTCAACTTTCATGAACATTGTATAGTTTCTTTGGTTCTTTTACTCACCCTGCACATCGAGACATTCATGCCAAGGCTTGTCATATCTTACTTTATCAATACGAGGAAACCTCAGGCTGTAAGGTGCAACAAACACCTGAAAAAAAAAGCAGAGTTTTACCTAGAATAGAGCATATGCAATTATTATGCATTATAAGCGACAAATCTGCATTGCAAGATACTAAATTAAAAAAAATTGTTAAGTAACTAGCTAATCTTCACATTCTCACATCTTATGGACATACCTCAGACCTTATTGTCCTGATATCACTAGTGATTGAAAGTATTATTGATCTGCAAAAAGGAAGAGAAAAACTATGAGCGCGGATAATAGTTTTCAACGATCCCAATTCTGCTGCTTCAGCTGAGGAAAAGGAGATAATTGACAGAAAACTGACTTTTCCGGGCTTTCTATCCAAACATCCGGTCTCTCTTTTGAGTGATTAGTGACCTGATAGAAGCTTGGTGGAGCCTTCTTTGGGTGTTCATTTTTTCTGAAAGACAAATAAAGTATGATAACTATTAAAGAAAACGAGGCAGTGTTCTCATTCTTAGAATATTATACCACAAAGAACTTCTAGTTTTGATGTATGCCAATAGCTGTTTCTCATGAGCCATATCTTATAGTGGAAAACCTTTATTAAATCCACCTTGATTTATCCCATATTGTTTTATATTTTTTGTTTAAAATGAGATAAGAAAGAAAGTAAACGATTACGTCTCTCACCTGAAATAAGGCTTCAGTTTGCTTACAACAGTGTTGAGCTCATCATCAGAAAGTCCAGTGCCAACTCTACAGAAGGACATAAATCTGCAAAAAGAGAATAGCTTATCATTGATAATTAGATTTGGAATCTTTGGGCAAACAACTAACAATTCTGATAACATGAAAAGCCCTAAAGTCCTCATGCAGTCATGCCCCATGTTCTCTCATGACTGTTTCAGTAGTTTCTATTGACAATCTGATTTCATCTTCTATGGGAAAATGTGAAACCATATAAACACTTACCGCCTGGGATACACATTTGCCTCTGCCCGGTCAGCCAAGGCTACGAGAAACTGTGCTACCTCTCCTCCACGACGTCCGGAGCCATAGTATCCCCCTGGCAAAGATGTAAAATCCCCAATAAGATCCAATGGAAATGACCACCATTTATGAACAAGTAAAAGTAACAGAATATCAAGTACAGACCGATTATAAGAACATCTAGGTCAGAACCAGCCCGAATATATTCAGGCTTCAATTTCGACCACTTGCCACTACGATCTCCAGGTTCCCATTTCGATCCCAGGTCTTTAAGCACAATTCCTTCATCTCTGAGGACAAAGAAGAAGGATTGGAAACAAGAACACAAATCTGTGAAGAAAACCATATTAATGTCTCTGTACTAGAGGGTAGATCCTGCCAAGCAAATATCACTCTTCACATAAGGCCAAGAAGGCACCATCCAAACGTTTTGCACAACTCATGAATAGTGGAGAGAGAAATTTTGGCTGGATTAAGAATAAGAAAAATAAACCTGTTTTCAACTGTTTCTTTGAAAAATCGCTCAACATCAGCAGCAGCATGAACAACGATAGACCAACTAGGTTCCCCTGCAAAAGACGATTGTTCACGTATCCATTTTTAAACAGGTTATGGTACCCAGAAGAGATTAAATAGTTGTATACAAAATTAAGAGACTCATAATGATGCGAGAGTCTAAAAACATAGCGTAAACTTCAATTTTTTTTTATCATTGATTTTAACTCTGTCACTTTGCACAGTCAACTAGAATCTTAGTAGTCCTTACCTGAAGGGCGATGAACATTGAGACCACCTTCAGGTACTAAAACTTCGAGCCGACCTTTTAAAGGTTTGACCACTTTCTTAAGCAGTTCATGCCGTTCCTTCAAACTCTGGTGGATGACGCTAGTATCACCAACATAAAGAACATCAAAGGCAACATCTAGTACAATGTCAAGGAAAATAATATCTCTAAAGTCATTTCGTCATGGCATTCTTAAGTGTGGGCATTAACTTCTCCTCGTAAGGATACAACACAACTGCATTAGCAGATAAAAGAACATCAGAGTTTGTAGTCGGATCCTCAAACAGTTTCACTTATTACATATAGCAAACAACAAAAGTAAACAGGTGGGACTTCGCATATGAACCTGTTTATGGCTGCCAAGACCCTCCCTTGCCGCCTTGGCTGTGAACAAGAGTACAGGAAGGATCAGATCTACTGGAAGCAAGATTAAGCTTTTCAACATAAGGATATTGATTAGACGCCAAACCTATTTCCTGATTCGAACCAAACTCGGCAAACCGATTCAGGGATGTATCCCAGACCAACATTTCACCATCAAGGATACACCTAAATGGCAAAAAAAGAAGAAGATGAAAGATCGTATATCTCATAATTCCAAGTTTGTAAAATCTTCCAGCCCCTAAAAGTAAAGAGCAACGGGATTCTTACTTGTCCACCAATATATTTTGTACAATAAGATCCGACATGGCATGTGCGTATTCAGAATGGTCAAGGAAGTTCCTGCACCATCACTAACAAAAGTAAGTACAAATTCCCTATCTGTCAAAACACTAGAGAACTTGAAACAACTACAATATTTGACCAAAAAACGGCTTTCCGGACACCAAGTCACAAAATAGTCATGAACTTTGCCATATGCAAATAAGATCTATAATCAAAACATTTATAGCAGGGTAGACGAAAGAGATGTGACTCACCTAGAGAAGTAATGTATGTCAGTCCCATTTTTGTGTATTTGTATGCGATCCCCATCAAATTTGCATTCAGCAACTACATCTTTTCCATGCAGCTGTGTCGATGAAGGAGAGAGACTCATGCATTGGTTAGAGAAATAAACCACCAATACAACGACATTAACAAACAAACAAAATATTGCACAGGTAAATGGAGTAAGCTGAGCTGACAATAGAGTTGATGGAATTTACCTTCTTCCAAGCAGCATTTACATCACTGATACGCATAGCTAATTGGGGTCGTACGGCTTTTCCAACCTCTATATCCTACAAGGGATCACAACAATCATAAACTGAAAGGAGATTATAGAAGAAATGAACAGTAGTTTGTAAGTTGCAAATCAAGTATTTCTAATAACAAAACCTGGCGCTTGTGCCGCTGGTGTCGATCCCTCAACTTCTCACAGACTAGTTTCAAATCACATGTGACATTAAACAAGTCCTCAGCATCTGGATGGAACTCCTGAAAAATGCTCTTCTCACTCATTCCCAGTTTCAAATCTGTAAAGCATTTCCCAACAAATCAGAATTACTAATCCATCTCAATAAACTAAAAGAAAAAAGATGGAAACTTTCTGTGAAGAAACTGCAAAGTTCCTACCTTTAAGAATTATCCTGATGACCCACTTCATCTCCTGAGCATTTGTCTTCTGAATCAAAGTAGAAAGAACCAAAGTTTTTTCCGCTCTGTGTTGCATAGATAAGAGAGTAAATAGAAACAAAATCGATTCTATAAGAAGTGTACTGATTATGAGAGAAAGCACCTGTTCTCACTTGAAGCCAAACGATCAAGCAAATCATTCAATTCCTTAACAGTCAAACCACCAGAAGCCATTCCTTGTCTACTTTGCAATACCTATGACCATAACGATGTTCAAAAACCCTAAATCCCCAAAAAAACAAAAACCCAGAAGAAAGTCAAACAAATCCAAAACCTCAGCAGCAATTAAGGAAAAGTTTCCAGCATTGGCTCCAGCTTTAGCAGTTCCTCCTTTACGCCAATTGAGAAGACGAATAGCGTCAGGTGCGTCGCGAGAGATACCAAGTGCGTCGATCAGACACGTGGCGAGCACTGACTCTTTGAGGCCGTAGCTACCTCGTTCTCGATCAAGCGACGGAATGATTAAACGGACGGCGACGAAGTAGTCGGAGGGTTTGCAGTAAGTGTCGAGAAACTTGCGGAATTTGGAGCGTTTTTGAGATGAGGTTTTGCTTTTTTGAATCCAGTTGAAGAGAGATACCAGAACGCTGAATTTGATCTCTTCCGTCATATTGTTCCCCGGAATTAGTGATTTGTCCGGAGAAGAAAGTCGGAGAATCACCGAGCAGCGGCGTAATTTGCTTGCCGGAGAAGAAAGTCGCGTTTGAAAAGTTGCACGGCCGGTTTCGGTAATGCCCAAGTTACAGTGTGACTCGGTCTTCTCAGTAATTATTTATTCTATATTACATATTTGTCCTGTAACTTAATTAATTTATCAATTCAGTCCAATGTGTACTATAAAAAAAAGTTCTGATTTAAGAAAAGAGTTGGATAAATTTTTAAATAATATTCAGCTAAAATTCTCAGTATTGTTATTAACATGAAAATAATTTGTAAAAATCTCCAAATACAGTAGTACTCAACTATCTGATTTTTGTTAAGTGAAATGATATCAGAAAGTGGATTTATGGATTATTAAGTGTTTGAGCTACAATTTGCTGTATGACAAAATTATGAGATCATATCATAAGTTACAACTAGGCCCAAAAGCAGTTTAAACATGAAATATATTGGCTTTTACGGGAGGTAAAATTATAAATCAAGGTTAAGATAAGTGTTACAGCTTTTGAAATCAATAATCAAACAGTTCAAACCCAACAAATATCATTTACAAGGTTGCATTCGCCTCTTTGCCATCGTTTCAGAAAGTTGATCCGTTGAATCCGAAGAAGGATGGCTGCCAAAGAAAAAAGAAACCAAAGATTTTCTATTCATTGAGTTTATCAGAACATTGTGCTATCATCAAAGTGTGTGTATAGCCCATCATTGCAAGAATCTAGCTTTAATCTAAATCAGGATTCTGTATATAAACATGAGATCATCATCTGATGTAATTCATTTCATGGAATGCAAGTGACATATTTTCTTATGCAAAGCTTTTAAGATGAAGCAAAATGGGACTTACAGGAGACTCGTAGAAACTGATATAAAAGCGGAAGCTAGGTATGTCGAGCTTAATTTTGAGAATTTCCGATATCTTCTCGCTAAGCTTCCCGTTTACGTCAGGTCCTAATCCCCCTATAGATACCAATTGTCCATATGCAGCAGGTTCCTCGCTACGGGCAAATGCAATGGGCACTCCGCTGTTAAGCAGTATCATCACACTCTGAAAACAAAGACGAGCAAAAACAGACATTGTATAATAAGTAACCAAAATAAAACTTTCCATTCTACTCTGCTTTTATATTAAAAAAAAAACTAAACAGGAATAAAACTATAAAAGACAAGAACAAAAACTTAAGGTTGATGAATTCTTGTTGAAATGGGGGAAACAGAGGAATTAGAGATGTTTACGGATTCAGGTTGGCCGATGATTTTAGCGACGGCCTTAGTAACGTCCTGGAGGATGTCGGAGCAAGTGACGGAGTCGGCTGGTACGTTAGTGAAGAGATTTAAAGTGGACATCTTCTCCTTTTTCAGACAAAACCAAAACTAGTGGCTTTCTTCAGTTCAGATATGGAAGTTGGGATAACGGTAAGAGCAAAAGGGTTTACATAAGTGTAAGAATCTAGCTGTAAACCTAGCTGTAGATCGAGCTGTAAACCTAGCTGTAAATCTAGTTGTAAATCTAGCTGCAAATCTAGCTGTAGATCTAGCTGTAAATCTAGCTGTAAATCTAGCTGTTTAAACATGAAATATATTGGCTTTTACGGGAGGTAAAATTATAAATCAAGGTTAAGATAAGAATTACAGCTTTTGAATTCAATAATCAAACAGTTCAAACCCAACAAATATCATTACAAGGTTGCATTCGCCTCTTCGATCGCCATCGTTTCAGAAAGTTGATCCGTTGAATCCGAAGAAGGGTCGCTGCGAAAGAAAAAAAAAAAAAAAAAAAGGAATTTAACCAACTTTCTATCAATTGATCAAGTTTATCAGAGTGCTTTCATCAAAGTGTGTATCCATATATATATAGCCCATCAGGCCATCATCGCAAGAATCTAGCTTTAATCTAATTGAGGATTCTATATATAAATTCTAGAACATGAGATCACCATCTTATGTAATTCATTTCTTGGAAGGCAAACGACATCTTTCTTATGCAAAATGGGACTCACCGGGGAATCGTAGAATTTGATATAAAAGCGAGAGCTATCTATGGAGAGCTTAATTTGGAGAATCTCAGATATCGTCTCACTAAGCTTCCCGTTAACGCCAGGTCCTAATCCCCCTATAGATATCAATTCTCCATATGCAGCGGGTTCCTCGGTACCGGCAAATGCAATGGGCACTCCACTGTTGAGCAGTATCATCACATACTGAAAAGATGATTAAACATAAGTCACGAGTTACGACTCCTTTAGTGATATGTCAACGTACTCTATTATTGGTTTCAACAAAGTTCCATGAAATTTTAATTCAAAAGGAATTCTCAAGAGTTAAGTTCTGAGGACTAACAATTCACTATTCACAGAGGAATTTCATCGAACAGTTCGTGTGCACAGACCAGCAACATCGTGAGCCTAATAAAAAAAAAAAACTAAAACTGTCCATTCTACTCTGCTTTCGTATAAAAAAAAACCCTAAACAGGAATAAAAGACAAGAACAAACACTGAAGGTTGATGAATTCTTGTAGAAATGGGAGAAACAGAGGAATTAGAGTTGTTTACGGATTCAGGTTTGCCGATGATTTTAGCGACGGCCTTAGTAGCGTCCTTGAGGATGTCGGAGCAAGTGACGGCGTCGACTGGTATGTTAGTGAAGAGATTTAAAGTGGGCATCTTCTCCTTTTTCCGACAAAACCAAAACCAGTGGCTTTCTTCTGTTCAGATATGGAAGTTGGGATAACGGTAAGAGCAAAAGGGTGTATTAATTTTATTTTCAGCTTTAAAAATTGAAATTAAAAAATCGGGCCATATAAAGTTATCAAACCGGAATCCCATGGGCCTATAATGCAGCCCAAATGTAAAATGTTAAGTTTTTTTTTTTTTTTTTTACATTTTAGAGGGGACCAATAGAGTTATGTCTTTACTAATTTCGTCTTCTTTTTTTTATTGGAATGAGCATATGGAGAATGAGAGACTTATGAAAATAGGCATTATTTGCTTAAGAACTTCAGATTTAGGCACTTTGCCAAGTTGGCGTTTAATATATGTGTAAAAGACTCTGTTCATGACTATTTCACCCCTCCTCATATGGGTGCAAATATCAGATGACGTGGGTTGTATAATTTTTTTGTTTGTTTGATAACTAGTTTCAATACAGAAACCGTCAACATGCAAGGATTCTCCACAAATCATCATGGACAACAACATATGTTTTAATGATATTAGTTAGATTTTCTTTACAACAAAACATACCTTAAATGCATAGTAGAAAAAATGCTAAATCCTTATTAACGACTAGTAAAACTTAAATCCAAACCGTAAAACGACAAAATGTAAAAGTGAACTTTTGTTAAAAATTTAAAGGAGTAAAAACACTATACCCTATATTTGGACGACTAAACCCAAACCATTTCAACGACAGTATGCTATGTATATAGCGAGCAAGAAAACGAAAATATATAAAAAGTGAAAATGCTATACCCTAGGATTAGAATTGGAAATCAATTAAAAAAAAAGATAAACTCTTAATTGTAACTCAAAAATACAAACACGATGTTCTAACAATAATATAAAAGAACAAAAAATTTAAACCCTAGTGAATCCACACTTTCTTTTACCGTATATCATCTATACATAATATCTAAACCCTAAGTTGTAAAAAGGGAACCCAAACACAATTCATTTACTACTTTACGAGATTGCAATATTCTAAATGAGAGAAAACCAAATCCTAGTCAAAAATTGGTGAACTCAAACACAATGCATTAATCACCTTACGAGATGGCTAATATCAAAATGAGAAAAATTACTAAACCTAGTCAAAAATTGGTGAACCCAAACCAATTTATTTACGGCACACAATAATGTAACTACCGTAACTTTTTTACCAAATGATAATATTATAAACAAAAAATCGCTAAATCATAGCCGAGAGATGGGTTTACCCAATTTGATTAAGGAATTATGCAAACAAAAAAAACTAATTACAAATTTCAAATAGTTTTATAATTTTTTTAAAGTTATATAAAAAAAATTACTTACACATAAAAAAGACAGTTATAGTATGTCCATCATTTACATATTTGTTTTATTGACGATCCCTGTATTTCTCCATAGTAAAAGATGAATATTTTGTCAATATATTATTTCAAATCTGTTTTTTTCACCATAAATAAAAGATATATTTGCTCAAAACGTTAAAAACCCTTGCAATGACATCATCAAAGAAAGGACATAAGCGTCTTTTTGACAGGAGAGAGAACTGTTTGAGTGCCTATTTCAGAACAGCATATCGTCGAGTGCCTATTTCCGAAGGGCATCTGGGTTTTGATACTTTTTTTGTAATTAACTCTATGGAGAATCATTCAATCGCATAACTCTTTCACTTTTGCCTTTCCATGCTTATGATAAGCTTTTAACGTTTTTCGGATCCAATGAAGGAGTAACGAAGGACAATAGAATAAGTGACTATATAGATAACAATAATAACAGTTTATAATTTCATTTTAATGACAACTGGCTTGAATTAGTATAGCATCACTTATACTGAAACAAACAAAATCAGCTTAAAGCCAAGTATTGTATAAGCAATCACAATATGTAAGCCCACGCTAAAGCCCATTTCTAAAAAAAAATACCAATATTACTTAACCTCTTCTTTTTATTTATTTGTCTTGTTATTTATGAATCTGACTTTTGACCTCAAAATTGAATATGCATATAATGATTTCTATGATAGTATCTTTGTTTCATATTTATTGAAACATAAGACATTAAGTCACCATAAAGTGTATTATAAATTTGTCGGTACATACTTCTTTTTTTTTTTACTTTTAGTACTAACTTCTCAATCTAACATTTAACTTTTGCATTCTCTATATTTATCTAGTTAGTTAGTTGTCTTGTTTGTCTGTTTTACTTTCAAAAGTTTATCTTAAGCATGGAAGGCAATATATGTAAGAGTTGTGCTACTGCATTATTACCCATGCTGATAAAATCAATTAGGATTCGAAATTTAGAGCAAGACATAGTTTTAATGGTCCCCTCCAATATGTAAGAGAGAAGATATAGTTCACTTGTTGTTTGTAACTATTTGGGTTACTCTTGAGCCATTAGCCATTTGATATAAACCTATAAGTTCACATTTTCAGATCTACCTAGTCTCATTTGGATTTTTTTAGCTATATAAGTGTTTTCATATTTACTTTATATATGAATAACTTCTATCATGTCTAACACACATGATTGATGATTCTAACTCGATCGCAATGTTAAAATATTTGTTTTTTAAAACTTATGTTAAAAAGCTTTGTTATTAACGATTTAATGTACATATAAATTCATTGGATTCATGTTTGGAGACTATCCTCTACATGTCTCTATGCTTTTACATGAATATAATCGATTGCAAAAATCAAAATACTATAATGTTATGTTTCAACTATGAAAATAGTGAATATATATACACTTAGAGATTATAAAGACAGTATGTTCATGAGATATTATGATATCCAAATGAGTGGTTAAATGGGATTTATAAGATGAGATATGTTTTCTCTAGCTCCCCTTAGAACGAGTTGGTTGTTTTTGTTGTCTACGACATCTATTTAATTTTCGTGTATCCTCTATGATATTCTCGTGTGGTTTATGTTAACTTATAGTGTAAAAACAAAAAATTGTAAGACCCATTAGATGTGGCCGAAATAACTACATGGTAAGATAATTGTAAACAAGTTGTCCACAATGTCTGATTTTGTACATATGTAATAGTTTTGAATTTATAGGACAATCAGAATTATGCCATTCGAGGGTTTTAAATTTTAACATAGCCGCATTCTTTCTAATTACGTACGGTACGTGTAAAGTCATCAAGCTGTAAATTATAAACATTGACAACGACAGTTAGGATATTCTTTAAAATCAGTTTCTCTTTTATTTCAACAATTTCTTTTAGTGAAACAAATACATGTCACTTTTTTTTTACATTTATATTTTGAACAATCTTCGTGTTAAATGAAAACCTTTTAACCAAAAAAAAAATTCGTGTTAATCACGTTATCTAATCCATATATAATCCTTTTAAAATCCAAATAAATCACAACTCAAATACGTATTGATCACAACAGGGGAGTCACATATTTTTATCTCGTTAGTTAATCAATCAAAAGAGTAAATTTTTTTAAAAAATTAACAAAGCAAAACAGATTGAAAAGTCTCTCCCTGATGTCCTTGAAGTAGTAGTATCCGGGTATAAAGTACTTCATTTACACATGCTGCAACGATTGAAATTATTAATGTACTTTTATCCAACAAAACTTTTACGGGAAAATGGTAAGGAATTATTAAAGAAATGGGAGAGAGGTCACATGTTGTCACAAGAATAACATAAGAACAAAACTTACTTTGGAGCAGTGCCATAACAAGGTTTATCCTGTTTTTTCTTGAGGTTCAAATTCCCTCCAGCACAATTTCTTTAGATAAGAAAAATTCTTTACACTTCAAAATTCTCTAAGATATTTTTTTTGTCAACCGACTTTTCTTACAAACGTAAATTAATTGGCCTTTATTTATAAGTTCTATTTCTCGTAAGAAAATACTGTTAAAAGCTTTTCTACTAACTAAGATCGTATGCATATGAACTAAAATTAATCTAATAACAAAATAACATTTTCTGATTCGTAGACTTAAAGAAAAAAACTGGTTTTAGTTTTCTTATCAAATTATCAATTGGAAAGATTTATTAAATCAGTATACGCAGTTGAGTATATGATCAATTATGCATATATATAGAGAGACAGATAATGAGTATTCTATAAGAACAATCATGAAAAATTATAAGCAAAATGCATCATTACCGAAATTAGCATATTGATCTTGTACCTTTTTTGGGGTTTTAAACATGTAGTAAAATATAGCTGATAAATGAATTTTCTTTTTAAAATTCACTTTATATAAAAAAATTCATATTTTGGCACTAGATATTTGACAGGCGCATATTTGATCTTCGTCAATATGTTATAATTTTTTTTCATCTAGATATTTCTAACCCCCACTAAAAGAATATCAAGAAATGAGGATGAACCCAAGCAAGTATCAGCATACCAATAAGAATGAAATTTGTAAGTTTTTTTTTGTCTTTTAAAGTTTTACCTTTACCTCACGGCCAATAGATGAACTCTGAAGACGAATTGTGTTTGTGTAAGTAAAATTTGTTAATGGATAAAAGTAGCAACTCATATTGTTTTGGTTTTTTTTTTCATCATATTGTTTTGGTTATAAAGTACTACTCCCTCCGTATTTTAATAATTGTCGTTTTAGAATTTTTATTTTTTTGAATTGGATGTCGTTTTCAAATTTCATTGCAAAATTTGAAAACGACATCAAATTTTTAAAAAAAAGAAAATCCTAAAACGACACTTATTAAAATACGGAGGAAGTAGTAGATATGCAAGTTACCTTTTAATTTCAATTTATTTGATTTCTTTTGTTGAGTGTATGTATTCACTTTGTTTTAATACAATTAAAATTTTGATATAGACGGATAACTCGTGGATATCATATCTCTCTCTCTATGTAATCTCTAATATCTAACCAGGAGTCATTGAACCTAATGAGGTAAACGTAGGTTTAGCTTTCGCCACAAATTACTTCTAATGATACCAAAAAGGTTCCAATCATTTTTTCTCTCACATACACAATCCACTAGCCCACCACTTTTCTCTCTCCACACTTTTGTTTTAAACTAAATTAATAAAAATTAGTTAATTGTTTAATAATTATATTGTAAATACGACAATTTTGTAAGCTTACTTCTACTAAATATAGCCAATTAGCTATAGATATTATATTCCGGCCGTTACTTTTCTATTGTTTGTTTTGCAGGAACGTATGAAAAGTTTTACTTAATTTAAACTAAAATAAAAAATTGATGAAATAATAGTCAACCAAGAAAGATAATTTAAAATTATCTGACACAAAATATAGATAAGAAATTATCTATTTTATGCTAATATTTCTTTCCCCAAATATGCTAAATTAGTAAATTTGAAAAAAAGAATCTTAATAAAAGGAAATTACTGAATTAATAAAGTCGGTTTTTAAGAACACGTGAAAACGTCTCCGACCAGGCGACCATAATCAGTTAACAGAGAAAGCACCACGTCATCAAAGAAATCTAGTGAAGCCAATGGTCATATGCCACGTCATTGGATAAGGTGACCTTTCCTCGTTTTCTCTTTAAGATCCCAAAAAGATTTGCAGATTTTTGGATGATGACGATGTGGTTTTCGCATTTTTTGGAAAATAATCCAAACAGAATCATTTTTCCCCAAAGACGCATTTAATGATATTAGTCACTAAACAGCCTGGATTAAACTCTTAAGCATCTTTCTTGGTAAAACCTAGGCCTTGGCGTTCGGATATTCGGGTCAGGTTCGGGTCGGGTTTTTCGGGTTCGGGTTTTTCGGGTTTAGAAAACTAAGACCCGTTCGGGTATTTTAAAACTTCGGGTTCGGGTCGGGTTCGGATCGGGTATTTCGGGTTCGGATTCGGATTTACCCGAAGTATCCAAATATTAGAAATTTTGTATCTAATTCTATGCAAAGTATTGAAAAATACTCAAAAAATCTATAAAACCCAAATATTTTATACCCGAATCTAAGCCAAAGTAGCTAAAACACCCGAAATATCTTAACATCCGAATAATTTAGGCACTTAGGTTATTACAAGTATAAATATTACTAATATACTATAACTATGTACTTATATTTTGGGTATGTTCGGGTACTTGTTCGGGTTGGGGTTCGGGTCGGGTTCGGGTTCGGGTTTTCGGGTTGTGAAGTTTAGAACCCGTTCGGGTATTTTAAAACTTCGGGTTCGGATTCGGGTCGGGTTTTTCGGGTCGGGTTCGGTTCGGTTCTTCGGGTTCGGATATTATGCCCAGGCCTAGTAAAACCTTACAAAACCAGTCAAAAATTTTTATAACTTCGAATTCTATTTAAATTCCTGATATCAAAAATTAAAATATAAACACATAGACGGCCTCACTTCTACTATTAATTAAAACAAAAATTATTGATACATACGAAAATATTTCCTATCTTTTAACATTTTTTTTGTTAATATGGTAACTCTTAACATAAAACCAAAAAATATGGTGACTTTAAATTGAAACTCAAACTAAGAATGGATATATAATTTATCAGAATTTTGTTTTTACTCCATAATAGCTAAAAGAGCTGAAAATAAATATTTGCAAATGGTAGAACTCGATTTTTGGTATCGTTTAAGAAGAAATATCTTCAACCTCAACCAACATAACACTGACACTAGATCGATCAGTCGATTAATTGCCATTACACTACCTAACACTTAAGGGATGAGGTGATTAGTGTTTTTAATTATGAGTAAATATTATTAAATATGAAAATGGGTAACTTCAATGAATCATTTCGTAGGATTCCAATCGAATTAATGATTGATCGCCGCTATATTATCTAATATATCGATGAGACGATTAATGTATTTTTCGTAAATGTTATTAAATGTGACAAAAAAGAGTAATTTTGACAAATCAACACACAATAAATTTATATTTATTCATATTATTACTGATCGCCGCCATATTACCTACGAATAAATTGATGAGTCGGATACTGTTTTAACTTTTAGTAAATATAATTTAATGTGATAAAATGAGTAAATATGATAACTTAATATGTGACAAATTTGTCTTCAATAATAAACGATGGCCGCTATAGTACAATATCACTGGATCGATGAAAAAATTAATATTTTTTACATCTTAATTAAACGATATTTAATATACAAAAATACTATTTTTGTTAAATCAATATGTAACGAATTTATTTTATTCGAATTATGACCGATCGCCGCCATGATCAACAATTGATTTTTCATTTTTTTTGCCTATTAAATCTTTAAATCATTTCTTAATAGCTCTCAAACATTGTTTGTAAAGTTCTTTAAAAATAAGTTAGCAAATTAACATTATAACCAAAAAAAAAGAGTGTGTAATATAATATTTACCGTTTTACTTCAATTCTAACACCAGTCATTGTAGATAATCCAAACGTTTTCAGTAACAAAATTTTCCTTATAAACCTTTTGAATGGCTCTTTCTCTAATGGATATAAAAAAAACTTAAGTCGTGGAAGTATCTATATCCATAAGAAAAATCGTTTTACAAAGTAATTTAAAATTTTAAATTAAGACAAAAGTGAAAAAATCCACTAGTGGACCCCATTCATTCCAAAATTGCCGATTACGAGCTATCTTGTCCCTTCTTCACCATACGCTCACTCTCTCTCGTCTTCTTCTTCCTACCACTCTCTCTGTTTCTCCACAACTTCTCTTCTTATGTTTAAATTACCCCAAAAAAAAAAAAACGCTCTTCACTATTTATTTACTAATCTCTTCTTTGTTTGTTACTAAGCTCTCACTAAAACCCTAATCTTTGCTCCTCTTATATATCTCGTGACTCTTCTTTCTCCTCCAATCTCTCTCTCCCTCTTCACAAACCAATTGGCTTCTCTCTGTAAAACTTCACTCGTTGGCCAATTTCTTTTGGTTTTCATAAACACAAATCTCAGATTCCAAATGGGTTTTGATTTTTCTAGTATTTTCCTTTCTTAGCTCTTTCTTTCAAATGATGAAGACGAATCTTTCTTTTCTCCTTCCTCTTTCCCTAAAGTTTTGACCTTTTTTTTTCTCCTTCAATTTTGTATTTTCTCACCTAATAAAAAAAGGTTTCTTCAGTGGGTTTTAAGGGTTTATTATTATCTTAAAATCAAACACAATTTCTTAACCAAAAGGAAACAATCTCAATTTCATCACTCACAAAACAGTAATCTTCAAAGTTTTGGTCTTTTTTACTTGTTGTAATCAAACAAACAATCTTCAAATGTCGGCTTGTATAAGCAGTGGCGGAGGAGGAGCAGCAGCATATAGTTTCGAGTTAGAAAAAGTGAAATCACCACCATCAAGCTCAACAACAACAACAAGAGCGACTTCACCATCATCAACAATCTCCGAATCATCAAATTCACCACTCGCAATCTCAACGAGAAAGCCAAGAACACAACGCAAAAGGCCAAACCAGACTTACTACGAAGCAGCTACTCTTCTCTCAACTGCTTATCCAAACATCTTCTCTTCAAACTTGTCCTCTAAGCAAAAAACTCACTCTTCCAATTCTCACTTCTACGGGATTGTTAAATCTCCATTGCTTAGTGACAACGATGACGCTTCTGATTTGCTTCTTCCTTATGAATCAATCGAAGAGCCTGATTTTCTGTTTCATCCGACCATTCAAACGAAATCGGAGTTTTTCTCCGAGCACAAGGAAGTTAATTCCGGTGGAGGTTACGGTGGTGAAATCGAAAAGTTTGATTTTTCCGACGAATTCGATGCTGAATCGATTCTTGATGAGGAGATTGAAGAAGGAATCGATAGTATAATGGGAACTGTGGTGGAATCGAATTCGAATTCGAATTTGGGGATTTATGAATCTAGGGTTCCGGGAATCAGAAGGAGTTCTAATCGAATTGGTAAATTAGAACAGATGATGATGATCAATTCATGGAATCGAAGCTCTAATGGATTCAATTTCGCTGGAAAGTTTCCGTTAGGTCTTGGATTAAGAAGCGCTCTCAGAGAGAACGATGACCCAAACTTGTGGAGAATTCAAACCGTTGATTTCGAACAGATCTCGCCGCGAATTCCAACCGTCACAACCGAAACCGCAATCTCCACCGTCAACGAGGAAAAATCCGACGGTAAAAAGGTAATCTCCGGAGAGAAGAGTAAGAAGAAGAAGAAGAAGAAAATGACAACGCCATTGATTACGGAATCGAAAAGCTCGGAAGATACGGAGGAATCGAGTCCGAAGAGAACAGGTCCATTGTTGAAGCTTGATTACGACGGCGTTTTGGAAGCTTGGTCTGATAAAACGTCGCCGTTTGGTGATGAGATTCTGGGATCGGAAGCTACTGGTATCGATGTCAATGTATGTTAACACTAATCTCTTTAATCTCAAATACTTCGCCGTTAAATTCGATATCTTCTATGTTACTGTATTGTTTTTTAGTTAATGGTTACTTTGAAATAATTAATTATTCGTAGCTTATATTTCGGAATTCTGTTCTGACTACTAATTTTCTGCCACGTGGCTTGGAAATAGAAGGGGAGTGTGTTGATTTTGATGCTTTAAATAATCAATAGTTAGTAATTTATTAGCTCCTCATAGTATCTGACAAGAATTTATTAAATTTTCTTGTAACGTATTTTGAAGAATAATTATTAACCCTTTGACTTTGGTGGATAGTCTTTTTCTTTACAAACTTTTTTAAATAATTTATGATGACTTTCAATTAGTAATTAACAAAAAAGCTGCTTTTTATTTGTCCAATGAAAACTTTATAGACTGTGCACGTGAATTTTCACGTATAGGATAAATGAAGAGGTTCAAAATTTATTTTGTATATATCCGTTTCGTCGAATACTCCTTTTAGCATAAAGTCTAGTAGTCTACAAATGTTAACTAGGATTTGAATGATTGGGTATTTGTATTATTATTAATGTTGGACATGAACTAATTGGAGTGTGTGTTTTGGGGCAGGCTAGATTAGCTCAGATTGATTTGTTCGGAGACAGTGGAATGCGAGAAGCAAGTGTTTTGAGGTACAAAGAGAAACGTCGAACTCGTCTTTTTTCCAAGAAAATTCGATACCAAGTTCGCAAACTCAATGCTGATCAACGTCCTCGAATGAAGGTATCTCACCCATCTTAATCCGTGGTTAAAAAAACATGTAGGTTTTTACCATCCATCGAAATTTGTTTTATTTGTTTTTAATTTTAACCTGCTTTATGAGTTTTAGTTTTAGTTTTGAGTTTTAAAAGTAGATGAGAAAACTCTAGTTGAGTTTTTCTAATTCGTGGGTTTTAACGAAGAGGAAATAGTTTCTATTGGGTATCTTTAATCCAAATGAACCAAAATGAACAACAAGTGAAGGAGTCAATATGATTAGAATCAATCCAAAGGTTAAATATATCAATCACTAAAAATTGTCATCTAAATGGAAAAAGGGTGAATTATGTACACGTTTAACGGAAACAAACCAAGTATTAACGTTAGATTAAGGTCAAGGGCTAGGGATATACATAAGATTTGAGTAAGACAAGAACCTAATATTAATGTTTTCACTTCTTTTTGTGGTTGGTGATGGGATGTTGGAACAGGGACGATTCGTGAGAAGGCCCAATGAGAGTACTCCAAGTGAACAAAGATAACAAGGATAAAAGAGCCTAGATTTATCTTTTCTTTTCTTTTTATGTTTTGTTTATTCCCTTTTTTATTTTGTTTCTAAAATTTTGGCACCTCCTTTTTTTGTTTCTTAAGTTATGGTCCCTTGACTCCCTTTCGTTTATAATTTTAGATTTTTTATGAGGGAGATTTGATTGAGAAAATGAGGGATCAAAACAAATAAAAGTTTTTGTTATTAATAGAAACATAACTCTTCAGATTTTAATGACTCAAGAAGCAATGAGATTTGGCTCACAACAACAGTTTCAGAGACAAGACATGGATTATTCACCAATCCCAATGGCTCAAACTATGTAGCAGCCTTGTACACCTGTTGTTTTATTGCCCATTGCTTCTTTGAGTCATCAAAACCGGTGACAAATCATTGATACGTCTCAAGATCTGTTGTTGCTGAGCCAAATCTCCTTTCCCAATGAAAACATTATAGAGACAAAGCATATTTGAATTAAGGGGAAATAGCTTCTAGTGAATGGTAGTTTCTTCTAGAAACCATTTTACCTTTGACAAGAATCGACTAATCGAGTGTTATCTCACAAGGCTTGATGGAATGGCAAAAGGAGAACGCTCTGCCAAGGAATGTGTGTTTAGCTCATTCATTGTATAAATAATACCGAGGAGATTTCATTTGGTTATATACAGAGTTATTATGCGCGAAACAAGAGGAAAATCAAATCAAACCAAATGATCTCTGGTAATCAGACCAGTGACAAAGATTTTCAGGTCATGTAGACCTAGCAAATGTCCTTGGGGAGACACCTAATTGCATTCCAACTCTCACTAATGTCTCTAAGGACCTACCACTGTTAACCAAGAGATCCTCATCAATCCGGATCGAGTCCTGCAAAAATGTGTTAAGTGAAAAAAGAGTAGTCAATTCAGATTGATTTAAAAAAAACAGTGAATATATCATATCTATAAAGGCTTAAAAGTGTTCTTAAGATTTATATACATTAAGTCGCTAACCTTTTCAAAGACGCATATAACCGTGCTTCCACCAAACGAAAAATAACCAAGCTTCAAGTGTTTCTTGCGAAAAGTCGAAACTGCTTACTTCATCTCCTTTCTTCACATGCTCTCCTTCCTTTCTGACAAAATTTATGCTACCAACCATTGTCGCACCGATTGCAACAAAAGCAAACTTTTCAATGACTCCAGAGACAGGGACATGAAAGCGATGATAATCGTGTAACATTCAAGAAATGTGTAAAAGAGAGCAAACAAGAACTATGTAGTGTTCTAGCCTGTGAATCGTATATCCAGTCTCATCGAACCTGTGGTGCTAGTCGGAATATCACCAAAGATCCATCAAGGAAGGCATTTTGGATTCACATTCTTCCCAAGGAGGCCTCTTATTGAAAACTTTTTTCCCTATCAATGCAGAATCAATACAAAAACTTTAAGATGTGTTGCAACTTATCAGCTTTGAGAGTTCTCTACTTTTGCATAATAATGGTAAGTATATAGTAAGCTACTCTAGAGACCATTTTACCTTGATCCAGAAACGTGTACTATCCTCCACCGACTGAAATGCCATTACACGACAATCAGCAGCACATACGGCAACATCATCACGTTTCATGCAAGCAATTGGTCTTGCACCAGGTTTCAACTCCCGGATGAAGAACTCATTGAACGTCTGCAAGTAAAAAAATCCTTCCTTAGACTTAGTCACTTGCTAATACTGTGAGTCTAAGTACTATACACATTTGGATTAAATGTGGAGGGTATAAATAAGATCCCTTACATACCTTAAAATGCTGCAGAGAATACTTGACTTCAGCCATGTTTATTTGATCCAGCAACAGACAAAAAATCTCAACTCCAAACTCAACAACAAAGCAAAACACATTATAGCTTAATAAATAGTAACTTTACATGCCTTAAAGAACTCGAGAAAGCATGGTATTTTTTGTGCGGATTCAACTGAGCTCATTTTCTTCCCCTGCTTCTCAGAAAGTCTCTGTAGAATCTCCTTTGCCCCTGGATCAAGAAGATCAATCAAACGTACAAAATTGTGTTATTTCGTTAGCGTAGCGTCAAGGCGAGGTATCCTAAATAGTTTACCTTGATCCATAAGTCGGAATCCAATTTTGGACTGATAAATAGCTCTCATGGACAGAACAATCTTTGAGTCAATCAACTCTTCCACAAGTCTCTTACTCTTCCGGTCAATCACCTATAGCAAAAAGCAAAACACCAAGAATCACATAAGAAACAAAAACATCAAGAGACAAACTAAAGAGAGCAAAAAGAAAAGAATACCACAATATATGAAGCACTTGAACCAGTATTCAAACCCACGTCATAAGTTGATAAGTGTGTCCATTCACTTAGTTTGAACATCCAACTGAACAAAAAGTTGAAAATATGATGTTACGTAAGAGATGTCTAGTTCTTTAGCTTAAAGAAGAGTTTTCTCACCCATAAGAAGCTTGTCTATCAGTCAAAAACCCTCCGGTCATCACTTGATTACCCGTTCCTTCGTCAAAACAAAGAGTCATATGGATCATCGCGTTGAGCTTGTCAGAGAGCTGAAGAGCCTCACCACACACCGGACAATTATTTATAATTGGCTCCCTGCATTGGATAATTCAAATTATTTTAGCATTCTAGGAGGTCAAAATACACTTGTGATGAAAGCAAGAATGAAGAATATTTGAAAAAATGAAGTAAATCAAGGGTCATTACTGTTCTTGTTGGAGAGCAAGAAGCGCAGCCAACTCGTCAATTGTCACAACACCGTCCCCATTCAGATCAGCGGCTTTGAACAACTCCTCCTTCTGGTAAATAAGTCAGTGAAAACCTTATAACATCAATTGAAAATGAGAGAAAAGCTCATGCATCCACTAATGACATAGATTCTTAAAGCCGAACCTTGTTAGCAGCCACTAAGTTTCCAAAAGCCTTTATTAGATCAGAGAACTCCGAAAACGACAGTTGTCCATCTTGATTGTAGTCCTGCACTTTGTCAAAGAACTCTTAACTATCATTCTAAAATATTCTACAAAATTTTGTTCAAGAGAAGAAAGAAACATTGAAGTGTGCCATACAGAGAACAGAATAAATAAGAGAGGAAGATTTAAGGTAAAGCATACCACAATGGACAAGATACGCTTTGCAAACCGCCTCTCGGTTTCAACAGGATCCTACAAATATTTAAGTAACCAAAGATCAGACACCATTGGTCCTTTATTTTCTCAGAGTTTCCATTAGTGTGTACCTCAATAGCGCAAGAAAGGAAAATGGTGCCAACAACATTGGATGATGTGGGATCTAACAAGTCAAATGACTTACACGCCGACTCAGGTTCCTGTATCACGCCTAAGAAAGCAAATAAGCAGAGAGACAATAATCTTGCAATAATCTTACATTAAAACAAGAATTTATATAAACATATACAAAGATAAATTTAGAACTGCTGACCTGCACTACAAAATCGAATATATCAAGCTCACAATAACCGATGATTTTGTTCCTTGAGAGCCTACTGGTCTGCACAAATAAAAGGATGATCCTTTAAGCTGACTATTAATCCAAAAAACAATGTCATGATTCAGGACTAAACTCAAAAATATGGATAATAGAAACCTCAAATACAGAGACCCTAGCAAGACTTGGTCCATTTTTTCTCCAACAAAAGCTTCTTCTCCTATATACAGAGAAACACTAACTGTAATTACCAATTAGCAGAACCAGATTATTCAAAAGACATGGTCTTGATCAACTTACTGAGTTCCAAATTGGCTTCTCTGTACTGCAAATTCATCAGAAACAGAACTGTTATCAATTTTCCTTGGAACTTTACGTATCTGAGATTTTAGTTCTAAAAGTCTGTTCACCGAAAGAAACACAAGCGAGCCACTTGTCCTTAAACTTCATATCCGCCTGAAGAAACAAGACTAAAACATCACGTGAGAAGCGCAATGCCGGAGAAATCCTCGGCGGACACAGCTCGTTGTATCACCATTCCTGCTGAGTTTCGAGAACAACGAAGATGACGACGGTGAATGCGAAACTTTTGTAGCTTCTGTCGTAGCTTTGACCGTCTCGATTCTTTAGCCTCCCTTGAGTTTCCGTTTCCCATCTCTGTCCCTAACGCACCAGGAAGATTAAAGGATCGGAGAAGAAAACAGAGAAACAGAGAAACAGAGAGAGAATAGAGTTTTTTCTTTTTGTTTTGTTACTTAAGAAAGTGGACACTTTTTTCTTTCTGTTTTCTCTTTTGGTTCAATTAGTCGGTTCTGTTTTTATCAATAGATAGATGCAAAATAAAACGAAAATATTTAAAAAGTATCTGAGGATGAGATCTGATCATTATAAAACTAATAAATTCACAATCCATTTTTTTAATGTAAGAAGAAGAAATAGGGAATGATTAGAACTAGATTAGTGTTTCTTTTTCCCTGCTTCACCTATAAACCTACCTAGAATTCATATACTTCTTTAAGCAGATACTTGAAAAAAGCCAGCTTGATGAATCCTTGAGCTCCATGCTCTAGCCCAAATGAATCTTGGAACTCCAAAACTTGCAATCCGTCCTCAACTGCACCAGCAGCAATGAGCAGCCCATGCCCCATAACCTTCTCGAAGGGCATTCTGCACAAATCAGTTACGGAGGGTATATGTGTTACCTGAAAAAAAAATTGTTTCCAAGTTAATAAAACAAAGAAAATAAGTGTATATGGAGTACATTAGTTTAAATTTCTTACCTGTGTAGCAAAATCCCACTCCTGGAAACTGGGAGGGAGCTGGATCATCACTGACACCGGGACTCTCCTGGCTAACCGAATCGTGTTGTTAGCAAAAATCTCGAAGTCTTCTTCGCTGCCATGCCTAGTAGGCCGGTAGTGGATCTTGAAGCCCTTCCCATGCTTGGACATGAAGGGAAGTGCATTCTTCATACTATTGATGCCCAGCCCTGACATGAGATGTCGGGGATCCACACCATGGTAAATCTTCATCACACCTGCTTTAACCTCATCCTCAACAGCTTGAACCTTATCCACACCAGCTTGAACCTTCTCAACATCAAGGTCAGGAACAGATAGGGAAGAACCAGCATCCACACCAGCTTCAATCTTCTCAACTTCAAGGTCAGGAACAGATTGGGAAGAACCAGCATCCACACCAGCTTCAAGGTCAGGATTAGATTGGGAAGAACCAGCTATATTCCTTGCAGCATAGTGCCCTTTGTACAGAGCTATTGCCCAGCATTCAACTGAGCAGTTATATAAAGACAACAGTTAATGATGTTCCCATTTAAAACAACAACTGTTAATGTTCAAAATGAATTTAGAATCTTACATGCTTTTTGCTCATAGAAAACAAACAACTCAGGTCTCTCCTTCCAAGAAAACGGCAGCAGTACATTTACTTGGTCTTGTTGCATGCTTTCTTCGATTGATTTTTTACGTCTTTCAATCTATTAATAAAGAAAAGGATGTTAAAGAAAACAGACTAGTGAATACAGAAATAGAAAACTGTAATTCCTAATTTATGTACCTTTTCAACGAGGATCCTCTCATTATTGCCCTGCAAAAAGGAGAAATCAAATCTTTAAATCAAATATCCATAATTATTAGAATGACTAATTGATGGTCAAATATCCATAGATATGCTTACAAGTAAAGCTTCGTTGACCCAGTGTTTGAGATTAACATGGCTAATCTGCCCCATGTTTAGATCAACTCGTTCCAAACAAGACTTAAATTGATCCTCATTCTTATCATCGGTTTGGATGTATAGGTAACAAAACCTACAAATAGAATAGAAAGGGTCAGTTAGGAAACATAACCAAAAGATAATAGAATCAAAAGAGAAGAAAAATTTACCCTAGAGAAGCTCCGTTTGACGTTGATCGCGGAATGAAAGTTTTGATAAGGATACCAACTGATTCCGGTTTATCAGCAGTTCCTATAGATCCGAGTGCCTCAGAAAATCTTTGCTTTAGGTCATTATCAGAGAGCGTTGGGTCAAAACCAACCACACAAGCTGTGAAAAGGCTAGAACTCCATCGAGCAAGATACATCGGTTAGCCCCGCATTTTTTCGCCTTTTAATTTCATCGCCTGCATTAAGACAGAAATGTAAAGCAACTAAATAACAATAAAACCATTAGGACAGAACATAAACAAGCAATTACCGCTTGCGTTTGTTCAAGTGACGAAAACGTCATGACAGCAACCGAACCAACTACACAGTCATTTTCATCTCTCGTTTCGTAGATGTCCACCCCAGGTTCAGCAATGTTTGAGAAAAAGCTTTTGCTGCAAGAGCCATCATTAGTAAGAGCCATCATTAGTAAGAGCCATCATTAATAAGAGCCATCATTAGTAAGAGCAATCATTAGTAAGAGCCATCATTACAGAACTGTATACACAAACGATATACTTACATTTCAGTCTCAGAAATGTCAGCGTCCAAGTTTCGAGCTGCAAGTATAGTTGGTTCAACAAGAGCTTCATGTTCGAACTCCTCGCTGCTTGAGGACCAAGCATCAAATACTGATTCCTCGTTCTCCATTAGGTTTAGTGTCTTCTTCAGTGTACCTTGAAGAAATAAGAAGATGAATATGAAGAATTTAATGATACATACATGGCGTTTAGATACAGACAAAGAAACTTCCTACATATACATTATACGCCAGTTTCTAGCTACTATGATACAGACAAAGAAACTTCCTACATATACATTATACGCCAGTTTCTAGCTACTATGATACAGACAAAGAAACTTCCTACATATACATTATTTGCCATTTTCAAGCTACTATGACTAACTCAGAACCTGGAAAATGGGAAGTGAAGTGAGATCTGTATCGCAGATGAGAATCGAGGCTTCTTAGATTCGAATTTCTATCTAACATGGTCAATTACACTCCAAAAGGACGAAAAGATGAAGCTAAACCAAGAGGAAATGGAACTAAAAACTAGTTTCTTCTCGCGGAGAGACAAGTCTATCTAATCTATATCGGAAATTGAAGAGAGATAGTAACGGCGTGTACCTTGAACAAACCCTAGAAGGTGAAATTCTCTGAAGAGACGAGCGTCGTCTTTTTGCTCTGAGGAGAATGTAGCAAATGTTTAGGGTTTTTGCGCATTAAAGTGGTCTTGTAGCTCTATGTTATATTTCTATAAATAACCCCAAGATCCCCATAGTTTTCTTTAATCTCAAAATAACCCCAACATTTCATAAAGTGAATACTCCCGTATTTCGTTCTTCTTGTAATCCCACCAACAAGTACTACTTATTCTACTTAATCATGGATTTTTTTCAGTACGTTCTCTCTTAGAATTTTGTGTGAGATCTGCAACACAAAGATAACAAACACATAACAATACCTCGAACGTAACAAAAGACTGGTATAATACGCAAATTTGTTTTTATCAATACATGAAAATGTCGCTCAAAAGTCTACAAAATTTCTTTCTAGCTACGATGATGATGATGATGATGATGATGATGATGATCATTAGGGCTTTCATCATCTTCCTCATACCTCCAACCAGACAGCAAAGAAGAGATCTCTCCATCAATCATTCTAGCAATCTCAACTAGTTCCCAATCTGTGATCTCGAGTTCTATTACCGTCTCCTTTGCAACATCAATGGAAGTATCATTCATGATGTCAAAGGGAAAGAACACGTTATTTGCCATACCTGGGACATAAGAAACAATTATGTGACCGAATAACAAAATGATCAGCTTAACTAAATCAGTCCTTTTTACCATTTTCATCTGCGATTTGTACTCTCAAATAGATTGTGTTATCTTCAGCGTTCAGCTTCCCAGTGATGGTCGTCTGGGTCCTTCCTAACTCATCATCTTCCAACTTCAGTGTGGCCATTTCATTCTCGTTCAAGAAGTGCTTTGGATTCCCAGCACCGCTCGCGTATACCATCCAGGACTATTCAGAGGTAAGAAATGGATCTTGCAATACTTCTTTTGCTGATACTCTCTTTGAGGCAGACACAAGGCGTTTCCCGATGAACCTCTGTGCCTCGATGTCTCCAACTCTGTAAAAGGCTCCTAGTAGCTTTCCCTGGAAAGAAAACATTAGAAGGCTCATTCCTAGTTCAACTGATAGCTGCATTTATATGCTCACAGATCGACAGACTTACCGCGACAACTTCCTTGTAAATCTGTGCCGGATTGTTGCACTCACTATACGGGAACTCAGAGGTGATCATCTCCAAAAAGCACATACCAAAGGAGTATACGTCAATGAGTTCATTATAGTTCTCCTCATATAATTCTGGTGCCATGAACTCAGGAGTGCCTATGCAAAATAAACACAAAGAGGTCTAAGGATACGATTTGGACAAGAAGTGAAAACAAACGATTTTTGTAACATACCGATGACGCTATGGGCCGAGTCGCAGTCCCGCAGCATCCTCGCAAGGCCAAGATCGCCAATTTTAACTTGTCCAAGATGCCCATTAACAAAGATATTATTATCACACTTGAGGTCTCTATGGATAACAGGAGGGTCATGCCCGTGATATAAACAAGCCCTTCCAAGATCTGCCGAGACCATGACTTGATTGCTCAGATATCTATCCGCAAGTACTTATTTTTGTATCTGCACAAAACGGGACAGGGTCATACAACGCAAAAACACAGTAATCTTGTCACAAGAGAATACTTCAGCTCTCTAACAAATAATACTTCAGCTCTCGAGCAACCATTTTGTCTCCTTTATCAAGACTTGGCTCATGTTCCAGTTCTTGTGCACTCATTGTGTGCTCCTCCTCTGCTGCATTCACATTATCAATCCCATCATTCTCGAGACATTCCATTCCATCACCATCATTAGCGTTCTCTCTATTAATCCCATTACCGTCCTCCCTTTCACCACGCGGCTCGTTGACGATATCAATAGTATCACTCTCCAAACGCCTTGTGCTTTCATCAACAGCACTTTGATCCCCTATGTTGTCAACAACATCACCCTCTACGTTCACAGCCTTGAGCTTAAGAAACCTTCGTTGAGCTACTGATTCAAGAGAGGAACTCCCAAGTAATGCCCACTGTTCTTTGAGAAGCTGAGTGAGAAAGGAAATGGCAGTGTACCTGATATTAGTCTCACGAATTCGCTGATAGAGCTCAGGTTCCTGAAGAGCCTTCTTGAAATCAGTCTCCCACTTCAACAAGTCATAAGTCACCAAATCGCTACCACTCTCTTTTAAACTCACAGTCCTCTTCGTCCATATCCTCTCAAGTACCTCGGTGAACAAACCATCCGAAGAAAACATTGGCCACATAAATCTAAGCGTACACTCAGCAGCCGTCCAGGAATAAGCAGACTTGTGAGACTCCATGAGTAGCGAATGTTGCTGCAAGAGAAGCTTCTCAAGCATCTCGAGAAGGTCAAGCATTCCCTCATCGATCGTACCTCGGATCAATGAATTGGAGATATCCCGCAAGACAGAAGATACCTTGAGCTTTATGCAGTCAGAGGAATCACCCAATTGCAGAGCCGAAATCAGATTAATAGGGGCAACCATAGGATTATGTTGTCGACGGAGGATAAATTCAGCAACCCATTGATCAATGACTTCCATTTTTGAAACTTTCGCGGTCAAAGTTGTAAACCCTTTTTTTTGGTCAGCGGATGCAATGTCGCCGGAGAAGACGAAAAGCTCCAATCAGTGATTGAATTCGAACGGTTTCAGGTATATTCTGTTAATGGGCCTTTAATTGGGCCTAAAGTCAAAGAAGATAAACGGTGTGGATGATAAAAGAGTGACAAGTGTCAAGAGCTGAGCCTTATCCATAGATTCCCCAATCCTCTCTTTCTTACTACTCTGTCGCTTGGCGCGCTCTCTCTCCATAGTTCCAGTTCTGATATCTCACTTTCACAGTTTGTGTCTGTGCGATAATGGCCATGGCAGAGCTCTCAACCCCCAAAACGACGTCGCCTTTTCTCAACTCTTCGTCTCGGCTTCGTCTCTCTTCAAAATTGCATCTTTCAAACCACTTTCGCCATCTTCTTCTTCCACCTCTCCACACAACAACTCCCAACTCCAAAATCCCTTGCTCCGTTTCTCAGAAGTAAGTCTATTTTAAGCTCCTAATCGTTTCTTCTCTCTTAAAAAATTAGACTTTATCTGATTTTAGATGCTTTTGTGAATTTATGATAAAAGTAGCCAAGCTCCTGTTGCGGTTCAAGAAAATGGATTGGTGAAGACGAAGAAAGAGTGTTATGGAGTGTTCTGCCTCACCTATAATCTTAAAGCTGTATCTTACTATTCCTCTTTACTATTTCTCTTTAAAAAATCTTATCTTTGAGACTTGCGAATGGAGATAATCTCTGCTTCACATACTAATATTTTGTATAAATGTTGTTATCAAAATCTGGAATCATCTTAGATCTTGAGTTATCAAATTTTTTTATGTTTTCCAGGAAGAAGAGACAAGATCATGGAAGAAGTTAATCAATATTGCAGTTTCTGGTGCTGCAGGAATGATTTCTAACCACCTTCTCTTCAAAGTAAGTTGATCCTTTTTTAAATTACTGTTTTTTAGGATAAGGTTACCAATGATTGGTCTTATTTTATGTATCTTTGGTATTCCGGGTGTGTAGCTTGCTGCAGGGGAAGTATTTGGTCCAGATCAACCCATTGCATTGAAACTGCTAGGATCAGAGAGATCAATCCAAGCTCTTGAAGGTGTTGCAATGGAACTGGAGGATTCATTGTTCCCATTGTTGAGAGAAGTTGATATAGGAACAGATCCAAATGAAGTGTTCCAAGATGTGGAGTTGGCTATTTTGATCGGTGCAAAACCTCGAGGCCCTGGAATGGAACGTGCTGACTTGTTGGACATCAATGGACAAATCTTTGCTGAGCAGGGCAAAGCTCTTAACAAAGCTGCCTCTCCTAATGTCAAGGTTCTTGTTGTGGGAAACCCTTGCAACACCAAGTAAGCTGCATTCCTTAATTCAACCCTCTTCGTATCTTGATCAACGACGAGGATTGTGAGTATAACTTTATTCATTTTGTATTATTTCAGTGCCTTGATTTGTCTTAAAAATGCTCCCAACATTCCTGCAAAGAACTTCCATGCCCTCACGAGGTTAGACGAAAATCGTGCCAAATGCCAGGTACCAGATTTCACTCTTATATGTGATTGTATGCAGCATATTTTCATACATATGATTGACAATTTCCATTTCGTAGCTTGCTCTTAAAACCGGCGTCTTCTATGACAAAGTGTCTAATATGACCATATGGGGAAATCACTCCACGACTCAGGTTTGCCTTATCTTGCTCTACTGTCATCTATTATCTCCCTATATCTTGGGATGTTTCTCTTATCTCTTAGAGGTGAATCAGGTGCCAGACTTCTTAAATGCCAGAATTAATGGCCTGCCTGTGAAGGAAGTTATTACAGATCACAAATGGTTAGAAGAGGGATTCACTGAGAGTGTGCAGAAGGTAAGATACCGTTTCCTCTGATGATGTAATGATTTCTACAATGAGAGATAACGTTTGGCCGAGTAAGTTTGTGTTTGTTTTACAGAGAGGTGGGTTATTAATTCAGAAATGGATAACAACAAGATAGATTGGTTCAAATTTTAATAGGGTTGTGTTAATGTAATTTTAGGTGTACACGGATGGAAATCCCTATGGTATTGAAGAGGGCCTCGTCTTACTATTTTTCTTAAAAAAAAATCTTATCTTGAGACTGGAGAAGCTGGGTGTTTGTGGCTTACGTGAAACCGCATAAGGCGACTGAAACCCAACTGTTTCTACGTCTCCAACAGTTTTGAACAATCTTCTTTTTCTAGCCTCTTCCCCTGGCGACCGGTGCAGTAACTGTCTCTGCACGTCTACAAGTGATCGGTTCCTTGTAAGTGTGCGGTTGTCTGAAGCCAAGCTTCTGTTAATTGAACTGGAAGCTGCATACGTGTTGGCTTGTCCTGACTGTAGATGAGAGCTTTCTTCGGGACAAAACCTCGTCAAGTTGTGAGTTCTGCTCATAGCAGGAGATTGGGAGCTGTGCTCATCAACAGCTATGTAGTTGAGGTTGGAGTAAGACCCTGAATGGGAAGAACTCTGAGAATACGTCTCATCGTGTAAATCATCTGCAGTTTTAATTTTTATGTCAAAAACTTTTATATAAGCATCTGTCACACTATGTACGTTGAGACTGGTGTTACTTTCCATACCTTGTACCCAATCTTGAAGGCCTCCTGCCATATAGTTAGAGAGTGAAGCTTGGGAAGATGACGAGTGCGAGGAAGAAGAGTGGAAAGGATCGGTACGATGACGATGATGATCATGAGGGGTTTCATCATGTTCCTCATACTTCCAAACCAGGCACCAAAGAAGAAATCGCTCCATCAATCATTTTAGCAATCTCGAATGGCTCCCAATCTATAATCTCGAGTTCTTTTACCATCTCCTTTGCAACATCAATGGAAGTATCATTCATGATGTCAAAGGGAAAGAACACATTATTTGCCAGACCTGGAAAGAAAGAAACAATTATGCGACCAAATAACAAAATGACCAGCTTCATCAAATTAATCCCTTTTACCATTATCATATGCGATTTGTACTTCCAGATCGATTTCGTTATCTTCAGCGCCCAGCTTCCCAGCGATGGACATCTGTGTCTTTAACTCATCATCTTCCAACTTCAGTGTGTCCATTTCATTCTCGTTCAAGAAGGGCTTTGGATTCCCAGCACCACTCGCGTACACCATCTAAGACTCATCAGAGGCAAGAAATGGATCTTGCAATAGTTCTTTTGCTGATACTCTCTTTGAGGCAGACACGAGGCATTTCCCGATGAACCTCTGTGCCTCGATGTCTCCAACTCTGTAAAAGGCTCCTGGTAGCTTTCCCTGGAAAGAAAACATTAGAAGGCTCATGCCTGGTTCAACTGATAGCTGCATTTATATGCTCACAGATCGAAAGACATACCGCGACAACTTTCTTGTAAATTTGCACCGGACTGTTGCACTCACTATACGGGAACTCAGAAGTGATCATCTCCAAAAAGCACATACCAAAGGAATAAACGTCAATGAGCTCATTATAGTTCTCCTCATATAATTCTGGAGCCATGAACTCCGGAGTGCCTACGCAAAAGAAGCACAAAGAGGTCTAAGCATACTTTGGAGAAGAAGTGAGAACAAACGATTTTGAAAAAAACTTACTTGCCAATAAGATACTCAAGCCACAGAGTTAAGAAAGTGTGGATACTGGGAAATGCGATATAGAGGAAAGAGTTTTGTTTCTTGAGGAAACTGCACAATTTTCAATTGAACCAATTATTAGTTTGGTGAACACAAGCAATCCAAAATAGATTGAGGTTAACAAAAATAAAACGACAAAGAAAAGGGGAAAAGTCAGAACAGAAATGGGGAGCATGACAAGAAGTTGTAGAGAATAGAGTGATAATGACATCACCGTTGAACAATTGTTTTTTTTTGTTGGCGGCCAGTTCCTGCAGCCCTCAGGGAGTTCACGGTTCTGTAATAAACTAATAACACATAACAAATATGCATTAACCAATAAGTATGTGCATGAGAAATTGAGAGCTCTCATCATCTTACTTAGCTTTGTATCTAAGGAGGAGGGTCTGAATGTTAACAGGCAATATCTAAAAAAGATAAACACTAAGAATTACCATTGAAGAGAAAAATTCAATCGAAAGACATTCAACAGAAGTGAGACACCTCAGAAGGTTATTAATTTCATATGGATGAACTTCAACATGTGCCTCAACTAACTTAGGCATATCCTCAAAAAACTTAAAGCAACCATAGCGAGCCGCGATTTTTAAGTATATCAAAGAAGGAACACTTATTTCAAATAACGTCGTGCTACTATTGATGTATGACGCTTCACATATAGATAATCTCTGTAAGGAAGGGACAAATATGGTGAACGAACGACGACATCCATAGTGAACTCTATCAATGAAGAGATATAGATCTTCAAGAACAGGACAAACTGATAAAAGTCTTCTGAAAGATTCTCGGCAAGAGTATTTCACGCGTGTGAGGTGCAAAGTTTTCAAGGACCGGAAACAAACCGGCGGGAAAAAACATCCACAAGAACCTTGTCTTGGAATTTCATCACGACAAGTGTCTGGCAGACATTAAGATTCCTTGGGAAGCTGATACGACTCCAACTATAAGAAGTGATTGTGAGCTCATGAAGAATAGATTGAATTTTTGATAAAAGACGATCTATATCATTAGAATGTGTCATAAGTTTGAGATTCAAACTCGTAAGAACCCGAGTTTCATGTGATTGCAAGAAGCTGCAACAAACTTCGTCAAATCTAAGGGAGCCAAGATTGCGACAAGAGTCTTCATCAAGATCAAGTGTTGGCATCATCTTCCACCAAAAAGTAAAACCATAACTATAAGACGCCTGCAATCAAAAACCAAATTAATTAATACAATGATCAAAACATTAGATAGATTCCATCAAATCTTTTTGAAACAAGAACCTGACAAATGCCAAAAATCATCTTAAGAAGTTGAAATGTTACATGCTGACATTGCATCTTCAGATTCACATCAAAATGTAGTTTTGAGTGAGAGCTAAAACAAATTTTCTAAGAAAACTTGTTAAGTTGAATTACAAGCTGACACAAATTTGAAGCCAAAGAGATAGATTTCAACTCCTTGATCATCATCAGATCATTCTCTCCACCTCGAGGACCTTCTGAATATATATAGATAGAAGCGGTTTTCAAATGAAGAGCGTTTTGCAGAATGTAAACGGAGACTTCTTTCTCTTCCTCTGTTCCTTCATAGCCTTTCCATTGAAGAGTTTCAAGATGGAAGGACAAGCATTCAGGGACTGAGCTCGGTGCAGAGACTGAAGGTGGTGGATCCTCGATCTCTCGGGTATGACTCAAATGTTTCTGAGAAACATAAAAGGCATTATAAGCTCTTGAAACAGATTACTAAGAAGGGAAAGTTCAACATTTTTCAATACCTCGTGAAGCTTGAGAACTTGTAGTTTAGGGGAATGTTTGAGCAAATTCAGAAGCAGATTACACGGAATTTTGTTGTACATATGTAGTTTCAGACGAAGAAGTCGATGAGAAATTCTATCCGCAAGAAGTGGAACCTGCACGCCACAATAAATCATATAGTTACCGAAAGCATATAAATGCCAACTTCAAAATAAAACAAGACCGAGAAGGGTTTTTAGTTTTTACCATTGAAGCATATAAATGTATTGAAAGAAACTCTACTGAGATAAGCAATTTGAGAAACTTGTAATTTCCTTATTAGAAACAAAACCCTAAGGATTATTTCCTAACATGTTTTAGCTTTAGAGTTATTTACTTTTGTGACATATCAACTGTGAAGAACATGGTGGAGATAGGGCCACTTCACATGTTGTGTGGTGAATGGTAATGATGAATGAGCAGAATATAATGATATGCTTGTGGGAAATATTCTGGAAGGGTCGATGTGTCTTTGAATCTCTAACAAATAATCCTTCAGCTCTCGAGCAACCATTTTGTCTCCCTTATCAAGACTTGGCTCATGTTCCAGTTCTTGTGCACTCATTGTGTGCTCCTCCTCTGCTGCATTCACATTATCAATCCCATCATTCTCGAGACATTCCATTCCATCACCATCATTAGCGTTCTCTCTGTTAATCCCATTACCGTCCTCCCTTTCACCACGCGGCTCGTTGACGATATCAATAGTATCACTCTCCAAACGCCTTGTGCTTTCATCAACAGCACTTTGATCCCCTATGTTGTCAACAACATCACCCTCAACGTTCACAGCCTTGCGCTAAAGAAACCTTCGTTGAGCTACTGATTCAAGAGAGGAGCTCCCAAGTAATGCCCACTGTTCTTTGAGAAGCTGAGTGAGAAAGGAAATGGCAGTGTACCTGATATTAGTCTCACGAATTCGCTGATAGAGCTCAGGTTCCTCAAGAGCCTTCTAAAAATCAGTCTCCCACTTCAACAAGTCATAAGTTACGGTGATGCAATGTCGCCGGAGATAAGGGAAAACTCTCAATCACTGAACGGTTTCAGTCTTTCAGATATATTCTGTTAATGGGTCGTTAGTTGGGCCTGGAAGACAAAGATGATCAACGGTTCGAATGTCGGAACAGTGACAAACACGTGTGATTAACAAACAAGTGCGACCAATGTAAGAAGAGAAAAAACAACATGGTTTACATTTGTTGACTCGAGGGAGAAGCGCAACAATTCTTGGCAAAAAGAAATCAATGGAGAACTTGGGAAGATACAAAAAGTATTCTTTTCCTACATAGGATAGAAGACATAACAATTCATGTCCTTACCTACCAAACAACTATAGATCATAACCGCCCAATTAGCCAAATTAGGTCAAAGTTCTTATTAAGTCGATTATAAGTAATTGAATTTTCAACTTAAAAATGTAATTTCATAATATAAGTTCAACATTTGATTTTTTTTTCTCAACATTTAGTATAATATAAGTTCAACATAATATAAGTTCAACATTTGATTTAGGCATAAATTATGAAACTGAATAGCAGCAAGAGTACACAATACAAGTGTTCTTATAAAACATAAAAAAAAAGATAAACAAGTAGTAGCTTGTAGATAAACAACAATCAAAACGACCATTCTTAGCTCCGTTTTTCTTCTTCAACTTTTTTAGCTTTATGTTTTTTCCAAACAGCTAAACTGCAATATCAGGGCAAAAAGAAAACAACAAATAAATGACAAGTTACCTTCTTAACTAGGATTCAATAAGCAAGAACAAATTAACGTACTTGTTCATCCTAAGACCTCCATTAGTTGTAATGTAAAGGTCATGGAGGCGCTTCCTTTGAAGAAGGACACAACGTTCACACCTTTTAAAGTTAGGAAAGATACTAGAACCGCTGCTGTTACCCTCCAACAAAACCTCAAGCTGCATACCTCCCAAGAAACTACCATCGAGTGCTAATGCCTTCTTTTCATCATTTGGATGAAAGTAATTAATGAGAGCGCACCTGAAAACAAAAACAAAAACAAAAAAATGGTAAAAATTTTCGATTGCATTTACCTTCAAGTGGTCAAATTAAATTGGAGGAACAAGTCACAAACCCGAGGAGAGAACCGGTTTTACACTCTGTCGGAACAAAAACCCTTGTGATAAGTCCACATGAACCGAAGTGTTTTCTCAATGCGCTCCTGATATCAGCCACAGGAAGGGTACAATCCAATCCCTGAACGAGAATGGTTCTGGGATCGTAAACATGTGCATCTTCATCTTCGAATATACATTTATATTCTTCCACCTGTTTTTATTTTGGATCAAAACAAGACATTTTCAATAGTAGGTTTTATAAGAAAATACTACCGAGTTGAGAAAAAAAAAAGTACAGAAGCTTAAGTTAATATTACCTTTTTTTGCTTCTTCAGAATTACTTGCTGCTCCAAATCATCTGGCTCTTTCTCAGAAAAGAAAATAAATAACACAAAATCCATATAAGCAGGTGTTCTTCTAAATAAGACATATATACAAATATCAAACAACCTATAATCAGACTTATCATTCATATAATCGAGATTGTAAGACAATATCTACCAGTTTTCTTCAATTATAAAATGCATAAAACGAAACCAAGGACAAAAAAAAAAAAAAAAGAGTATAGCAATCAAGATCTTACCATTCTGCGACGGCTCAGTGGTAGCTTCAACCTAGAAAAAAAATCCGAAACAAGAATAAAGTTCAGTCAAATAATTGAGAAGAAATCAAAATTGGTTAATTAAAGACTGAGTAAGGAAGAAGGTCATAAGGAGAAAAGGATTACATCGGTGGATGTGGAGCATTTCAAAAGCCTCTTGCCCATGGAGAAGATAAGATGACAAGGGAAGAGCGGCTGCTAAGATTTCGATGGAGGCCGGCAAACCTAGACTCGGTTATTTATATATTTTTCGTTTAAGCTGGGCTTGTGTGGGCTTAGCTTTTCTTATATGGGCTTTTGTGGAATATTTATTTTGTCCTGGTTTCTGACGGTGGCCCATCTTCTTGTAAAATCGATCTCGAAATTTTTTATTTAATGAAACTAGTAATGGAAGCAAAGAGGAATAATACATACAGTACCCAAATAAAAGAAACTTAAGTCGCTGGACGAAACAAAAGTTCGGAGGCACAGCTCGATAATTGGTGGAAGCAAATAGGAAATACACAAAAGAAAGTGCGAATGAATTCAGCACACATGTGCTGGTTCGTTGTCTTTTGTCCTTGCTTGCGGGTAAAGGTTTTGCATACTGGGCCAGGCTTGCTTCATCATTAAGAGATTGGTGAACCCTAAAAGCCGATTTGGTGAAAGAAATCTCGTCGATTGCTTCAGATTTCACAGGAAATCTCGTCGCATGCAAATCGCCGATTGAGAGAGAGAGAACAAAACCAAAACACGGGAAAAAAAAAACAAGAAGCAATGAGATTCAGAGATTTGGCTCAACAACAACAGTTTCAGAGACAAGACATGGATTATTCACCAATCCCAATGGCTCAAACTATGTAGCAGCCTTGTACACCTGTTGTTTCGTTGCCCATTGCTTCTTTGAGTCATCAAAACCGGTGATAAATCATTGATACGTCCCAATATCTGTTGTCGGTGAGCCAAATCTCCTTTCCCAATGAAAACATTATAGAGACAACGCATATTTGCATTAAGGGGTAATTAGCTTCTAGGACGTGTTTCTGCTAGAAACCATTTGACCTTTGACAAGAATCGACTAATCGAGTGTTATTTCACAAGGCTTGATGGAATGAAATGGCAAAAAGAGAACGCTCTGGCAAGGAATGTGTGTTTAGCTCATTCATTGTATAAATAATACCGAGGAGATTTCATTTGGTTATATACAGAGTTATTATGCATGAAACAAGAGGAAAATCAAATCAAACCAAATGGTCTCTGATTTTTAGGTCAATGTAGACCTAGCAAATGTCCTTGTGGAGACACCTAATTGCATTCCAACATTCACTAATGTCTCTAAGGACCTACCACTGTTAACCAAGAGATCCTCATCGATCCGGATCGAGTCCTGCAAAAATGTGTTAAGTGAAAAAGAAAAGTCAATTCAGATTGATTAAAAAAAACAGTGAAAGTCTATAAAAGCATAAAAGTGTTCTTAAGAGTTAAAGATTTATATACAATTAAGTCGCTAACCTTTTCAAAGACACATATAACTGTGCTTCCACCAAATGAAAAATAACCAAGCTGCAAGATAAAATGAAGTTAGAACAAATGTTCTTGAAGTGTTTCTTGAGAATAGTCGAAACTGCTTACTTCATCCCCTTTGTTCACATGTTCTCCTTCCTTTCTGTCAAAATTTATGCTACCAACCATTGTCGCACCGATTGCAACAAAAGCAACCTGTTACATACTTATTAGCTGACCTTGAATTTATACTCTACATATTATCATTATTTCTGATCCATTTGTAAACTGGTTTCAGAATCTAACCTTTCCAAATTCTGCTGTTGATATAATTGCAACGGTTCGTTTATTTTCCGTGAATACATTACAGTACTTGCTATTGACCGCAATCGGATTAACCTACAAGGTAGTTCAACAAGGAAACAATTATGTGAGTCTCATAAGAAAACATGATGGAGATGAGAGGAAATCTTGGACTAAGTAAAGGCAGACACATACTGTATATAAGCTTCCAGAAAGATCCACAAACTTTTCAATGACTCCAGAGACAGGGACATGAAACCGATGATAATCCTGTAATATTCAAATATTCAAGAAATGTGTCAGTGTAACAGGGAACAAAAAAAGAACTATATATGTGGTGTTTTATCCTATGAATCGTATTTCTTATCCAGTCTCGTCGTACCTGTGGTGCTAGTCGGAATATCACCAAAGATCCATCAAGGAAGGCATTTGTATTCATACTCTTCCCAAGAAGGCCTCTTATTGAAAACTTTTTGCCCTATGAATACAAAAACATTAAGATGTGTTGCAACTAATCAGCTACATTATTTGTTTTGAGAGTTCTCTACTCTTGCATAATGATGATAAGTATATAGTAAGCTACCCTAGAGACCATTTTACCTTGATCCAGAAACGGGTACTATCCTCCACCGACTGAAATGCCATTAATCGACAATCAGCAGCACATACGGCAACATCATCGCGTTTCATGCAAGCAATTGGTCTTGCACCAGGTTTCAACTCCCGGATGAAGAACTCATTGAACGTCTGCAAGTAAAAAATCATCCTTCCTTTTAGTCACTTGCTAATACTGTGAGTCTAAGAACTATACACATTTAGATTTAGTGTTGAGGCTATAAATCAGATCCCATGCATACCTTAAAATGCTGCAGAGGATACTTGACTTCAGCCATGTTTATTTGATCCTGAAACAGACAAAAAATCTCAACTCCAAACCAAAAAACAAAGCAACACATTATAGCTTAATAAATAGTAACTTTCCATGCCTTAAAGAACTCGAGAAAGCGTGGTATTTTTTGTGCGGATTCAACTGAGCTCATTTTCTTCCCCTGCTTCTCAGAAAGTCTCTGCAGAATCTCCTTTGCCCCTGGATCAAGAAGATCAATCAAACATACAAAAATGTGTTGTTTTGTTAGAGTAGCGTCAAGGCGAGCACATGAATGGTCATGTGCATTTGAGAAGTATCCTAAATAGTTTACCTTGATCCATAAGTCGAAGTCCAATTTTTGACTGATAAATAGCTCTCATGGAGAGAACAATCTTTGAGTCAATCAACTCTTCCACGAGTCTCTTACTCTTCCGGTCAATCACCTATAGCAAGAAGCAAAACACCAAGAAACTAGTTAAGTGAATACATTTGTTCTCCATGAGGAGATGCACATAAGAAACAAAAAGAAATCAAGAGACGAACTAAAGAGAGCAAAAAGAAAAGAATACCACAATATATGAGGCACTTGAACCAGTATTCAAACCAACGTCATAAGTTGATAAGTGTGTCCATTCACTTAGTTTGAACATCCATCTGAACAAAAAGTTGAAAATATGATGTTACGTAAGAGATGTCTAGTTACTTCGCTTAAAGAAGAGGTTTCTCACCCATAAGAAGCTTGTCTATCAGTCAAAAACCCTCCGGTCATCATTTGATTACCCGTTCCTTCGTCAAAACAAAGAGTCATATGAATCATCGCGTTGAGCTTGTCAGAGAGCTGAAGAGCCTCACCACACACCGGACAATTATTTATAATTGGCTCCCTGCATTGGATAATTTAAATTACTATAGGATTCTAGGAGGCCTAAATAGACTTGTGCTGAAAGTAATAAGAATGGAGAATATTAGAAAAAATGAAGTGAATCAAGGGTCATTACTGTTCTTGTTGAAGAGCAAGAAGCGCAGCCAACTCGTCAATCGTCACAACACCGTCCCCATTCAGGTCAGCAGCTTTGAACAACTCTTCTTTCTGGTCATTAAGTCAGTGAAAAACATCAAGTCCACATTCAGCAGAAATGCAGCAATCTAGCATCTCAATCTAGTTAGTGAAAACATCAAGTTTCACATTTTAAATTGATTGAAAATGAGAGGAAAACTTATGCATCCACTAATGACATGTGTGACATAGATGCTTAAAGCCGAACCTTGTTAGCAGCCACTAAATTTCCAAAAGCCTTTATTAGATCAGAGAACTCCGAAAACGACAGTTGTCCATCTTCATTGTAGTCCTGCACTTTGTCAAAGAACTTTAACTATCATTCTAATATTCTACAAAATTTTGTTCAAGAGAAGAAAGAAACATTGAAGTGAGGAAGATTTAAGGTAAAGTAAAGCATACCACTATGGACAAGATACGCTTTGCAAACCGCCTCTCGGTTTCAACAGGATCCTACAAATATTAAGTAACCAAAGATCAGACACCATTGGTCCTTTATTTTCTCAGAGTTTACCCTCGTGTGTACCTCAATAGTGCAAGAAAGGAAAATGGTGCCAACAACATTGGATGATGTGGGATCTAACAAGTCAAATGACTTACACGCCGACTCAGGTTCCTGTATCACGCCGAAGAAAGCATATAAGCAGAGAGAATAATTTTGCAATAATCTTACATTAAAACAGGAATCTATATAAACATATACAAATTTTGAACAACTGACCTGCACTACAAAATCGAATATATCAAGCTCACAATAACCGATGATTTTGTTCCTTGAGAGCCTATTGGTCTGCACAAATAAAAGGATGATTCTTTAAGCTGACTATTAATCCAAAAAACAATGTCATGAATCATGACTAAACTCAGAAATCTGGATAATAGAAACCTCAAATACAGAGACCCTAGCAAGACTTGGTCCATTTTTCTCCAACAAAAGCTTCTTTTCCTATATACAGAGAAACACTAATTACTGTAATTACTAATTAGCAGAAGCGTAGAAACAGAACCAAAGTATTCAAAAGACAAGGTCTTGATCAACTTACCGAGTTCCAAATTGGCTTCTCTGTACTGCAAATTCATTAGAAACAAAATTGTTATCAATAATCCTTGAACTGTACGAGTAACCTACGAATATTTGAGAGACTCACGTATCAGAGATTTCAGTTCTAAAAGTCTGTTCACCGAAAGAAACACAAGCGAGCCACTTGTCTTTAAACTTCATATCCGCCTGAAGAAAAAAATAAAGCCAGAAACAAGACTAAAACATCACTAAGAATCCAAACGTAAAAAAAGCAAAAAAAAAAAAAGAAGAACCGTAAGACGTACGCCAATGAGAGTGAGAAGCGCAATGCCGGAGAAATCCTCGGCGGACACAGCTCGTTGTATCACCATTCCTGCCGACGAGTTTCGAGAACAACGAAGATGACGACGGTGAATGCGAAACTTTTGTAGCTTCTGTCGTAGCTTTGACCGTCTAGATTCTTTAGCCTCCTCCCTTGAGTTTCCGTTTCCCATCTCTGCCCCTAACGCACCAGGAAGATTAACGGATCGGAGAAGAAAACAGAGAGAGAGAAATTAGAGTTTTTCTTTTTGTTTTGTTCTCTTAATTTTCTTGCTAATGAATATTATGTTGACCAAAATGTGACAGTCTCTAGTATTTATATGCCAAGTATTAAATGCAAAATGGTCTGTTTTGGACTTGAGAGAAAGTGGACACTTTTTTTTGTTTCGACTCTGTTTTCCTTTGGTTCAAATATTCGGCTTTGTTTTTAAAATATTTAAAAAGATGGAATAAAAATTGGGAATATTTATCAAATGGTCACTCATTCCTCTCCCACCTTCTACGTTACAGAACGTTTTTGCAACAAAAAAAAAATCAAACGACACGTTGCAACTATGAATTATATATACTTTATGAGTATATAAAGAAATTCGTAGACATATATTATATATAATAAGTATATTATGAATTATATATATATATATAATTTTAAAGACCATGGGGGTTTTAGTGATCCAAAAGTTCACCCTAAAAGTTGAAATATAAAATTGTGTGAAATTTTAATCATACTAGTAGATATTATTGATGTTTTCAATACCAAAAATATTCTCTTTAGATTCTGAAAATTAGTATGAGTAAAAAACAATAACAAAGCTTTGATGATGACGATTAAAATTGAATTATGTATATTATGGCTTTAAATAATTCTGATGGCTTACTACAAAGGAAAAACTATTACGAAGGTCTATTTAGTGCTAAGTTAGCAACTTAGCAGTCAACGTAATAATGACATCTCCTAAACTTTGTTCCGTGTTTAAATTAATTCGAGTGGAGATATTTATTTATCAATTTATATATCAAAATCAAGTGATACATATGAGCTGAAAACAAAAGCAATTCTATATACTTGTTTTAGAAAAGGTTTGAAAATGTTTTATTGACCTGGTCTAAATATATATAGTCTTGGTGTTTCCATTATTGTAAAGCGTGTGATTAGGTAGGGCTCTTGAATCCGATTCTATTCATGGTCAAAGCTCCCCATTGTTGATTCTATCAAACAAAAGAAGATGGATGAGATATTAAGATACGTTCTAAAATAATAATTGAATAGATAAACACTCAATTTAAGAGACGAGTAGTTAGAAACAAAATAAACCAAGAAAGGATCCATTTGATCATCTTCCCTTAAACGTGTACTAATCATAAACTGTATAGTCCAATTTTTTTTTTTTTTTGCTATGATAAACTGTATAGTCCAATTATCAAACATAGATAGATTGCAGAGAGTAGGCATTGGATTAATAGAAACTTGATCCAAATCATGTTTCCAGAAGAGTATCCGAGCACCGAGCTACTATGTAAATAAGACTTGCAAGTAAAACATAAAAAAACTTTAAAATGCATAAATAAAGGATGAAGTGACTTTGTTAAAAAAAAAAAAAAAAGATGGAGTGACAAATTGACGTTGTGGTGAGGTGGATGATCCACCCAAGCTATGCGTTTCGACAAATATGTACATGTAGGGAGACTAGGGCTTTGAATGGTTGTCTAGTATGCTGCAGAACAGACTAAAATTGGACTAGTACGCACTTAATTTACCATTCACTATTGCATACTAGTATGCACTATTGCATACTAAAAATCTCCATACTATACCATCATAAATTCACTGTTAGTCCGCATTTTTTCAGTCTACTCCCCAAAAGCTCCATACCATCATAAACTCCATACCAACATACAATTGTCTGCTCCATACTACAGTCTGATGTTTTGCATACTAAAATATTGGTATGCAGTATCCAGTCCGCATCATATGGACTAACCATTCAAAGCCTAGAGCTTTCCTCATGACCGAGGGAGTAGTACACGCTAAGTAGTTGATGTACATTATGTTCCCCTCCTTGGCCGAGAGGCAACTAATGTTATTTTCGTAAATACTGTTTTTTTTTCTCATAGTAAAAAAACAATGTGAAATAAAAATAACTTGTCACACGATAAAATAACATGGTAAATTCTAAAAATATTTTTAAATTTCTTTGCCAATTTCCCCCAAAATTACGTCAATTAACCCAAAAGAAGAATCTATTATTATTAATGTATTATTATTTAAAAAAAACGAAAAAGGAAATTATCCAGATCATTAGTAGTCTGTTACGCACGTTTTGAGGGTGACGGAGAAGAAGAAGCTTATTGTAAAAGAAAAAACAAAACACAAGTCTGTTATCGTTGTGTTTCCGTTTATTGCACAACCATTAAACAAAACATCATCAATCATCATCAAATCTTCTCTCTTTCTCTATCATCTTCGATCAAATCACATCATTACCACATCTTTTTCTTCATCACAAATTCCAGATCACAAACGTTAATTATCAAAAAAAGTGTTGATCAATGGGAACGTTTACGAGCTTTCGAAAAGCCTATGGAGCACTCAAAGATACAACCACCGTTGGTCTCGCTAAGGTCAACAGCGAATTCAAGGTCAGATTCTTGATTTGTGTAAATCACCATTTTGTAAATCTTGAAATTCAAGATTCGGATTATGTTTAAACGATCGATGCTTGTTTTTTTTATTTGGATCGTTATAGGATTTAGATATTGCGATCGTCAAAGCAACGAATCATGTTGAATCTCCACCAAAAGAACGTCATGTTCGTAGTAAGTCCCTCTGTTTTTTTCTTACCAAATTTCGACGATTCAAACGCTTCAAATTATATATGATTCGGAGATGATTTTTACGCAGAAATATTCTCGGCGACATCTGTTATACAACCACGAGCAGATGTAGCTTATTGCATTCATGCATTATCTAAAAGATTATCGAAAACTCGCAATTGGGTTGTAAGTTTTCTTCTTAATTTTCCGAAATTTCGAATCGCATTTTCTTTCGATGTATAGTGAATTTGTTTTGAATTTGACAATCACACAGGTTGCAATGAAGGTGTTAATAGTAATTCATAGAACATTAAGAGAAGGTGATCCAACATTTAGAGAAGAGCTTCTAAATTACTCACATAGAAGACATATACTCAGAATTTCTAACTTCAAAGACGATACAAGTCCTCTTGGTGAATAAACTAATTCTTTCTCTTGATATATGCATATGTTTTCAGTTCTTGTAAACTTGACCAATTAATATATTGTTTTTTGATGCAGCGTGGGATTGTTCTGCTTGGGTTAGAACATACGCGCTCTTTCTAGAAGAGCGGCTTGAATGTTATCGGGTTTTAAAGTATGATATCGAGGCAGAGCGTTTACCAAAAGCTTCAGGTGCAGCTTCCAAGGTTTGTCTCCTGACTTCTCATCATGAAGAAACAGAACACATTATCAGAAATATTTTATTATAGAAATCTTTATTTCAATGGTTTTGTAGACGCATAGAACCAGGATGTTGTCTGGTGAAGATCTATTAGAACAATTACCCGCGTTGCAACAGCTTCTTTACCGGCTTATCGGATGTCAGGTAAAGTCATACGCAAACTCCAAAAAACGTATTATACCTTTTGTTTTTGTACGTTGGAGAAGATGTCTTCTAATTTGTTTTCAGCTTTGCAGCCTGAAGGAGCAGCTTATAGCAACTATCTAATCCAATACGCTCTTGCATTGGTGCTTAAAGAAAGCTTCAAAATCTATTGTGCCATCAATGATGGAATCATTAATCTTGTAGACATGGTCTGTAATGTTTCATTATCTACTTTGGCTTGTTAATTTGCTTTACGCTTTCTATTTAAATTGTATATTTCTCTTTGTCATTGTAGTTCTTTGAGATGTCAAGACATGATGCAGTTAAAGCTCTAAACGTATACAAACGGGCTGGTCAACAGGTGAAGCAACTACACTTATTTCATTTGATTGATATGATTTTCGCTAGACGTTAAGTGTTTTGCTTGTTGATGTTTTTCTTTGCATAGGCTGAAAATCTGGCTGAGTTTTATGATTACTGCAAAGGGCTAGAGCTAGCTAGGAACTTTCAGTTCCCAACCTTAAGACAGGTTAGTTCTTAACTTTTGGGATCAAGTTTATATTTGTAAGACTGATGTGTGATTCACTTTTCACTTATCTGAAAACCGGTTTCAGCCTCCTCCTTCGTTTCTCGCGACAATGGAAGAGTACATTAAAGAAGCGCCTCAGAGTGGTTCTGTACAGAAAAAACTGGTAGAAAAAATTTCCATCTTTAATCATTATTCAGTTCTTGGTTGATGATGAAGGTCTTCTTTAGTATTTGACATTTTGTTCTGTTTTTATTAACAGGAGTATCAGGAAAAAGAGGAAGAAGAACAAGAACAAGAAGAACAGCCTGAAGAACCTGCAGAAGAAGAAAACCAAAACGAAAACACTGAAAATGATCAGCCGCTTATCGAAGAAGAGGAAGAAGAGCCTAAAGAGGAGAAAGAAGAGGAAGAAGCTAAACCTTCACCATTGATAGACACTGATGACTTACTGGTGACTCTTCTTCATCTCTATACATTGTAGTAAATACCAAACCTCTATACTCATTGACCCTTTTCCTGTGATTGGTGCAGGGATTGCATGAAATAAATCCAAAAGCCGCAGAGATTGAGCAAAACAACGCATTCGCTCTCGCGATATATCCACCAGGTAGAGTAAATAAAACAAATCCATTTAGTACAATCTTACATTTCCATTGTGAGAAGAGATATCAACATTGATGAAAAAATTTCTCTGCAGGACATGAAACTTCAGGCCCATCTAATAGTCTAAGCTTAATAGAAGCTGGAGGAAGTGGTTGGGAACTTGCACTAGTCACACCACAGAACAACAACAATAACAACAATCCTCGTCCCGCAATAGCAACAAAACTCGTAAGTCTCTCATTCGAATCTGAACTCAAAAATTTCTAATTCCTACTCAAATGGTGTCTATGTAATTTACAGGGTGGAGGATTTGACAATCTTCTACTAGACAGTCTCTATGAAGACGATACAGCAAGAAGACAGATCCAATTAACAAACGCTGGTTACGGATTTGGAGCCACCGCTATACCCGGAGAACCAGCCTTATCAAACCCAAACCCATTCGGGATGCAACAAGATCCTTTCGCAATGTCAAACAACATGGCTCCACCAACCAACGTCCAAATGGCAATGCAACAACAACAAATGATGATGATGAATAATCAAAGTCCATATAACAACAACTATTCACCTTATCATCATCATCAGTTCTCACCAAATCCTTCAACTTCTTCATCTCCTAACCCTTTTGGTGACCCTTTCCTTGCTCTCCCAGCTCCTCCTTCATCTGCTACTCAGCAACAACACAGTCATAATCATATGCTTCTCTAGAATTGGTCATCACAATGACTTGACTTTTTTTTTCTTCTTCTTAATCTCGATTTGATTCAGGTTATCATTATTCTTTCATTCTTTTCTAGTATAAGACTCTTCTACATTCGTCAGGATTTTTTCTTCTCTTTTTATTTTTCCTTAATTTTAATACTTATTTAAGCTTAATATACCTTAATCCTTTGTATTTTTCTCTCTATTAATGTTTTTTTCAAATTGAAGATATAATAGAAATTTGCAAATTATTTCAACGGTAAGAATTAACGGTCAGGCGCAAAAAAAGGAGGGAAATTTATAATTTAATGTACACTGGAGATCTCTTGTCACTTAAGAACCGTTAAAAACCCGTTAGGGCTAACAAAGTCCAAAGAAACTCAGGTCCCTTGTGCTAGAAGAAACCTAGATTTCTTATTGTGTAACTGCTAAAAGAAAAACAAAACCCTCTTCAAAATTTCTCATATATACATTACAATTACACTCTCACACATACAAATAGAGACAAATGAATTTTCATAATACACAATGAAATTACTTAAGCAGAGTCTGCAATAAACTTTACATTTCTGACAATAACATATTTCCAAGTCTACGAAGTTCTCTAAGAGCTTCTTCAACTGTTAGTCTTCCGTTCTCAGTCATATTATCCGGTGAACTTAGCTCCAACACTGACTCTATCACCTGATACCGAAACATTCAAAAGAAAATGAGTCAAGTCATGTTTAATTTTGCTTCATAATAAGCAAATCCATTGTTAGATTCGTGACATTTTACCTTGATATGTTCAAGCATGGATCGTCCTGTATTCTTTAATGCATCTCCATTACCTGCAGTTGAATCTGAATCGGTTTTTCCGTCTTCGAAATCTATCTGTTTAGCTTCTTTCGTCTCAGAGGTCTCTTCGCCGGACAAGTTTCTACCTAACCTCCATAGCCTCTGGAATTTACCCGAAAGAATCTTCCTCTCTCTGAAGATATTCATCCCTGATTTCGCCTCTGGCTCGTTCTCAGGAATTGAAAGAGGCAGATCCGTGTGGTTCTCGCTTTTGCCTTTATCAGAACTGTTATCCTCATAATCTGCACTGGGAGTATCAGATACTGTAGATGAGCGTTCGATATCGGTGTCCGGGTTTGGGAACTCAGGAGGCTCAATCTCTTTTTCCCCAAGTTGTCTGGATAAATCATCGAGCAAACTACGTCTAATAGGTGGTTTGTTTCCACTTTTAGTTGCTTCAGCGGGTGATGGATCGGATTCTGTCCTTGTAAGCCTTAGCTTCACTCTTTCAGACCAACTCTTCTTCCCTGCTTTTGGTCTCTGCAACGCTTTTTTCCTCCGTTCTTCTTCTTCTGCACTGTTCAAAACTCTCCACTTCTCTTCCCAGTAGCTCTCAGGTACTATTCCCACAGGAGAAGAACCAAGTGAGATAGAATCAACTGATAAGCTGTGACCTCTCATCGGTTTTCTCGACCCTTTTGGAATTAAATCACGATGAGCATTGATTTCCAAAGCAAGACTCTGCAATGTCTTAGCCTTTTTAATAACTTTACTCAGATCAATGTCCTCCGGAAAATTCAGCAACTTCTTGAGAGAAGAAGTTGCGTTTTCAGTTGCTAGCAGCGATGATCTCAGATAAAGTATCATCGAAACCGCCATTCCAGCAACCAGAGCTCCTCGGGGAGAGCTAAGGATCCTGAATTCAAACCCTAAATCAGCCTCAATGCCTCTCTCTACCTCGGAATTGTCAGCAGAAAATATCTCATCCCACACAATCAATAGATTATTCAGCGGAAACTCTCTCCCGAACAAAACCCGTAGCCAACGGAGAGCAAAGTACTGCGGTTCAACGCCAAGCTCAACGAGATGGCTGTGAAGAGAAGCATCGACTAGAGACAGTAAATGATACAAAGCCCCAGAAGCTTCGATCACAGGAGGAAGTCCCGTGACAGAATCGTTTGGAGCAGAATACACGAAGAAATTCGCTACAGAAACCGAACCGAGGGAAGATCCACCATACATAAGAGCGTCAAACATTGTGTAAGCGTCGTGTTCCAAGAATTTCTCAGAGAGGACGATTCCCAATTCGCCTTCTGCTCCATACGCATCACTCAACAACACAGCAGTCTGCGTCTCGGTATCAAGTTCATCGAAACTCTTGGGTTTTTTCTTCTTGGTGCTTCCAGAGGGTGGACCATTTCCATCTCCATCTTCTTCATCTTCCATAGATTCATCCAAAACCTTTTTTATATCGAAATCATATGCTCCAGAATCACGTTCTTGAAACGCTAATTCGTCAAACAAATCAACAAACTGATCTTCATAGTTTGATCTAACTTCCGTAAGATATTGCACATCAACTTGAAGAACATAAAGCAAAGGAGCCAATAGTTCATGCATCCCTAAAACCAAAAACCGTAAAAACACCATTAAAACCACAAACCATTACCGCAGTTTCCCCTCGAAAAATCAAGTATCTTCTAACCTTGTCTATAACCAATCTCAGGATGCTTCAAACACCACAAAAGAAGTATCCTTCTTAACATCCCTTGACATCCAGAGGATTGAAAGTAACTTCCATGTTCAGGATACAACCGAGAAAGATCTTGATCAAGCGTTTTCTCGAGCTCTGCATTGCGAAAGAATCTTCCCCAAGTACTATCTACACAATCCAGATAGCTTTATATAATCATTACATAGGAGAGAAACTGCAATTGAATGTATCTGAGACAAAATGAGATACGGTAGTATTGTTTTGATATTTACCAGGATTTTGTGATAAGGGATTATCAATAGTTAGATCTGGAGAATTTGTTCCTTTCTTAGGCAAATGTGGATCAATTAAGAGTCGTCTTCTCAAAGCAGCATATCTAAGAAACAACAACAACATCTAAAAATCAAAACTTTAACTTTTTGTCTGAGAAATTACAAATCTTTAAGTTTGAATCTGGAGCTACCAAATCGAAAAACGCAAACCCTAATAGAAAAATCTTCAATGGTTAAAATGTAGGGGAAAGTCAAAACCTTCTTCGGGAATCAGCTGTTACTCTGCGAAGCTCATCAATGGTGGAGGAAGGAGAAGATGGGAGAATTCCGAGGTTGATTCGCCATCGGACGCCGCGAAGCTTCTCGAACCGGTGATCTTGAGACGGCGAGGTATTAGAAGTGCAAGGGTCTTGTGTTCTTGATATCTGGATTTCTTCATGAATCGCCATGTTCTTCTACACAACGCTCTTGCTTCATCAAATCTTCGTGCCAAATCGATTCTTGTTTAACAAACAATTTGGGTTTACTTTTTATGACAAAACATAAAATTATGCTAAAACAATTTGGGTTTACTTTCGACAAAAATCGAATTGTATTTTTTTTTTTTTTTCATGAGGCTCAGAATCTTAGATTGGTGGTGGCTTGGAGAGTTGGAGACAAGAATGGTTCATGTCTTTCAAAACGACGTAGTTTCATTCTCCAGCTTCATTTTTATCCTTGAAAAGTAAATAAAATTGGAAAAAGAGGATTAGAAGTTTAGAACAGTGAAGGAGACATTATTACTGTTAAATTTTTACTATACCACTATTGTTATGATTGATATTTTTTTCATTAGATTCTTCTAACAAGAAGAGAATTCGAGAGATTTTTGGTTGAGAGCGGCAACTCTCTCTCTTAAAATTTTGAGAGAGAGAAAAACCGTTTTTTTGTTACGTCCAAAGCTTTCTCTACTTATCAGATTCTGTTCATCAAGCTTTTCTGTCAACATGCATTGTTTTCTTTGCGGTGTTTGGTTGGCTTTTGTCTGATTTTGCCGTCGGCGATCTTGTCGTTTTGTTCTCGGTTGTTCATGGTCGAATTAGATTTTACTTTAACAATCATGTTTTCCGGCTCTCTCCGGTTTTTGGCACAAAATTTAGTTTGCTGTGTTTTTAGATTGTTGTTTCAATTTCATGTTTTTTGTTCAATAAATTCCTAAGATATGTGTTGTAGTTGATATTTTAGTGATCGTTTGCTTAAAATTATTTTTCTCTAACTCGTTTTTTGTGGTCTAGTTTGCATGAATATTTCGCAAAGATATTATCTAGGATTGAAAGAAAACATAATTCTCTAATGTTTATTACGATTTCCTTTTATCTGTTCATCTTTAATGGAGTTTCGATTTATAACCGATGAATTCCATTAGAATCAATTTTCGATTGTTCAACGGTGATTTTTCACCAAAATCGATGCTCAACGGCGAAGGCTACTGTCGGTTTTCTTTCGATGATTCACCCAGCTGGTTTTGTGGTTCATCCACTTGATAACATGTGACTCAGATAGAATCCAAACTGAAAATATCTTCAGTTTAGAAGGCTATTGACTTTGTTAGGCCTTGTCTACAAAGCCCGTGGAGCTTTTATCTATAGCTCATGTAATATTGGTTTGTTTAATAAAATTATAGTTGAGAAAAAAAAAAAGAAAAAAAAGAAGATAAATCGGAGGATCATTTTTTTAACAAGAAGAGTAGAAGACCAAAAGAGTGAATCATTTAAAATTAACTAATATCAAACTTGACGAGGGAGAAGATTACACTAGAAATGTATAAGTGTTCTCACTCATTAATTAACCAAGATCAGTCCACACTCTCTATACTTTGCATTAAAATATACATGAGTCACTTGATTTTTGTAACTATAATAACTTGTTACAAATTATCAACAACCTCCACTTGTACTTTTATCAAACATATTTCATGTAAGAATATTGTAGTACACGGACTAGCAATTATTAGACATGTAAATCCCGATTTTAAATGGTTCTAAAATCTTAAATCCAAACACGTTTTATAACGAGATGTATATAGTTTCGATCTGCAGATTTTAATCTCTTTTGACATGTTTTATAAAGAAATAAACATTTGAGACTGGAATTTGTCCAAGCAAATAGTAGAAACGATCTTGATGCTAAGTCTTGAATCTTGATCAATATGTCAAACATGATAACTGGCACTAGCATGACAAGAATTATAAGAAAAAATACTGAAAAAAAAAGATTGGAAATTTGTGTTCTCTTTTTTGATCAGTAACTGTCAATAGCTAGGAGATTTCCATAAAATATGGATAGATACATTTATGATGTAAATTTTACCATGCAATTTAAAAAAAGAGAGAAAATTTGCCTTCTCTAGTGACGACGAATATATCAATAAATTGGATTGTTACGGAAAGGAAATGATACGAGTCAATTTGACTACCGTTTTCCTGACTATCTCACATTTGCTTATATTGTTAGTCAAACAGTCTAATCTCACAAAATTTCTACCAACCTCTTAGAAATATTTTATTCGTGTTTTAGTGATTTTAGGTACAAAAGAAATGATAATTAATGAAAAAACACACTTTATAATTTGGTTCAGGCGTTAAAAGTTCATATGCACATTTTTATCGAGGGTAAAATTATATAACAGATTTGACTGTGCCGCCAAAAAAAAGAAAAAAAAAAAGAGTGTTTGAATTTGAGACTTTACCAATTAATTAGCACCATATAGTTGAATTTGGGCCATGCTTACGAAACCTTAACTTATAATACAAATATTTAAAAGGCTTCAATTTGGACCAGAACAGCCGACTTAAGATGGCGGGTCAACTCGACTACTCCTTCTTCCATTTTATCTTAACATTTTTGTGATATTTGTATTCGTCGTCTTGCTCTCTCTAAAGTTAGCTTTTTTTATTTAATTTGATATTCGATTTTATTCCATAAAAAAATATTCTATCATCAGTCACTTCTCCTTTTTTTTTTAATTTTTTTTGTTTTCATCGCTTCGTAAGAAAGTTCAATCCTATGAAACCAATGTTTCTAATATATCATCAAATGTCATCAAATTGAGTCTTAGATCGTTTATCGACCAAATCCAAAAGCATCGCCACCACTTCTTCTCTTTTAAAGTTTAAACTGATTTTTTGTTCAGTCACATTTATCTATTTTTTAAGTTTTTTGAGCATCAAAAAAATTTCGAAAACAAACTCATATTTATTCTTTAAAAGATCTTCTTAATCGTTTTCTTGCAGTATAGAAGCAACACCAACTGAGTGAAATGGTCAAAAATACGGATTACTGGTTTAGTCCATCTTTTAGTAGTCGAATCATTTACGTTACACTTGTCGACAGTCCAACGTAACCAACATTTTTTTACAACGAACGAATTCAACCGTTTGAAAGATTCTATAAATTTTACCTAAAAAATAATAATATTATTCATAACCATACTGTAGAGTTAGAAATATGGTCATAAAATAATGTTTAGAGTGAAACATCGTGCATCGTTGAAAATGATCTAGTTCACATCGTGTTTAAGAGTGAAACATCGTGCATCATTGAAGGAGATCTAGTTCTGATCGCGAATATCTCAATTATCAACTTACACGGATTTCATAAAACAAAGTATTTCATATACAACATGTTTCTTATCGAACAATGAAAATATACGACATGTTTTTACGACAAATAGATTAAAAAAATCAATTGTAATAAAAGGTCGAGATAGACAGTGGCGGGCGCACGCCGCTGAGAGTTGCCCGCATTACGATTGGACAGACAACCTAAATTGGCTGTACAATCTGAATTAATGCAGATTTTGTGATTTATATCTTCACTAAACAACCATATTTTTTTAGTGTCAGCTATATATCTACATATAACAATTATATATCAAGATTAAAATATGAACTTTCGTCGTCACCTTCGATCGAACATATATTGTTATTATACTTTATCAAAAAACGTAAACTTAACGAGCAGCCATGTTTGAGAAGTCGTAATTGGAACGTTGTAATTATCAATAGCTTGAAAGAAACAACTAACGCAGTGGGTTCATGTTGGTTCTTGTCGACTTCCTTGTCAGCTAAAATTCTCCCTATTTGTGGACCATTTTAGAAAACAAGGTGGGTACACTTAATTTGCTCTATACTATATTTTGATTAGCGCAAAATATTTATCAAAGTAATGTGTAAACTAATGAAAGTGGATTAGTGATTAGTGACTCACAGATATTTGAATCCGTTTATTCATTCTGTAAATTATCTGAAAATCTAAGTATTGGTTTTTACTTTGTAGGTCGGCCGTGATTAATTATTGAATCAAAAATGATAAGGTGGATACCACATATTTTGTTTTATCTTATTATGGATATGTAATATGTTACATCTATTATCGGACGTGTGATGCCTAGCTAAGAGTATAAGATTTTAAATCTGTTGAAATTCCGAAATTGATTATCTAAGAATACAAATACTCAGAAATCTAATATAAAGCATATATATCCAATTTCGTATTTCTAATTTCTAAATATAATAGTTGTAAGTTATAACAAATCAGATCAATTTACCTACACAAAAGTACTAATTAGTTCTCTATTTAGATACCATGTACACGTAAATATACATATTTTGGGAGATAGCCAAATAAATATTTAGTTTTAATCAGTATTGGTAAGAATTTTAAACAAAAATTATAAAAACAATTTTAGTTTTTGTCAAATATTTTAAAATTATACAAAAATTATCAAACGTAAAACCATTTACAAAAAACTCAACTTACCCTATAATCTTTTGGACTAGCGACCAACACTAAAATCTACCGCCTCCTTACATCGAAGTATCAAACCAAATCTAGTATTGAAATGGTCAAGGAGGATCCATTTATTAGTGGACCTTCATATAATACAATAAAGGAAGAAAGAAAAAACGAAACTCCAAGAGTCAAAGTTCAAAATATGCACTCTTTATTATATTGTTTTTAATTACTTTGCTTTTATTATAAACCAATCCATATATACACACACAAAGACCATCCACCATATTCACTTGAACCTTCTCACAAAAACCAACCCAAAATTGTATCAAAAAACAAAAAAAACAAAACAACCCAAAAAGGGAACATAAAATGGATTACGTTTTGATACTTTTGCCACTTGCATTGTTTCTCATAGCTTACAAATTCTTTTCATCCAAAACGCAGCGTTTCATTCTCCCACCAGGACCAACTCCGTTTCCTATCGTCGGCAACCTCCACCTCGTGAAACCACCGGTCCACCGTCTCTTCCGCCGCTTCGCAGAAAAATACGGCGACATCTTCTCCCTCCGCTACGGCTCTCGCCAAGTCGTAGTGATCTCTTCATTGCCTCTTGTAAGAGAATCCTTCACCGGTCAAAACGACGTCATCTTAACAAACAGACCACATTTTCTGACAGCTAAATACGTCGCTTACGATTACACCACCATAGGAACCGCAGCTTACGGTGACCATTGGCGTAATCTCCGACGTATTTGCTCTCTTGAGATCCTCTCCTCTAACCGCCTCACCGGATTCCTCTCCGTACGTAAAGACGAGATTCGACGGTTGCTCACGAAACTCTCACGTGAATATGATCACGGCCGTGTCGTTGAGCTTGAACCTCTTCTTGCAGATTTGACGTTCAATAACATTGTCCGCATGGTCACAGGGAGACGCTACTACGGAGACCAGGTTCGTTTATATATGAACATTTTCACTGACCTTTTTACACTTTCTACCATTCTTATAATTAAAAGTTTTTATTAACCTATAACCTATTAAATGATTATTTCTTAAAGGTTCATAACAAGGAAGAAGCGAATCTATTCAAGAAACTAGTGACGGACATCAATGACAACAGTGGTGCGAGCCATCCAGGAGATTATCTACGGATTCTTAAAGTGTTCGGACACAGCTACGAGAAAAAAGTGAAATCACTCGGTGAAGCCATGGACGCTTTCTTACAGCGACTGCTCGATGAATGTCGAATAAATGGAGAGAACAACACAATGGTTAGTCACTTGTTGTCTTTACAACTAGACCAACCCAAGTATTACAGCGACGTCATCATCAAAGGCCTCATGCTCGTAAGTACTCTCATACATATAAACCTAAACAATAATATTTTTATGACTCACTAAATGCAAACATAAAACTGAAAGAAGAAAGATTATTTGTGTTTTACATTTATATTAAAAAGAGATATTTATATGTGTAGATGAACTAACAACTTGTCAATTTAATGTATATAGAGTATGATGCTAGCGGGAACGGATACTGCGGCCGTAACATTGGAATGGGCGATGGCAAATTTATTAAAAAACCCTGAAGTGTTGAAAAAGGCAAAAGCTGAGATAGACGAGAAGATTGGAGAAGAGCGATTGGTCGATGAACCGGACATTGTGAATCTACCTTATCTCCAAAACATTGTTTCCGAGACTTTTCGGTTGTGTCCAGCCGCACCACTCCTTGTTCCACGTTCTCCTTCTGAAGATATCAAGATTGGCGGATACGACATACCACGTGGCACGATCGTGCTGGTGAACGCTTGGGCCATCCATAGAGACCCAAAACTCTGGGACGAGCCCGAGAGGTTTATGCCAGAGCGGTTTGAAAACGAAGAAGCTGCAAAAAAGTTGATGGTGTTTGGTAACGGACGAAGGACGTGTCCTGGTGCGACTTTAGGACAGAGGATGGTGTTGTTGGCTTTAGGTTCGTTGATTCAATGTTTTGACTGGGAAAAAGTCAACGGTGAAGATATTGACATGACCGAGAATCCTGGAATGGCTATGCGTAAGCTCGTCCAATTACGAGCCGTTTGCCATAAACGTCCCATTATGACTAATCTCTTGGCTTAATACCCATAAAGTTCACCGGTTTAAGCATTTTCTGGGTTTAGATTTTTTTTTAAATTTTTAAATACATGATTGTTTCAAAAATTGGAAGATTAAGTAATACTAAGAAATTGTAAGATTCGATGAATAAAATGTTTCAGATAAAATTCGAATCATGAAATTAGTTCGGATCATAAGATAAAGAGTTGTACATATAACATTAATTTATCTATATGATTAAATTTGGATTAAAGTTTGATGCAAAAAAAAAAAGAAAAAAATTAAAATATATAAATACAAAAAAACGACATGAACCCAAAGCAAAGCCCACCATTCACGAAGAAGCAGAGAGTTTCAAAAATCCCTCTGCAGATTGTCACTTGCTTCACTAAAAAGCAAATCGGAAGAAGCAGCGAACATCATTCAGGTTTAATTTCTCTTCAAAAGCTTTTGGTATCTGTTTGATTCGAATTCGTTTCACTAGAAAAGATAGAAGATGATTGAAATTTCTCTGCTTTCATAAGATCATCCGCTCGTGATATGTGAGAAAAAAGATTTACCTTTTTTCTGGGTTTTAGATTGATGGGCGAAATTTAACCTCTTTATGCGTTTTGTTCGAAGTTTGGAATTTGGATACGTTTATGGAAATCACGAGTGTTTTTGCTTAGATATTGATTGGATCAGAGGATGTTTATTCTGAGCGCGCCCATGTTGTTCGATGAAATGCCTGAATGAAAAAATGTTCCCTTTTATCGAAACTCTTCAGTGACACTACTTTACGTTGGGTTCACTAACTTATATTGATGAGTTTCATCTTTGCATTGGCTTTGGTAACTAGAGGACATCGACTTATAGTGCAAAAAATCTCTTATTAGTGATTTAAGATTTGACAAGTTACCTTCTTGAGTATTTGGTCTGTTTTCACCTAATAAGCAATGTTGAATATCATCATATTCTCTTGAATCTGATTCATTTGGTGTGTTCAGATGGGAGATTCAACATTTCTTGATAGAATGCTTCTCCAGCTTCGCTCAACTTGCAAGTAATGAGTTTTTGAGTTTGTTTCATTTATTCTATAAACTGCGATACTGTGTAGAAAACCAATCATGGAAATGGGTTGATCTTTCTGTTGAAATGAAGGTATTACAGTGGTTACCCTAAGGATCTCGGGCCTTCGCGGGTTCTCCATTTTACATCAGAAAGAGAGTTTGTCCAACTCCTTCACCAGGGCTATCCTGTGGTTGTCGCATTCACCATTAGGTAACATAGCATTCCCCAAACCCTTTCAAATTACACTCATTCTTCGCTGTATTCAATCACGTGCGTCTTCTTATATAAAACAGAAGTAACTACACACAACATCTTGACCGGATGCTCGAGGAAGCTGCTGCTGAGTTCTATCCCAACATTAAATTTATGCGTGTGAGTCGATGTTAAAAGAATACAAATAGATAGATGGTAAACCATTAGTGACTGTTGTGTTTGGATTGTTTCAGGTTGAGTGCCCCAAGTATCCTGGATTCTGCATAACTCGCCAGAAAAGTGAATATCCTTTCATTGAAATATTCCATAGCCCACAACAAGTATAGTTCTAACTCTTGTATTTCCAGTATCTAACCTGTTTAAACCACGTACACTCCTTTGTTGTTGTATCTCGTTAAATAAAAATCCTTCTGATGCAGGCAGGTAGTGAAGGAAAGGTACAGGATCCAAATATCACTCGGTATTCTGTGAAAGTTGTACCTGTAAGTTGAAGCATCACACATTGTCTTCTATACATATTCATCTATTGCAGAATCTAAAGATCGGTATTTTTTCTTGTTTGTTTCATTTGGCAGTACAATTATGATATGAGTCCCTATGGATTCAGAGAATTCTTCAAGCGCCAGGGGGTTCGTACCTCGGATCCCAAATGAAGCAACTTCGGATTCACAAGCTTTTATGAGTGTATCAATGGCTTGCATGAGCCACCAATGACTGTTTCAAGAACTATTGTATTACTAAATTTCCCTTTTGCCTTCACAAGAAGAAATAAATTCTTATGATATATGTCTGAGAATGTTTCTAGTTCTGCGATTTGCATGAATGAATAATCAGAGGTGTGTAAAATTATAAGGAAAAAATGCATCTGATAAGACTTCATCATAGATAGAATTTCACTCTTAGTCTTAGATATAAAATAGTAGATAACAGATAAGAAGCGAACCATCTGGCTATTTCAGAAGGTTTTATAATCGTTCGTAGACAAGTCGACAATCTTATCCTTGGCCATGATTCATACTTTTTGGAAAAATCAATATGCCAACAAATTAAGAAACTTTACACTATAAGCCTATAACTCACTTATTTTTACTTTATAATTAAATAACAATACAAATTTGTAGGGAAAAGAGTAGTCGTATATAAATACTCCTCCTAAGTAATACTAGCTTCATAGCGGATCGGTTTCTGCAAAATATCCAGATTTTCAGCCCCGATTGACATTCATTAATCATTATATATAATTAGTGAGTTTATTGTGAACCGAGTGATTTTTAGGTTTAACATGTTAAAACTTAGAACCGATGATGTTATATATAGTTTAATGAGTTTAGTTGGAAACTTGGAACATGTAATGCTAGCTTAAAACTTAATTAATGATTGTAGCTGAGAACGGGTGATGTTAGTAGAAAGTAGAAACTTGATACAATTAGTGATTTATATATAGTTAATGATTCTAGTTGGGAACGAGTGATGTTAGACCATCTCCAATGTCCAACTCTATTTTTTTTTCTATTTTAGAGTTGACTCTATTTTAGAGGCATTTTGCTCCAATGTATGTCTCTAAAATAGAGTTTCCTCTAAAATAGAGAAAAATATAGAGTAGTCTTTTTTTTTATTCTATATATAGAGCAATCTCTACATTTTTCCTCTATTTTAGAGCTAACTCTATTTTAAAGGCATACAATGGAGCAAAATCAACTATATTTCCTCTAAAATAGAGGAAAAAATGAAGTTGGGCATTGGAGATGCTCTTAGTGCATGCAATCAGTAACTATATAGAGTTAACAAATTTAGTCGAGAACGGGTGATGATCATCAGTGACTATATATAGTACTTTATGGTTTTCAGTTGGAATAGGGTGATGTTAGATTTAATTTAGGTCGATAAATGGTACTAATATATAGTTGGGTTGAGTCATTGTCTCTTTTACTTTATTTCTACCATCATCTCTTTAGTTTCTATCCATATATGCCATAAATGATTTACGTAAGAAAATGTATTTTCTTCAGGTCTATATTTTGTGTTCTTATTAGTAATGCCCAACTTCATTTTTTCCTCTATTTTAGAGATGACTCTATTTTAGAGGAAATATAGTTGATTTTGCTCCATTGTATGCCTTTAAAATAGAGTTAGCTCTAAAATAGAGGAAAAATGTAGAGATTGCTCTATATATAGAGTAAAAAAGAAGATTACTCTATATTTTTCTCTATTTTAGAGGAAACTCTATTTTAGAGACATACATTGGAGCAAAATGCTTCTAAAATAGAGTCAACTCTAAAATAGAGAAAAAAATAGAGTTGGACATTGGAGATGGTCTAACAGTCTAGAATTTAATACAGCCATGTTCTTATCGATCGGATCACATTAATGATACAAAAAAAATGTCAAAAAATTGGATCTGCCTACTGCTTTGATCTAATCTAACCACTACTGCTTCCCCATAACATTATTTACTGCTCGATCGAATAATTGAATGTTCCCTTGACCTATATGTCTTTTTCATTTTCAATGTTTTTATGGATTTCGTGGACAATAAAGAAACTTTGGAATACAATAGTAGAAAAGTAATTTAAAAAAAAAAGTAGAAACGCTAAATAAAAATTTTGGAATGACGAAACAACGGAAATGTTTGATATAATAAACTAAAAAAAATCAAAACTTGAACTACAAGCATAACTTTTCCTTCATAGGAATAAATAGTTGAATCACGTAAAAATGATTTACGTACCGTATTGGTGAGAATTATTTAACCAATACAAGTTTACAACTTCTAAACATTGTGTGTCATTTTTCATATATATTAAAATATGATTATCTTCTATATCCATTCTGATATTTTATGTTTGGCGTTTTCTTCTTTCGATAGATCTCCGTCTTTTAACTTGTCTATCACTTACAAGCAACTTACTTTTTCTTCGTACAATGTTTTTCTTTGTTAAGACTTGAGAGTATAGAAGACTCGAATTCGACTTGAATTCGGATTCATTGAGAAAGTTTGAGCTTGAGTCAAAGCTAATTCACATACAAACCAAACCACTTTTATCGTTTTTTCAATATAAATTAGATAATTTAGATAAACATATCTATTTCATTATAATTTCATTTAATTTAAAATGATTAAAAACCCATAATTCATAAATTATATATTAATTCATATCATGTTTTGGATATGTTTAATAAAAATAGTTCACTTGTGAAAAAAAGGTTGTGACTTGTGTGAGATTGTCGATTTGTCTTGCTGCTCTAATAAAGATAATTTACAAAATAATGTACTATTACAAGAAAAATGGCAATTCTTAAAATTATTTGTTTTTTTTTTGATAAAAAAATTATTTGTTTTTTTGTACTATATATACATACACACACCATTGAGGTTTGAGCAAAATAGTCCACGCGTTTCCTTTCCCCTTGTAAAATTTGCTTTTTTAAAAGATTTTGCGCCTTATTAGGTGAATCTCTTTGGATGTTTTCCTTCTATCAATAGCATCAAGATTCCAATTTATAGTTTCTCTCTTTTTCATCATTAGGGTTCGATTTTTCTCTGCTTATTCTGCTTACAATCAACAACACCAAGAAAAGACTTGAGGAATCGCTTATAGATCACTCTTCTTCTTATTTTGTTTCATTGGGTTGTTTTTGTGTGCAAAGGGAGAAGCAGGAGATCGAAGAAATGAAAAAGCACGTTGTGTTGGTGAAGCCTTTCTCGTTGGAAGACGAGAAAGACTCTGAAAACACACCTCCCAATCTCATCCAACGGATCTTAAGCCTCTTCAAAAACGTACGGCCAGGATCCGATCTCACTAATTTTCAGGTATATTTATCTGTTTTGTCACTTTCAGGTGATCTAGAACCTTTGAAGATGTACTATATTTAGCTTCTTTTTGGGATCTAAAATTGCACCATTCTATTTCTACATACTTTAGTTACAAAAAGAAAACTCTATTTTTTGCCCCAAGTTTTCCATATAGAAATTTCCTCTTACTTTCTTTTATGTAGAATTACATTTTCATTTAGTTTAACAGAATTATATCTATTAATTACACATAAAAATGATTTAGCATGTTTCATGATGTAACTTTAGTAACATGACTTGGTGAATTATTATTTTTAACCTATATTTCTTATGAAATAACAATGTTTTATTTACCGTGAAAGCTTCCACCTCAAATGAACCTAGCGAGATCGCAGCTCCAATGCTACGGCGAGATAGTGTACAGCTTCGACGGTCACGATCTACTCGGAGAATGTAGTCGTCGTGACAAACCAATCGAACGGCTTAAATCAGTGGTGACGTGGTACATCTCAACTCTCCGGCCATTGACCTTTGGCTTGGCTCCATACAATCCTGTCATCGGTGAAACTCACCACGTGTCCAATGGTCACATTAACGTTCTCGCAGAGCAAGCAAGTGTTTTTTTTTTTCGTGCTACAATCTTCAAGATTACGTTTTAGTGTATAGTGAAAGAATTATTAGTATATCGATTAATTTATGTTATGTTTTGATCTTTTATTTTTCAGATATCGCATCATCCACCAGTTTCTGCTCTTCATGCAACTCACGAGAAAGAAAACGTAGACGTTTTGTTCTGTCAATACTTCACGCCTAAATTTCGTGGTACGTACGTATAATCAAAAGGAAAAAAAAAAAAAAAACAAAAAACAAAATTTGTTGTTTAATAAAAAAAGTGGGCTGAGATAATCATTTTTTAATTTACAGGTGCTTACGTGGAGGTTGAGGTGAAGGGTAAAAGAGTAGTGAAACTTCTAAATCACAAAGAGACTTACAAAATGAACCAACCAAAACTTCTCATGACATTTTTGCCGGCAATGGGAGCTCACTGGGCCGGAAAAATCGTGATAAAGTGCCCGGAGACGGGACTTGGAGCTGAATTGCAGTTACTCTCCGATTCCTTTCTTAGTAGATTCACAGGAAACAATAAAAGAGCTATTAAAGGCAAGATCTTTGAATCTTCCTCTAGGAAACAGCTCTATGATATCTTTGGACATTGGGACAGGTAACAAAAACAAGAAGAAGAATCCATCTTTCAAAGTTTATTGCAGTTGTATACAAAATTTACAGTGAGGTAATGTTTTCAGAACTGTTACCGCGAAAAATTCGAAGACTGGACAGCTTGAGGTTATATACAAAGCGAGTGAAAACATTGCAAAGCTCAAAACTCCCGTTGTCAAGAACCTGCAGGTTATTGTTAGACACTTTCTCGGGAAATTTATAGTTTTTGCTCGATTTTCGTAATTCGGTTGTTTCTGGTTTGCAGGAGGTGAGTGAGAGCGAGTCGGCGGTGGTGTGGGGTGAGGTGAGTGAAGGAATCATGACGAACGACTGGGAGAAAGCAAGAGAAGCCAAGAGAGATGTGGAGGAGAAGCAGAGGGAGTCTTTGAGGAAAAGAGAGGCTTCTGGACAATCATGGATTCCCAAACATTTCTCTGTGGCTCGAGCTGGTAAGGACTGGGACTGTGTTCCTCTACAGCCTACGGTTCCTCGAGCTCCTATCGTTATTCCTCTCTGATTCAGCTGATTCTCTGTAGTAGAGGTTCCTACAAGAAGTAAGAACTCATGAGAAGTGTAAAGCACAGAGAAAAAAAGTTTAACTACAAACACAAAGTTGTCAAAAATTCTCAAATTGCAAAAACACAAGCTATGAGAATTTTAACTTACCAGCTTATCTTACAGAAAAGCTGCTAATTAATCGCCAAAACTAGTTCCATTTCGATGAATGAACCAATTACATGTCTAACCACATCGATAATCCAACATAATTGGATTATTCTATTGCAGCTAATCGGTTCGAATCACTCAGAGTATCTCCGGTTGCATTTTGGTGGCTTGAGGCCTTGAGCAGTCAAGTAAACATACTTACCTATCTAGGCATACAAGAGAGTACAGACATAACGAACTCATTAGCCTGCTCCAACTTCCCACTGGTGCAGAGTGAGCTAATGGTTGAGTGAAGGCTATGAAAATCATGAACAGAGTCTTCCTTCTTTATCTCTTTTTCATCCACACCATTCAAGAACTGCAACCTTTGATAAGAACACGGGTTTTTACCAGACAGATAGATTGTTGAACTTATCTCATCTAGGATTTTGATAGCCTGAGGGACCCTTCCTTGTTCGCACAGCTCGACGAGGAAGCCTCTGATCGATTCAGATTCAACTAATTCTGCATCAACTCTGTTAATCAGCTTAACAACAGATTCTGAAACAAGCATTTCTCTCAAGAGGCCCCTTGCTTCTTCCATTCGCCCTTTAGTGCAAAAACCTTTGATCAGAAATAGAAAACCCAAGAAATCAGCTGAGATATTTCTATCCTTGAACTCAGCAAACACTCTGAGAGCTTCTTCCATGTCACCTTTTTTACAGTAACCTTTGATCATAGAACTGACCGTGAATGCATCTGGTGTTACCCTTCCCATCATTTTCAGAGATAAAACTCTCATGGCGTCCTCTGTTTGCCCGAGCTTGCAGTACCCGTCAACTATCGAATTATAAATGAGAATGTTTGGTACAAAACCCTTAGATACCATACTGTCCAAAAGTTTCTCAGCATCAAGAAACAACCCTTCTTTGCATAAATTGTCAATCAAAATGCTGTAGGTGACCTCAGATGGGACTAAACCAATATTCTCTAGCGAATCAAATAGACGGAGAGCTTCTACAAGACAACCTTGCTGGCAAAGTCCATTTATGAGTGAATTATATGTAATGGTATTGAGAGTGACACCTCTGCTTTTGGCAAAACTACACAAATCTAAGGCCTTTACTAGAAATCCTTCCTTGCAGAGACCATTGATGATGATTGTGTAATCGATTACATCCATTGAAGACAGAGTAGTTTCTCCAGCATTAACAACGAGTAGATAAGCATCCAATGATCTGAGATTGTCCACTAGTGTTTTAACAATTGTAGAAGGAAAAGTAACAGTTAAACCTTTTCTCCTCATAATCATATAAACTTCAATCGCAGCCTCAAAAGAACCTCTATTGCATAAAAGCAAGATAGCATCATTGAGCATCCCAAGACAAATATCTGAATTCAACTGTTCCAGTTTATAAACCAAATCGAGTATTCCTTTGTCACCTCCGTTAGCATGGATTGAATGTAACAAGGTCCGAGATGTATAGATGTCCAAATACAAACCTTTCTCCCACAGCTCGATAAGAACACTTGTGGCTGTTTCCAGCATCCCTTTTTTGCAGAGTGCATCAATAATGCGATTATAACATACAGCTGCGGAAACTGAGCTATTCCTCAACTCATTAAACATCTCCAGTGCATCTTCAATTTGACCCGTTTTGCAGTACCCCTCAATCATAGTTGCGTATGTGGCTGTGTCTGGAGTCAGACCCATTTCTGGCATTGCCCTGTAAAGCGCATCAGCTTCTCCATATGCACCCACCAATAGAAATGCTTTCAGGAGAATGTTGCACATAACCAAGTCCATAGGGATTTTAGCTTCTACAAACCTACGCCTAATCTCTAATACAGCATCAATATTCTCCACCTTTACATAACTATCTAATAAAGTACTATAAGTAATGACATCTCCCACAACTCCTTTCGAAACCTCATCTGCCTCCGACACTCTCCCTGCCCTGCAAAGTCCACTAATCACAGTGTTAAACGTAAGAATGCTTGGTTGAATACCTCTCTGCTCCATATCTCCCAACATAGAGAAAGCTCGATTCAAATTTCCTTTCCTACATATTCCATCTATCAATGTCACATACAGAAACTCATCCACTTCGATTCCAACACTGAGAATTCTATCGAACAACACAAATGCATCTTCGAGTTTACCCTTTTTGCAGAGTCCCCTAATAATAGCTGTATAAGTAATCAAATTCGGCTCTATCCCTTCCTTCATCATCTTCCCTAATAACACTAACGCCTTTTCAATATTTCCCTCCTTCGACAACCCATCTATTAGTATCGAATAGCTCACAACATCTCGATTTATTCCCTTCTCCACCATTTTCCTGTCCTGCATAAGTGCATCCACTAATGCACCTCCCTTAAAGTACCCATGAATCCAATTACTGTAGAAAACACAATCAAACTCAAATCCATCATCTTCCAATCTCCTAACTAAATCCTTAACTTCATCAACCTTACCCAATCGACAAAGAGCAGTCACAAGCGTAGTATAAGTTACAAGGTTTGGCACCAAAACACCTGAATCCACAGCAGTTTCGAAAAACCCTAACGCAAGTTCCGGTTTACCAATCTTACAAAACCCAGAAATCACAGCACTAGAAACGAAATTATCAAATGGGTAATTCACATTCTTGTTCGTCATCATCTCTAAAACCTCAATAGCATTATCCATCTCTCCTTTCGCAACGAACCGATAAACCAGTGAACAAAACGTCAAGGAAGAAGGAAACGCACCGTGATTCTGTAAACAATCACGGAGAATCGAAAGACCCTTATTTGGATCATTACGTGTAACGCTGAATCCATGAATTAGAGAATCTAACATATGGGTCCTGGGAAAAATCGAAGCTTTTGATATCTGAGTGTTGATAAACTTCTCTGCGTCTTCGTATCGATTCAAATTGAGGAATGCCCATGAAACGATTGAGTAAATCCGGTGGTTGATGTTGATTTGGTTCGAATCTAGCTGAGAGTAGAAGTGAAGAATGCACTGAAACTTCTGACGACGGTAGAGATATCGAAGAAATCTGTCGATGGAGTTTAAGGTCGGAGAGAAGCCACTTTTGAGAAGCGATTGGAGAGAAAAGAGTCCCAAAGAAGTTCTAGTGTAAAGCTTCATGGAGATTTCGCAAAAAGGTTTCTCCTTTCTCTCAGCTAATTCGTGATTTCAGAATCACCATGGCAACAGAAGTGGCCGACACCGCAACGAAGAGTCTTTGTGACTCGGGTTAAAATTGGACCGGTCTGATTCTGATTGAACCGGTTTATTTGGTTTAACTTATTACATGGTGTTGCACTAAATAAAAAAACTTGCAAGTTTAGAGATCAAGGATCTAAAGATTTCACAGGAACAAGTAAAAGGTCATGTTTCTTATGAGAAGTGAGTCCAGAAGCTTCATCCATGTAAATATCTTCAACCGCCAAACCTTCTGGTAACTTCCAATCAAACTGATACAAGAGATTAGCAAGACCAAACTCAACTGTTGTTATCCCCATGTACAATGCTGGACAAATTCTTCGACCACTCCCAAATGGTAACAACTCAAAGTCTTGTCCTTTAACATCAATGTCACAATCCATAAACCTCTCTGGGAAAAACTCTTCTGGATCTTTCCATATCGCAGGATCGCGGCCGATAGCCCATACGTTGACATGAAGCCTTGTCTTGGGTTGAATCGTGTAGCCGTTGATCTGAAATTCAGATGTTACTTCTCGTGGGACTAGAAGAGGTGCTACTGGATGTAACCGGCATGTTTCTTTGATCACCATTTTTAGGTAATTGAGGTGATTTATCTCATCTAAACTTATGATTCTTGTTTTGTTGTGTTTCCCTATTTGGTCTCTTATTTCGGATTGGACTTTCTTCATCACTCGCGGGTTTCTTGCGAGTTCCGCCATTGCCCATGTCATGGTTATTGCAGAAGTATTGATTCCCCCCAATAGAATGTTCTACAGAGACAAAAAAGATTAGATAATATCAAACATCATAGTATTTGCTAGAAATTCTATATCCAATGAGATACTAATCTTAAAGGTTTTAATGAGATATATCTTACCATCAAGATTGCTTTGATGTGGTTTCTTGTGAGTTTGCCATATCCAAGAACAGCTTCTTCCTTTTCCAACCTCAAGAGCAAGTCCACAAAGTCATCTTCACTTTCTTCTCTGTTTTTCTGTAGATGTAAATCAATCATTTGCTCATAGAAAGCATCAAGATCTCGCACACTTCTCTCTCTCCGTGCATGCAAGCCCGTGTACCAATCGACGATCCAACCGATATATGGGAAAAAATCCGAAGCAGAGAAGCTCCCCAACATCTCGAGAGCTTCATGGACTAAATCTCGGAACTTATCATTGTTGAGTACAGTTCCTTGGAAATTCACACCGAATGCTGCCTTGCAAACCACGTTAACGTTTAAAGAAAGAAACGTATCACTCAAGTTAACCAGAGTTTTCTCAGAAGCAGATTCAGTAATTGAGTCAATCAGTTTCTTCATCTCCGCCTCCTTGATTGGTTGAATCGAGTTAACTCGCTTAGTACTAAAGAGTTCTTTAACACAAAGCCTCCTTAATTCTTTCCAATAATCATCAAATCGAGAGAAAGCAATGTCTAGATAGTTGTAAGAAAGCTTTCTTGTACCTTCCAAGCTTGGACGGCTACAACAGTGGAGGTCATAGTCTTTAAGAACTTGTTTTGCTGTTTCAGGAGAAGAAACTATAACCGTTGGAACTCTTCCAAGTTTTAGTAACATTACAGGACCATACTTCTTTGAGAGTTTCCATAGAGACTGATGTGGTAATTCTCCAAGCTGGTGCAAGTTTCCGATGATAGGTAAGCCTGGAGGAGATGGTGGTTGCCGGTGCCATTGCCGCTTAGTGTGTTTGACGGCGACGAGAAGGATAAAGATGAGGAAGAGAAGTGATAGAAACAAAAGCAGAGTCATATTTTACTTACACGTTTCACGTTTGTGAGTGATGACGATGAAGCAAAGGTCTTGTTTTTTTATATACAAAGTGAAAAAATTGTAAACAAATCAATATTTTTTAATAATTATATACCCACTGATTGTAAAATTTCATCCAAAAGTTTATATTTATAAAATAGGTCCCTATATTATATGAGTAAAAATAGTTTATATTCGTATTGTTATAACACAGCCAAAATTCTAAAACTCTGTGTTAAGCTCTACTAAATAGCTTGACCTTACAACAACATACACCGGTTAACACTAACCAAACAATGGCTAAAATCACAATAACCAAAACTCTCCTTAGACAGAAACCTCTGCTTCTAATTTTGTTCTTATACTAAACCTTAATAAAAGCAGAGTAACATGTCCCATTAAAGAGCACTAAACCCCAGCAAGAGGAAGCACTTTGTAGATTTCTCAGAAATTTACAGTAATCTGCGATCCAATCTAATCCAATCCAATCTGGAGATATGTGGAAGTGTTTTGTTCCGGTTTCAAGAAGTGTATGGTTTGGTTTCAAGAATTTGTTTCTGGCTCAGACCACCGTGCTCGTGTAGTTTGGAAAGAGTCTGACCAGTTTGTAAAGAGCATCTGAGTGAAACTTCCTTGCGAATAGATAACATGGACGTCTAATTCCCTTCCATGTACAAGGCCAATGCAGCTCTTCTCCGCGCTAAGAAGAGATAAACGCAGAAGATAAATCAAGAGAAGCATTTCACATTTTCAGTTGTTTCGAATGCAGTAAACGAGTAAGGTACCTTGCCAACACTTGTTACATGTACACTCATGTCATCGGACTGCAAGAAACCGAGGAAGGAAAGTATATATATAAATGAAGAACGCATTTAGTGAACCACTTCTAACTGACTAGTAACAACCATCTGGTTAGGCTAACAGGTTAAACTGGATGATGATCCCGGTTTACTCTGTGATAGCATAAGATGTTTGGTTGATGTGTTGAAAAAGCGTTGTAACATTACCGTGATATTTTTCAAGAGCTTGAGTGAGACATCGCGTGCTCTGTATGTCTTTGGATGCCATCTACGCTCAGACCAATCAACATATGTGACTGACCAGTTCGAGATTCCTCCAGGATCAAGCATCTTTAAAGAACAAAGATTTCATTAAGGGACAAGAATTACAGTGAAAACAATTATAAGAGAGGAAGTTGTTGTAATCTTCTCACATGGAAGAATGTTGGCAGGTAATGTTCATCAGCGATGCAGTTCTTGTTTGCTTCTACCCCGGGCTGAGGATTTTCAAAGCAGAATTAGAGTTAGAAAAAACTAAAACTTTTCACATTTCTAAAAAAATCTGAGGACTCTTGATATTAGCAAAAGATAGCAGCTTGAGATGACCCAAGCTTGGTGTCTTTATGAACAATTTTTTACTACAGAACTCAAATCATTAATGGTAGGCTGTAACATGCAAATAAAAACTTTAGTATAAAGGAATACCAAACTTACTCTGCAATACTCCCGGAATTTCGAGTAGTAGAGACCATCAGCCATCACTATTACAGCGTGCTGACGCTTCATTGTGAACCACTACACCAGACGAGAAAAGTGGGAATTACACAATATGTTTCCCGTAGACTTTTACATATTTTCGACATTACCATTACCCAACAGACCTAGAGAAGCAACAACTTAAGAACAATCCCCAACTCAGGGATTAACTTAACAGTATTTTACCTGTGCACCCTTTCTGAAATCTTGCCTTGGGATCTCAGGTAACATGTGATCCATGTGTCTGCCAGTCCCGTGAGGACCAAGATCCTCAAAACTTGAGAGAGAAAAAAAAAAGCATTGGTGAATATTAATGGAGAAATCAAATCAAGCAATAGAAAGATACCCAAAGTTTGTGACAGTCATTTATTTACCTATCAATGAAGCTGACATTTGCGTGCATCAAATATCGATATGTGTAGTCAAATGTATGCAACGGTATACAACTGCAAAGTTAAAAGAGATACATCGAGTAAAGAGAATGTAGCTGGAAAACAAAGTTATGACTTTGTGCAATATACGATAAGTTTATGAAATCACCTTTCTGAAAGAAGAACAAAGTGTTGGTTGTCAGGATCTTCAAGAGCGTTTGCTAGAAGCCGTCTCTCTGCATCAACCATAGAAATCCTTCCCCAAGTGACATGATCGCTGTGAATTTCACGGTCTGAAAAGTGACGGCTAATGTGAACTGGTCGTAACCTTGAAGGGTGGATGTAAATAGAGAATCTTCCTTCTTGACCCTTCACAATATAGAGCAAACCGTCAAATACCATACACAGCAATCAAATATATCAAGAATGTGTCAAGATCTTCTTTTAACCTGGAAAAACTTATCCCAAAGTCTCTCAAATGGCAAAGTACCAGGAGTCAAGAACATAAAAGCGATTTTCGATTTAGCGGTTAGAGCAGGAGGTAGTCTCAGTATATCTTTGATCACAACTCGAGCTGCAACTTCTTCATCTGTAAATTTCCTCACATGAACAGGAAGCCATCCCGAAAGCGCCGCTTCACAGCCTCTACTAGACAAACCCGCACAAGCAGAGCTCTTACTATTGTGCTGTGGATACATGTAAGTGATCACCAAAAGCACACTTGTGATACAGACTAACAAAACAATCAACAATGGCTTCTTTAGAGAAGATCGGTGTCGCGGAGACAAATGCAGGTTCTGTGTTTCTCCCATTGCAAAGAAAAAGTTTGAATCTTTAACTTCTTTACATTGAGCAAAACCTGAAAAAATGAATCTTTGTCACTTACCAATGTTAAAGCAACACTCTTTAGAAACATGGAGTTTTTAATTCGAAGTCCCACACGTTTGGTGAAACAAATTTACGGAATTTAAGAAAAGAAAACCTAATTTAAAGGAGGGAAATTATTCACGTTGTTCTTGTGATTGAGAAAGATCCTCACCCGCACGTACGAGGCAATTAAGCAAGTGTAGTAGTTTTTGCTTCACTCAAAAACCAAAATCCGATGCTAAAGAATAAATTAGCAAAAACTATCAGATTCGTAATGTTACAGAAATTATAAAGAAGAGTGGACCAAATGCATTTATCAGTGAAGAGAAATAGAAGTTATTACAGTTACCTGAGAATTTGGAGCTGAAATTTAAATGGGGAGAGAAAAAATGGAATCTTTGTCTGAGCCCAGATCTCAAAAATGAAAGCTTTGATGATCTTCTTCTTTACCTTAAAAACAAAGAGTCAAAAGAAAGATAACGAGAGAGTGTTAGAATTTTTTTTTTTTTGCTTTTGGTTGCAATAATAATAATTAGATTAATGTGTTCCAATGAAGAACATACAACAAGTATAGTCTTTGACGATTCAGATCCTCGATTTGTTTTCTCTCTCTTTGCTTAGAAATAAAGAAATCGACGAACAAGTGTTTACACTTTTCTTTTTTAATTTAGAGAAAGAAAAAAAAAACTAAAACTGTTTAAGTTATCTTCTTCTGGTCCTATAAACAAACACCTCCACACCAGTCGATTTTTTCCAATGATGGTGGAATCAGAAGAAACTAGAGATAGAAAAAGTATATGTGCATATCTATTTTTATTTTTTCACTATGTAATTTTTATTTTTTTGTGCAAGAAATAAATTTTAATTTTATACTTTACGAAAAAGAAAAAAAATAAAGAAAAAATGTCAAGTTCAATTTGGAAATGACGATTTAATTCCTAACCGAACCACTTGTCTCTATAGACATAATTTCACTAATAAAGCTTACATTATTATGGGACTATACAAATAATTAAATGCCAAAAATAAGAAATTCAACTTTGGTCAGTTCTTGGCCCGTTAAAGAAAAAAAATGAGTTTCAAGAAATTTACAATATAGGCCCAGGTCCACTGTTAAGCCAAGGCCCAAGCCAGTAAGGGAAAAACTAGAGCAACTAATCTAACCGGAAAATCTGAAAACCTCACTGATCTAGTTGATTAACCGGACCGACCATAACCGGTTAACAAAAATCGGATTTTGCAAACAAAAGTTGTCTTTTTTTTCTTTGGCTCTAAACCCTAAAAAAACCTTCAACGCCGTTCGTTTATTGTTCTTCTTCCTCCTCTGCTACAGTTTTGTTTTTTTAGCTCTAGACGCTAATAATGTCAAATCGACCTGAGTTACTCGCACCGCCGGAGATATTCTATGACGAAACCGAAGCTCGGAAGTATACTTCTTCCTCTCGTATCGTGGAAATTCAGGTTTTTGAATTGTTTCCCCAAAGAAATATCTCTCAATTTCTCCTGAAATTTAGCACTTTTGCTCTCTTATACAATCCCAAAGCTTAAACATTTATGATTTACAGGCGAAGCTATCAGAGAGAGCTTTGGAGCTTCTTGCTTTACCCGAGGATGGTGTTCCTAGATTCTTACTCGACATTGGTAAATAAAAAACAATCCTTTTAATCTACTGATGATGAGCATGATTCATTTATTTGGAAAATTGTAGTTCAATGCACATATATAACCATGTTTGATTGAAATTATGTATCTAAGTTCGATTAGCTGGTTTATGGATAGTTAACAGATGTAGTCATATTCTAAAGTTTCATTCTTTTCGATCATCGATTTATTTTAGTATCTCGATGTCAGTGTAAGAACTTATTTGTTTAGCTTTGTTGCTAGAACAGAGAATGACTAATCTCTATTGTGGTTCAGGTTGTGGATCTGGCCTTAGTGGAGAAACAATTTCTGAAAACGGGCATCATTGGATTGGTTTAGACATTTCTGCCTCAATGCTAAGTAAGTTTTTTTCTTTGTGAAGGGTTCCTTATCATTCTCTGTCTCTTGTGATCTAAGCCCATTCTATCTTTAATAACGATGTAGACGTTGCTGTGGAGCGAGAAGTTGAGGGTGATCTTTTACTTGGCGACATGGGGCAGGTAATCTAGCTTCACTTTTATCATCTTCTCTTGGGTTTTTCTGTGGCTGGTTAGTTTTTTTTTTTGTTTTTGTTATTGGTATATTTCTTGGATTGATGAATGTTTACATACTTGCGATTTCTCAGGGATTAGGTCTTCGTTCTGGAGTTATTGATGGAGCCATCAGTATTTCAGCTGTTCAGGTTTTACTACTCAAATTACCTTATCATAGACTTATTTTGATCGTCCATGAGATTTGATTCTTAGTATTATATGCTACATTGACCTAATTTTTTAATCTCATCGTATGCTTTACTTACATTGTGTTTATTGTTTAATCAGTTCTTCCTTTTTTACCTGATTTCAGTGGTTATGCAATGCGGATAAGTCATCGCATGAACCTCGTTTAAGGCTAAAGTAGGTGTAAATTATTTGACTTTTGCTGAATCAACAAGTGTGTTGCAATACTGATCTTTAGCTTCTCAATTTCTTCAGGGCTTTCTTTGGGTCACTATACCGCTGCTTGTCAAGAGGAGCAAGGGCAGTTTTTCAAGTGTACCCTGAGAATATTGCTCAGCGTGAATTGATTCTTCGCCAGGCTTTACAAGCTGGATTTGGAGGTGGACTTGTTGTTGATTATCCACACAGGTATGTGCTGCCAATTCCAGTGATAACTTTCTTTTACAATCAAGAAAATCTGTTGGTCTTATGAGCTTCTCAGAACTATGTAATGCCACAATCGGTAAATGTAGAAGCTGTTTTTGGTGTTTGTTTCAATCATTTGATTGGTGAGTCACTTTTTAAGACATTAAACAGATGCAATGTTCTCTCTAATGCAGTACTAAGAAAAGAAAAGAGTTCTTGGTCCTCACATGTGGTCCTGTTCAGACCAGTATTCAAACCAGTAAGAATGAGTATGATGAGAGTTGCTCAGAAGATGACAATAGCGAAGATGAAGATGAAGAGGTATAGCTATAGTGCTGCTCGGAATCTCATTACCGTACATATCACTATATCGAATTCTCATATACAATTCTCGGGTTTGTTTTTTCTTTGTTTGCATAAAGGTGGGTGTATCAGATAGGAATAGGCCAAGGAAAAAGCGGAAAACGAACAAACAAGGGAAAGGAAGAGAATGGGTTCTGAAGAAGAAAGAGCAAAGTAGAAGAAAAGGAAACAATGTTCCTGCTGACTCCAAGTACACCGCTAGAAAACGCAAGTCGCGTTTCTAGTTTTGTTAATTATAGCTAAACGCTAGTTTAGAGCGTTTTGAAAGTTTTGTCATTAAAAGAAATTCATTACTGTTTTGAATATTTAAATGTGTGTACTCAACTCTTTTGTTGCTCTGCTCGAATGCATCTTGTAATTTGCGTTGGCCTTGTCATTTTTTTAGATTTTTGATAAATGGCCATGGATCAATCCTTTGAAGAAGCTGGTGTACCAGGGACATCTATGGAGAGTATGAATTTTCTGGCAAAGAACAGGAAATCGAGCTCTGTTGCTTATTTGATTGCAACACTTGCATAGACAGTCTCTCATACTATTCTCCATCCAGTAATCGTATTGTTTAGTGAAATGGTGTCTACAAAAGTTCTTTGGAACAAAACTGATGGATACCTTCGCTTTTCAAAGCTGCTAACTTTTGCAAGGTCAAAGGTTGTGTTGGGTTGTATAATTCTGGTCTCTCCTTACACGCAGTGTCCACTCTCTCAACTTCTCAGCTTGAGAATATAGTCTTTGAGGGATATATCATTTATATAGATAAGGTAAAACATTTTCATCAAGTTCTTCTCAATGCTGGGGACTATTTTGTGACATACCAACAACCTTCACTAGTGCATTGTGAACGGGTTAAGTGGAACGTTGAACTTTAAAAAGTTGAATTTTGGGTCATTTTCACTCTTCCCCTAGTTTCTTCTTTGTGAAAGTGAAAATTCCTGCCAACGGAAAAAAAACACTCTTTCTCCATTATTATCTAGAAAAACAGCTCCAAAAAAAAAAAAAAAAAAAAAATCTAGAAAAACAGAGTTGACAAACATGGTGGCGTTATAGTCTTCTTCATTGCTTATCCTCTTGATTTCGAAGCAACTCAGGTAATCTTTTGTCCCCCGGCTAGGTTTTAATCAGTTTTTGGGTCTGTCACGTAGTATTTTCAAGTTTGAGTTTCTAAATTCTGAATTTGGAGTTTGAGAATATATGTTTGCCTAATTCTTGATCCCATTGATGTTTGTCTAAGAGTACTGATGTTTTTTTGTTTCAAAACACTCATTTACTATTATAACCATTTCAGGAGATTTAAAAGTATTGAACAATGAGCAAGACTTGTGACATTAGATATGATCCAGGGAGCACATCCACTGGTTCCCTTTCAAATCCAAATCAGTTGACTATTCACAAAGACGATGATGAATCTGAGATTATGAATCTGAGGATTTTGTGTGCAGTAAGAGCAGGTGACAAACTCTCCCTCCTGAAAAGGATAAAAGATGACTTAGAGGTCATTCAACGACTCGTAGACACTCGAGGGAACACAATACTTCATATTGCTGCTGCTTTGGGTCATCTCCATATTGTGGAGTATATAATCTCTAACTTCCCGAATCTTGTACAAAAACGGAATTTGATGGGTGAGACGGCTCTTCATGTTGCAGCCAGAGCAGGCTATCTCAATATTGTTGAGTTTCTTGTTGTATTCGTAACAGAGTCTTTCTGTAATACATTCATTGCTGCTAAAAGCAAGAACGGTGATACTGCAATACATGCTGCGTTGAAAGATAAACATGCAGATGTTGCTTTATACCTAGTGAGTATGAAGCATGATCTATCATTTGAGAAGAACAATGATGAAGCATCTCCTTTATATCTGGCTGTAAAAGCTGGAAACTGTGAGCTCGTACATAAAATGCTTGAATGTTCATGTTGCCTATCTAAATTTGCTTCGCTGTTGAGTGGGAAATCTGTTATACATGCAGCAATGAAGGCAAATAGAAGAGGTTTGTTCTTGTGTCTCAATAGCTATATGTATATTTGTCGTTTGTTCAATCTTCTGCGTCAAGTTTCTTCTATATGTGCCAATTGATTTTTGTCTTTCTTGTTGGTTGCTTTCTCAATTCTCAGATATCCTTAGTATTGTTCTTAGTCAATATCCAGAACTTATTGAATTACGAAACGAAGAAGGAAGGACGTGTCTTTCCTTTGGAGCATCAATAGGATCTTACGAGGGAATTTGCTATATACTAGGAGAATTTGACAAAGCAGCTTCAACCCTTTGTTATGTCACTGATGATGATGGTCTCACTCCGATTCATATGGCGGCAAAGGAAGGACATGTTCAAATCATAAAGGAGTTTCTTAAACACTGTCCTGACTCAGTGGAGCTACTTAACAGTCAATGTCAGAATATTCTTCATGTTGCTGCCAAAACTGGTAAGTCGAAAGTTGTCAAGTATCTTTTAAAACTTGACGAACGGAAGAGAATGATGAATGAACAAGATGTCCATGGGAATACACCGTTACACCTAGCCACCAAACAGAGACACCCGATGGTTGTGAATATGCTTACATGGAAAGATGGGATTAACCTCACAACACTGAACAATGATGGCTTCACAGCTCTAGATATCGCTGAGACATTGAAGGACAATACCTACGTACTTCAAAAGGTATTCATGTAATTGATTGATGCTCAACACATCCTTTTCTTTGCCAATGGACATTGCATCTTATATCTTATATAACTTGTTTTATTGGTTTACAGAGATTGACTTGGATGGCTTTGGTATCTGCTGGTGCACCAAATGGTCCGAACCCGATTGCATTGAACGTGTCACAGAATCAAATACCAAATCCAGAAAAATACAAGGATAGTGTCAATACTCTTATGGTGACTGCAACACTTGTAGCAACTGTGACCTTCACTGCAGGTTTCACATTACCTGGTGGTTACATGAGTTCTGGTACAGATTTAGGTATGGCTGCATTGGTCAATGAGTTGAATTTTAAGGTATTTCTGTTGTTCAACAGCATAGCAATGTGCTCTTCTGTGGTAACTATAGTGGCTCTTATTTGGGCACAATTGGGTGATGCTCTTCTGACAAAGAAAGCTTTTCAACTAGCTTTACCACTTCTTGCAACCGCACTTGTATCTATGGCGATGGCATTTGTTGCTGGAGTTACTCTTGTGGTAAGCGATCTCCCATGGCTTTCCCATTTTGTATTAGCCATAGACTCGGTCTTCTTTGTACTCCTGATGCTACTTATCATTCCTTACGCTTTCTCGTCTACCAGACAAGGCTTTCTCCGACACATCTTCTACTTTCCATATTTTTTGATGCTTTTGGTTGTTGGTGAAGACAGCAACACCATGGACGTTTAGAGATTGATCTGTTCAACAACAGTTTTGTATTATGAAAAACTGTTTTAAATAAAAGTCAAGAGATGTTCTGACTTTCGACATTGCCACATTGGTGTAGACAAATGTGCTTGTATGTTGTAACATTAAATCCATGAAATGGTTGAAGGTTTGAAACCATCTATGAAACATACCATATTGAGAAAATATGAAAAAGAACCATCTATGAATATGTTTGCGTATTACGGGGGTAGGTTAAAACCAGAAACAAACATAATTCTGACATTACATTGGTCTCTTGACATAGTTTCACCTCAAAAAGAAACAGATTAAAAAAAATTGAGATAAAAAACCTCAAAAACTAACCCTTGAAACATTGTTTTTTTAGTCTCTTAACCAAAGAGATCAAATCCAAAGTCTCCTTCTTCCTCTTCAGATTCTTCCTTCTTCTTCTCTTCCTCCTTTGTGGCTGCGGCAGCCTCACCTCCACCACCACCTCCAGTAGCTGCACCTCCTCCGGCAGCAAATCCTCCACCACCACCACCACCAATGATCACCTACTCAGATAACATATTCTATTAACACAAACAATAGATAAAAACAAGTTTCGACATCATGCATTTCAATAATTAGCTTAGTATCATTCATTTCAACAACTCATTGTACAATTCAAAAATAAAACTAGTATCATGTATACTTCACCAATTTGAAATGAGTTCTTGATAAGGAGATAAGAGCAAAATTACCAGTGAATCTAAGTATACAATGTAGCTATAAAACAATGTACATTGGAGAAAATTCACAATTCCAGATTCATCTTCACCAATGGAATCAGAACTCAAGATTCTATCACAACTAGTTAGCTAAAAAAACTACGATCACACAAAATTAAGTGATCACAAGCATCACTAGATTCGAGCTTAAACCATAAGATCTAGCTAATCTACGAGTAAAAAAAAAAACTAATCACGATCCAGTAATCAAAGAGATGAGGGAAACCTGGAAGACGGCGGAGGTAGGAGAGATAAGAGAGAAAGAAGACTGAACGCCGCCAGAAGAATCGGCGGAGAGAGCAGTCTGAACAAGCTTGCGCTGGAGATCGTAAGTAGAAGAAGCTGAAGCTTCAAGATCTCCTTCGTGTTGCTTTGCGGTCCATTCTCCGCCTTTGCTTTTGCAAACGAAAGTGAAAACTCCCATCTCTTCTTCTTCAATCGGCGGCGAGATTTCTCAGCTGTGAAAAAAACTTAAGTCTCACGGCGAAAACTGCGTGATTACGTTTATATATGATTTGATTTCACGACGCAGTGAGAAGAACCCTAAAATAGAACCGGGCTTATAGAATATGGGCCTGATACAAAGCCCATTAAAAGCTTCTTTTATTAATTGGTTGTGTTTTAGTAGTAACTCAAAACATGCATGCCACACTTGATTTTGATGAGGATGGTGAAGAAGCAATACATTGTAACAACCATTGAAGAGTACTACATTCTCAAAGAGTAGAGTTCAAAGGAAATGAAGAAGCTCGTTTTGCAATTGCATCAGCACTAAAGCTAAAAATGGTTTTTTTTTTTTTTTATCCTCTTCTTCTTGTCTCGGATTACATTTGTGTCAGTTTTGTACCATAAATAACCTTGGCCACTCTTGAGGGTCTTTCACGGCTTGCATAAGAGCTTAATTGTTACTCGCAAAGTATCTTCAAACTCAAAATTTAGTTTGATCATACGATTAAAATCAACAAAATTTCTTCAAAAAAGGAGGGGAATCAATAGTTATGTCGTGAATTCGCTCTTAAGCAGAGACTTATTACCTACCAACTTTTACAGTTTGGGTTTTGAAACAGCAGAAGCAAAAGTTAAGAAAAAAGTCAGAGCTTTATGGCAGAGTGAATGGCGACAACTCCACCAACAAGGTTCTCGTACTCCACCTTCTCAAATCCTGCGTCTGCTATCATCGATGCAAATCGCTCCTGCGCTCATTTCGTACATCTAGTGATTACAAAACATGCTTTAAACTAAAAAACGTCTTATAGACCAGACATCACCTGATCACACACATGCTCATATAATCATAGCTATCATAACTTAAAACTGATCTTCTTACAAGAATCTTACACAACCTTTAGCTATAGTATTGATCATGGCAAGTTGTTACTAATAGTTTTGAAGAAGCCCACAAGTTAAAACTTAAAAAGTTATCTTCTTACATGAATTTAACACAACCTATAACAAAAGATTCTATAACAAAAGATTTGATCATGACTTGTTATTACTAATGTTCTTGAAGAAACCAACAAGTTAAAACATCATATGATGACTACACCATTTTTATACAAAACTTCCAAACCGTGCAGCAATATCAGGAAAACTAAGCAAAAGGTTGAATGTTTGAACCTGAGGGGGAAACCGACGAACGCTCTCAACCAAGTACTGATAAGATTCCCTGTCCCCAGCGATTAGTTCCCCTAAGTTTGGAATGACCTGGAAAGAATACAAATCATATCTGCAAAACAAGAAACAAAGTGAGATTATCAAAGAAACAAAAAAGACTTCGGTACTTACTTCCACAACATGTCTAATCATCTAAACTTACAGATTTTTGAAAATCGGAATTTCTACATGGCTGAGCTCGAGGCACAAGAATCTTCCTCCCCGTTTTAGTACCCTAACAGTGTGAAGAGTTTTATAAGATTATACATAAACGCTGTAACAGGAAAATATACCCGAATAGAGAGGGTGGATGTATTTGTAGTAGGTACCTATAAGCCTCTGCGAGAGCCTTTTCAATGTGTGTGACATTTCTTATTCCAAATGCAATAGTGTATCCATCCATTGAATTGTCATCGAAACTCAAGGCCTCTGCGTCTCCTTCGACCCATACGAGTGATTTGTTATCTCTTAGACCTATTCAAGATAGTAAAGGAAGCCTGAGTTCACACATACAAAGAACAAAATATAGAGGAATAAAAGAGGATACAAATTTGATGCACAAAAAAACATCCAATGTTTCACCTCTCTCAGCAGCTCGTTGTTTCCCAACGTTTAACATGTTAGGATTAATGTCACATACGTATATCTGAGTCTCTTCAAGAGAAACCTCATCAACTTTCTGCAATGCTCTTCGTTTGACACTGTAAACAGCATCATAGATCCTAAACGCAACATCACCTGCATATTACAACCAATATTTATGACAAAGAGTACACTTTTCAACTATGTATGGATTTGTGATCAGAGACAGCAAAACTACATGTTTAATTGTATAGACTGACCTGTTCCACCGGCCACATCAAGATGCTTCATCCCAGCAAATGGACTTAGCTTCCCAACGAGTCTGACATCACAAGAACCACCGAAAAAGTCAATTTTTAATACAAGAGCAAATCATAACACTTTGTGATCAAACTATCACCGAGTCAAACCTTTCCTTCCATAGCCTGTGCAAGCCACCACTCATCACATCATTCATAATATCATAACTCGAAGCTACATTGGTGAATACATTACCAACCAATTTGCTTTTCTCTTCTTCCTTTACTTCTTGAAACCCTGAAATGAAAACATTGAAGTAAAACTCACACAGTAGAAACTCAAAGAGAAATCATAATCTAGAAAACACAGCATTTCGTATAGCATGAAACAGATGATCTTGAAATGAAAGTCATCCACAAGAATACTAAATAACCAAATCTAGAGAGAAAAAGGAAAGGTTTTTAAGAGTGTTACCGAAACTTGTGGCATGAGAATGAATCGAAGCAACAAAGGAACGATGATTCAAAATTCTGCTCCCGAGCCTCCTGCTTACTGATCGTAATGCCATAGCTCTTAATCGAAATTATAGTCTGTCTCACTCCAAATTTTTTTCCTACAAACAATTTTAAATGATGAGACCAATTCACATACAAAAGATGAAAACAGAGAAGAAAAAAAAATTTAAAGTTGCTCAATTGTCAGAAAAATTAAAAAAAAAAATCTTTATTTGAGATTCAAATTTTTCATATACTACATGAATCATGAAACTGAAGAAGAAGCTCTCGAACTGTTCAATGAATGAACCGACTCACCGGAAATAAAAGCGAAACCCGAATTTGAAATCTACCCTTTCAAATTAAGCTCGAGGAAAACAAAGCTCGGAACTAACGAAAGCTATATAACAATGAAATAATATAATTTAAGAAAAGAATTCAAATTTCGTCGACTCACAGCTCCGAGATCTGTATTAGTATAACAGGTGTTGTTCTTGCAGGACACGTCGGTGCCGGTAACCGACCAAAAAGTTTGACGGAGGAAGAAGAAGGAACGGTGAGTTTGTTATGGGCTTATGGCTCTCATGAAGCAGAGTATGGATTGGGCTTCTATGATAATTGGGCTTTTTTATTCAGTACTAAATAGGCCCATTATGTTATGGTCCCGGTTCATATTAATTTGTGATTGGTTTGCATAACCGATAAATTGAATTAGAGTGAGTCCAATTTTAAAACTCATCGGGAAAAGTAGAAATTATGATCGGAGAACCCAAAGGATCCGAAACTCTCTGATCAGAGGGAAAAGGGGATTTTCATACCCGTAATATCTGTACCGTGGATTTTCATACCTGGACAATTTTGTAGGGTATTTTACAACATAAACTTCAACAAAATTTGAATCTCATACCTATATTTGATTCAACGTGCAAAAATCGGAGTCAATCTAACGGGTGTTAGTCAACTCCGTTACGGTGCTGAGTCATCGTACACGTGTACGCTGACGTGTATCAAAACAACGTCGTTTTCATACCTGTACTGTCTGCGCCGTGGATTTTCATACCTGGACAATTTTGTAAAGTATTTTACAACCTAAACTTCAATAAGGCAAAACACTCGAATTTTATTGAAGTTTAGGTTGTAAAATACTTTACAAAATTGTCCAGGTATGAAAATCCACGGCGTAGACAGTACGGGTATGAAAACGACGTTGTTTTGATACACGTCAGCGTACACATGTACGATGACTCAGCACAGTAACGGAGTTGACTAACACCCGTTAGATTGACTCCGATTTTTGCACGTTGAATCAAGTATAGGTATGAGATTCAAATTTTGTTGAAGTTTATGTTGTAAAATACCCTACAAAATTGTCCAGGTATGAAAATCCACGGTGCAGATAGTACGGGTATGAAAATCCCCTTTTCCCCTCTGATCAGATAACATAAACAAACCCTAGTTCGATATTTCAAGAGAGAAAAAAAAATCTATCAGTCGAGTGAAATTGGCAGAATCGATCTGGTTTTTAAAACTAACCACACCTTAAGAATGAGAGTGAGTGAGACTCGGATTCCACTGGCGCGAAAACCGCCGTTCAAGGCTACGGTTATGGCCGGAATTGTTTGGATCCGCGACGGAGGAAGAAGAAATCTTCGGAGGACAGATGAAAGAGATGCAAACTCACCTGCGTCTACGACTGCGGCGAAGGTTACTGTTCGGCGAGGAGACGAACTCGTTAGTGCATTTTGTTAATTGAGCTGACGAATTATTATTTTTTAGTTAATAAGCCATTTTCTAATTCTAGGAATAGAATTTCAACTTAGTAATCTACGAATTAAAAAGAGAAGTAAATATTGGGATTAAAAATTAAATTATGTTCTGTCTTCCTTTTTCCCGTTTTTTTCGAAGTGTAAACCTGAAATAGCGGGAAGTCTTTCATCACCACAAAGTTCGTTTTTTATTTTCTCGGATCATCACATTTTTCTTTTCCTTTTTTCTCCAAGAGAATTTTACAACTATGAACGCAGCATTTTACGTTATTGTTCTTGACAAAAATCTGTAAAAGGTATTTCCTTTGTTCCTGGTTTCTTCATAATCCATGTGTAAAACGAAATGCTAATTCATAATCCCATTATTATGTATCAGCTTCATGCATGTGTTCTTTTTTCTCCGATTGTTTTCTCAGAAATCTTTTTTTTGCATCTGTGACTTCTCGCCTGTCTCTGATTCTTCCCATTAGAGCTTACATGTGGATTTGCCTCAAAACCATTTATTTTTTCTTACCAATCTGGTATGAATCTACTTGTTCATATTGAATTATCCTAACGTGTTTATGGGAATTTGCGTTCTTGCTGTTGTTGGTTTTTGCTGGCGAGTCTCCTCTGTTCTTGTCTGAAATTCGCATCTTTTTTGAGGATCAGAATTTCCTTTTTTATTTTCGTGTGCACAATTTAAGAGAACTCTCCTTCTGTTTCAAGTACATTGTGTAGATTAAAATATTTTGTGTGCTT